CTCCGCCATACTTGAGCACCTCAAAGTGCGAATGCAGCACTCCGATGCCCTTGGTGTATCGCGGCTCATCGACTTGAATTGACACGTTTCTGCCCTGAGGCACATGTTCAGGAGCGTTCCGGAATCGGTGCAGCACATCGTCGATGAGTCTCTTGAACGGCGCGCGGATGGTCACTTCCAAATCGATGGACGAGATGCGTCGCACATGACCCGAGATGGGGATGCTCTGTTCAGACGTGTCGTGCATGTTCTTCGCAAGGGACTTGGCCAGGACGCGCAAAGACTGATCTTGAGCAAGAGTGCGGAACACGAACACGTACTGGTGAAAATGTGGTACGAGCACGATTTCTGCCTCGTTTTTGACCGGGTCGCCAGGATTAAGGTCGAGCACCACCTCTTCACTGATGTTTTGGGAGCCAGGCACGCTCACAATGCGCTGATGCAACACTTTCTGGATACGTGCGCCTTCGCAACGGCCTGCATTCATACTGCACAGCTCGGTGAAGATCGTCTTCACATCCAGACTGTGAATAATTTTGTACGACTCGTGGGTGCCGGCCAGCTTGCCGCATACAAACGGGGCTTTGCGCCGAACGAACAAAAAAAAAAAAAAAAAAAAAAACAAGCACAAGTGAGCGAGTGTCAATGCACTTCGTCGTCGCTTTTGTTCAGCAGAAGCATGCCGATAGAATGGAAGACATACCTTCACTCGAGACTTGGAGGGCTGCGGCTGGGGCTGGGTTGAGACGAGCTTCCAGACGGTTCAGACGCTCGCTCGTCGTGTTGATGATTGCCAGGATGGTGTCTGCGCGAGTCTCATACTGCTGTGCGTCTTGAAGGAGTCCTGTTGCACGAGCGGCATCAGCAAGCTGCCGAAGCCCCTGCCGTTCAGCTCGGTCAGCTGCCAGAGCTTGCGTCAGTTCAGCGATTGCTTGTTCGAGTTTTGCTTGCTCGGTGCTTGCAGGAACAAGTGCGGCCTGGCTCGAACTCATGTGTGCGGGTACTGGAGTTGATCAATAACGTAGTTGCCGAGGAAGGAAGGTTGTCGGGGGTGGGTGAACACGAGGTGAAGGAGGGGACCGAAAAAAAAAAAGGAAAAAAAAAAAAAAAAAAAAAAAAAAAGACAAACGGACTGGACTGTACTGAACAGCTCACTAGGAAAAATGACCTATACTAACAGATTTGGATAGGATTTTTCCCCAGCCTCGCCGCGTTGGAAATAGAAACTAGAATGTATGTGGAGTATTCTAAAATTGAAACGGAGGCGAACGGACGCCGGGGAGTGGAGATGGGGCGGAGGGAAGGTCAGAGACTGGAATCGCTGGCGGGCTTCGCTCGGGTGCCCTGCCCGACCTGAGCTGTTTCTGGCGGAAATTCCAAAAGGGTATCCTTATAATATCGTGTAAACTCGATTGCGCTTGAAAAAACGGCGCTCCGAGCACTTGGCGTGGCCTGAAGCTCAAACAAGCGATTTGCCCTGACGAGTCGACACGAGCCACCACCTCGCGGATGGTATTTTCGGATTCCCCATGCAAATTTAATGTGGGTTACAATCGTTCGTCGGTCATAAAAGTCTCAAGTGGAAGTCACCAGGCTGAAACTCGAATTTTTTCGAACTTGGAAAAATTTTCCTTCCAACCCACCCCATTTCGACAAAGCATGTACAAACCTCCACTTTCGGCTGTACTTTGTGTTTTTACAATGTCGGCAATATACTGATAGTGGTGAAGCGGGATAAAGTCGACGGGAAGATGGTCATTTGCGACCCCTCTAAATCGGTGTTTTTGAGGGGTGGTTTGCACTTCACCCATACAGGAGGATATAATCGACGGTCTGATGATGGCAAATCATCTAACTCATCTCCAATATGCTGGAAAGCGTGTCGGTGAAAAAATAATTATGATTGGAGCCGAGATCGGCACAGTCGGCTTTTTGGGCCAGGTTGGCATATTTTGACCAAGACTGCTGCAAAGCTGTCCGAACACCTGGAATTTGCTATTTCCTCACTATGCAACTGTGCTCGTGTGGTGGGAGGAGGATTTTATGGTGTACATGGCGTGAACGGCGAGCTGTCAGGTTTTCGGTGTCGTTTCGGCCGGGTTGCATTTGACCTCGTATCTCCAACTCATCTTGTTGTTACATCTCCCTCTTCTGGAATACGGTTTTACACACGTAATTCCATGTCTGGAGGCTTTGGATGGTAGTAAAAACGAGCTCAATATCGCTGGGCGGGTTTGCCGCGATTTCAGGTGAACAAAAGGCGTTCCTGGGTTTCTGACCGAAAGCGAGGTCTCCCGGCCGTCCTAGAGCTTCAGCAGTATATTCATGCATACCAAACGTCGAGAACATGGTTGAAAGCGGATGGCATCGGGGCTACGGCCCCAGAAGCACATCATGGTCGTTTTGTTGAATTCTCGTCCAACCCATGAATACGCCCTTTCTGCGGCTCCTCACCTGGTTCCATCGCCGCCCGCAGGCGATTCAAGTGTGCGCTGGTTCCATATAGCTGTGGCTTGAACAGCGCAACCTCTAGTGGACCCTGAGTACGGAAATTGGTTCACAGTCAAATCGTGGCACTTTGCCAGCAGGTAACAGAACACAGCGTTTCGGAGCCCTGAAGGCCCTTACATCCTCTTTATCACCAGATTCCAAGTTTTAATGTTGTCTTACGCCAAAATATAGCATGCTATGACATGATCTTTGACCAGTTGGGTGATTCGGGCCTCCGAGCCCGTTTGGGCGGATAATCCACCGAATATCGGAGCGCATGGCCTCTGGGGACCTTCCATGGCGATTCCTCTGCTGGAGCAAGTAGTTCTATGTTTGTAACACCTGTGGCTAACGCGGCGCCACGATCCCGTTGGTCTAGATGGAGAAGCGCGCGTGAGACGCCGCTGGAGCACCGATTTGAGCTGGATTCCATACACTGCCCACTTTCGGGCCACCATCGTAGATTGTTCACTCTCGCTCGGGATTCCTGGTTTAATATGTGTTGTACTCTGTTTGCCAAAGTTTCAAAGGATTGACAGTCTTGTATCGTGAGATCGGTGGGTTGGGAGCACTTTGCGCCGGTTCCGGACGACGGCCTCCCACCGAGTCCCTTGACCTACCACCTGCCCTTCCTTTGCGCTTTCTAGCAGCTGACCGGGTTTTCTCTTTGATTTATGACGCTGGTAGGTAAAGTAGGCCGTGTATTACGAAATCGCCACCGGCTGGCTGATTTTCAGGGGGTGGTTGGCTCTGTGTTGGACAGTATCTATACCGCTCTTACTTTTCCAATTGTTAGTCATCTCAATGTTTTGCTCAAATCCAAAGTTTGAGCCCAAAATCTCACTCCTGCTGCTCAAGCCAGGCCTCCCAAAGACGCGGTGTCGCGAACATCACGTCCTTGAATCCCGAAAATTTTGCTTAAAATTACTTCTATTGTATATGTGTGATTGTTTTCTGCAGTTGTGGTGAATCCAAGTAGACCCCATGTCGAGAGCCGGGTCGACTTTCGGTCAATGTGAATTCAGCAAAATCAGCATAATTGGGGGAATCCGGCACTTCCATGGTTTTATTGGTCTAAACATGTTCATTAGTGTCTATAAACATAGTCACATCGAAAAAGCGCCGAAAAGTGGGGTGGAGGGGGGACTTGAGGTCGAGGTCGAACGTAATGCAAATGACTGGGGCAAAAATCCCCAAAAATGACCACCATGCCCAACCTACTTTCCATCGATATTTTTACATTGTTAGATAGAACAAACTTTGGCTGATCCGAATCTTGAAAAATCGGCTCGCAAGGTCCAAACCCCGAAGTGCAGTAAAGGCGCAAAGTTCGCTTTTTGCTTCGGTTCGGTTCTGGGGAAAAAATTCTACGTCTCTCTACTCAGTCCTACCGTCCCGCCAGTTAGTACATTCGACTCGATTTGGTACTGACTACACGTTTCTGGTGGTGCGAAGGCGCGCGGACGCAATGGACCCCAATGGCGGCATTGGGTGGTCGGGGGCCTGGCCTGGCCGTACTATTGGTGCCCCGCCCTTTCTACGTTGTATGCTACTAGTGCTAAGTATGAACTATCTATTGCTACAGTAAGAACGGTGCAGCTCGCTCGGGAGGCCCGCTATCGGGCTCTGAAGATTGACGCATTTGGGCTTTTGGGCCCGCCGCCTCGCCGCTGCCGGCCCGGTACCCGCGGCTCCACACTACAGTGATGTTGTACAAGTGTGTTGTGCATGAAAACAGTGCCAGGCGGCCGATCGGCGGACCTTTGGAACCCAAAGTCACACCAACCAGTCGACCATGACATGTCTTCCCGCCCCAGTGACACTTGCACAACATCATTATAGCATGTTGCCACACGTACCAAGCAGGCAGTCCGCGGCAGGGCTCGAGGGGACCACGAAAGGCCGCTGGGGCACTGGAGTTCCTTGGAGTCTTGGCAGAGCCGGCTTCCCATTGACTTACCTTGGGGTGGGAACTGGTGACTTACCTGAAGGTGGCTCTGTTTCTTGATGATAGCATCGGTGGAGGGTCGCGGACGCCTGTGGAACCATCACCAACATGTGGGGGAAGAAAGTGAGAAAAAAAGTCATTGTTTCGTTCAGCACAGCGTACAGTCTAGGCCAGCAGGGTCGTGTGCGGCGCGGCGCGGCGCGGCGCGGGTGCAAGTCGACTACGGGGCATCATTGCAGTGTGAGTGGGGCGGCTCGTGCAGCGTGCAATCACAGGGCAGGGCACAAGTTGGGGAATGGAAAAAAAAAAAGAAAAAAAGACACGATCGCTTGTTTCAAATAGCCGGTTATTACCTTGGTCAAGTTCCTGATGCCAGTGTTCGTGCCAGGTCGTCGCCGCATTGGATTCAGATAGAGTTGACAGATGTACACACGTGGCCAAAGAGGCACGGTCGCATCTGCAAGGACGAGGCGAGTACACGCAAGTGAATGGCCGAAACAAGAAAGCCGTTGAAACACGGTTGAAACACGCGCCACATCGAGCCTCCACGACGCCCTCACGATGCTTCTCACTGTCTGTGTGCGGTTCTACATATTCCATGCGATAAGTGGACGAGTTTCCGTCAAATACCCGGGCCGGGAGCGTCAAGGAGGAGGGGGTGGTGGTTGAAGAGTGAAGTCCCCAAATTTGGTCGCCATTCACCCCTTCCCTCCCTGGCTTCTGGTCGACTTTTCTCGGATTTTACTTTGTCCATGTGTAGAGTTTACACGCTATTGTGCACTGAATTTGGAAGCGGGGCGATGAGGCGCGGGGAAGAGCCTCAATAGCGACGCACAGGACTGGAAAATTTGAACTTGGTAATTTTTCGCGCCATGTCGCTTTGTCGACTTTTCCCCGCCTGACAAGGTCTGTTTGCACCGGGTTTTTGGTGGTTATTGGTGACGCTAATATATGCCCATTAATTGCCCAAAGGTTGGGCGGAGCCGGAATGAGTGACAGCCTCAAACAGAAGGCCTTGTTCAAATTATAATCGGCCAGACGACCTTGCTTCTTTGAAATGTTTTTTCTTGTTTGAGTTGCCTATCCGCCCTGCATTTTGATTCCAAATATCTTCAATGATGTCAAATATTGCAATAATACCTGAAAGGCGGCGATATTGGGTCTAGACATGTCTTGCAGCGGCCATTTCCGCCTCTTGTCGCTCGTGTCGAGGTGGCGACTGATTCTGCCTTCCTTCACCCCTTGATTTCATTAAAACCAAGCACGAAATTATTTTTCTCGTCCGAAAACAGCTCAATGAAGAGGCACGCGCATCTCAAAGACGCCGCGGGTCGTGCTTGAAGAGGGGTGCTCGCAAAATCGACCGGTCGGCTCCAGCCAGGCCGTTTAAGGCGCTTTTACTTCTACTCTCTTCCAGTGGCACATTGCCAGATGATTACTGAACTTCTTTTGTCTTGAAAGGCCATGTTGGATGCATCCAAATCCAGGTTGCGCTTACTTTGCTCCTCGACCAATTCGGGCGAGTCTGCTCTGGTCGGTCCGACAATGCCCCGGTGTTCTCCCAGCAAGTGGCATAGCTTAGAGTGTCATATGACCTCTAAGGTGATCGTGGCAGGCACGGAGTCGCGAAAAGATGGAAATCCTCGAAGTGGCTACACCTGCGGCTGCGGCAGCTGCGGACAGGACGTTTTCAATCGTTTTCTCCGGAAAGACCGGGTCGAAGGACATCTAGTGACACGCACTCACATTATAGAAACACGGTCCGTATGCTGGGCATGCTGCAGCGCGCTGGCAGCACCAAGAACCGCGCCTCGTGTCAAGATTCGCATTGACACAACAAGCTATCTCGGCAAGTTTCTGTTTGGGTACCGTCTCACGAATGCTCCTCCGGATGCCTTCACGGACTGGGCGTGCGTCGAGCTGCTGCACCGCGTTGACAGCGCTTCATTGTTTCTTGGGGGGAAGGCCGTGTCCGAGTACGCCTGTCGTGCCAAATTTCTCGTGCCGGCCACGACCCTCGTCGCCCCGCTCAGCACCACGCACGCGTGTTTCCATCACATGTGCAACCTCCCCCAGGACGACAAGAAGCAAATCAAGTTGTCCCTTGTCAAGCACAACCACGATGACCGTGTCGTGCTGATGCCCACTGCACGCAACGTGTTGCGCCCAGAACTGGAGCTTGATGCCAGGCTTGAAGACGACGTGGAGAGCGACTTTGGCTTTCAGATGCCTGGGCACCCCAGCGGCAAGAGCGTGTCTGCTGCCGAGCTCTCGTTGCTTTTCTCGCCCCTGGACCCCGTCACACGACGCAATATTGCTGCAATGAAAGTCCAGTGGACAGCACCTGCTCAAGCCCCTGCTGCTGGTGCTCCTGCTCAACATAGTCCTGCTGGTGCTCCTGCTCATGCTTCACATGCATCGGTTTCCCCATGCTGCGCATACGGCACATGCTCCAGCTCCGCATGCAGGCAGTCGCAGCCACGATTCTGGGTCCGCTGAACCGATGCAGGTCGACCAAGCAGAACGCACGCCTCTCTCTGCTCTTTGTGACCGCCCTTCTTCTTCTGTTTCGCATGCAGGGCACGTGCAACCTCCGCATACAGTCAGGCGTGACTGCGCTACTAGGTCTGCACGAGCGCCGCAGACTCCTCCTGGCCGCCCCTCTGCTCAACAAGCAGCCTCCGCAGGCCTAACCGAACTTGTTCAACGACCGAGGCCGATCCTGATGAAGCGTCTGTGGGCAAGCATGTGGACAGATCCCCCCGAGGCAATCAAAAAAGAGCTCGCCGTGCACCCCAAGCCTAGAATTCTCGCGTACCGTTGGCTCATGAGTGCATGCCAGGCCTTGCAGTTCACACCCCTGCGGGTCTCACGCACAATCCCAGCCGCTACTCAACCGCCCGACAACGTGTCCGCAGAGTCGACCCAAGCGCCGACCGAACTGTCCGCCGAGCCGATGGCTTCGATCCCCGCCACTGCCCAACTCGTCTGTAGAGTCGACGGCTTCAATCTCAGCAGCTGCCCAACCGGCCGCCAAACTGTCCCCGAAGGCCTTGCAAACTGTGCAGGAGTTCCTTCAGCTCTATGACAGGAGGATCCCGATCAAGCTCAATTCGCCTGGGATAGATGCGTCCGAACATCTACCAGCGAGTCAAGTCTTGAAGCCATTCGTCGACAAGGGCTCTGAGTGGATGTCCGCTGAAGCGCTTGACTTTTGCTTCGGGCGCCTGCAACAAGCAAACATTACCTCGCAAAATGGGGTCAAAGTCACCTTTTGGGTATGATGTGTGTGTGTGTGTGTTAAGGTTGGACCGCGGTTGCTTGATTGCGGAGAGCGGTGACTCACAGCATGAGGTAATCGATTGCCTAAGCAGCAGACCTTCAACGCCAACGGGACTGCTGACATGGACAGATCACTGCGAGGTCACTCCAACCGAGAAATCAGGTTCTCGGAGTGCAAAGATTCATTGTCTGACACAGTCGCTGCATCGGAAGATGGCCTTGTCATCTTTCCAGCGAATCGAGAGCAGCACTGGTTCCTCGTTGTGCTGCATCGGAAAACCTTCACCATCCGCATTTTTGAGGGACTGAAGAAACTGGCTCTCGACCTTGTCGAAATTGTTAAATCGTTCTTGCCGGACTCGACTGAATGGAGCTTTGTTCCCGAGCCGGGTTCTATCTACGGGCACCAAGGGCCTGGCCAGACGGAGGAACCTCCTTGGACTTGTGGTTGGCTCGCCTTGTGGATGGCCGAGAGGATTGCACGGCTCGGCGTGTCAGCAGAAGACTTGCAGGCATCCACGTCTAACCCGTGGCCGTGGGTCCCTACCGATCCACCTCCGCCCAACGTTGGTCAACCTTCTAGATCTCAAGCCGTACCTCCCTTGTCGCTCCTGATTGCCGAGCATGTGCGGTTCAAGTGGCTCGCTGATGCCGCCCGCTGCTGGACACCGCACGTAACGAAGGCTTGAAGGGTGTTTAGTCCGCTGCTCTTGTGTTTTATTGTTTAATTTATGTATTTAATTTTATCTATTCCATATGGGTACGGTTTTAGACGATTTAGCTAGCGTAGACAGACGGAGTTGGTTCAGCAAAACTAGCTCGCCGAAGGAACATGATTCTAGGGGTACAACATTGGTTTCATGCCTCATCCTGGATAGCCACGTAACTAGAATTGATGATACTATCGGTTACATGTCATAGACCTGGTCTGAAGCACGATCTGTTTGAGGTAGATCAGCTTGAAGAGACAGACTCAAGCGCGAAGAGGAATTCAGCGCAGTCAAGTTTCTGCCACCAGCCAGTGCTATGGACTAGGCCCACTAATCACAGAAAACGATAAAATACTGATAAACATGGATGGGGATGGGATCTTGAGGCGTTCATGCACCCCAAAGCCGCGGTCGAGTCACGAAAAGCAAGTCTCATCCCACGACAAGAAGCGCAAGTACCAATGGCCACTAACGGCTATGATTCAAATGTAAATTATCTGACAACACTTTTAAAACCTCGAAACTTGTTGTATCACGGCAGTGGTGGTCACACGAGGAGCGTCAAGAAGACCATTTGCACGATTCGCTAAGTCGGCTTCTATCAAGTGGAATCGGTCGGAACAAAAGCAAAGCAACTCTAACACTATTGGTAAGTATTATCACGTACCGGTGGCAGCATGGACGGCCGGTAAAACGACCGGACACTCGATCCATGGTTTTGCGAGTTGGCCGAAACTTTGGCCTCCTCCCACTCCGCATGATTTAGTACCACATCCGCCCCTCCGCAGATGTGATGTCTAATGCACGTGAGAAGCAAGAAAAAGTTACAATATCAGAGATCGGACGATGCTGGACAAAGATCGAGCACCCGCCAAATGGGTCATTTCCGACCCTTCGTGATCCACCCTCCAGATATCACCGCAATTCCGCATCAATGATTTAGACTCTAGTACTAATTTACTGTTGTCTGGTAAAATATTTCATGGATGCGACTCGGAAATCGCAAGTTAAAGCCCGTCGAATGTTTGGTCGGGTGCATCAACTAGAAACCAACGATCACTGTCCACGCGCGATATAGAGCGGATACTATAGAGTGTATAGAGTACATTGATATATGGCTGGTCAAGCTCCTAGGTGTCTACATGGCTGGATACGAGTGCGAAGCCAAGTCGGACGCATCGTGCGGCACCTCACTCGCCATAACGGTTTTCAACTCATCAGACATTGAACAATCGGAATATGTATGGATTACACGGACAGAGCTGGTGAAAGGCATCGATCTCGGGGCTAGCAGGTTTTGGACGAAATTCGAAAGGCCGATTCAGTCTTCGTGCTATCGAGCGCTACCGCCCGACCGATCCCGGATTCATATACACCATGCCAAGCGCTAACTTTCTATACTAGAGGTGGCGCTAACGGGCTGTCCTAGTCGGCGCCCTGAGGGCTCGTGGACGGCTGTCCATATCCAGCAGTCGGACACTGCCCCAGGCCCGCCCGTTCAATGGAGGTACCAGACCCATCTACTAGATTTTTAGAGACCATAATATCGGCGGTGGGTGCGGTCTAGGCCGAGATCGAGCGGTCGGCTTGGCCGCGACGGACCCGAAACCTGGTGCGGCCTCCAGCGCTTCGCTCCTGGCCGTCTCGCACATGATTCTATATCTAAAAAATCGGCTCATTCCAATGGTGTACAGTAGAAGGGGCTGCAGTGCCGTTTTGAGGGACCTCGTCACCAGCTGCGACACGCAAAAAGGGGGTATCCGTACACGACGATGCAGGTGTCCCCCGTCCTCGCCAATGCAGCCACGGGGTGCTGTCAGGTCATGTACAAACCTGATGGGGTCAGGGCGGCGGGCGGTGGTGCACAGTGGCCTCAGTGAACTGGGGAAAAATTCCCATTGCAAAATGTATACCCGCAAGTTTCCTGGTGAGCTCATTGTTCGAGGCACCAACCGGATCATACAGTATTATGCAGTCGAGGTCGAAATCACAGCAGGCGAGGTTGGAAATTAGAGCGGACGAAGTGAGGAAAATCGGACTGGAAAAAAGTAGCTTGGTTGAAAGTGCGAGAAAAATGGTTTTTTCCGTAATTGGTTTTTGTGCGTTCGATTTGGTTTTCAACGAGTTGGTTTTTGCAAGCTTGTATTTCGAATTAACCCACTTGAGATGTTAGAATTACCAACAACTTCAGGAAGTATTTGAATTGAATCATGTATCTTGGAAGGTCATTAGATGCTGGGGTGAGTAGCGGGAAAGCTAGGGCTCGGGAAGAACTCGAACTAGAGTTTTTATGAATTACTTCCACAGCGACGTCTTTACCACCCAGGGCTCGTACTCACGAGCCATTTCGGTGTAAGCATTAGCATTCGCATAGTTTATCATAGTGTCATTAAATTGGTGGCAATCGTATGCCGAGTGGATTGTTCCGATCATTCCTAACGACCAGCCAGTTGCAGCACCAATGACAACGCAATGTGCACTCCACAGTGGAGCGCTCCAGCTTGCATACGCTCAATACATGTACATGCATGTATAAATAGGCTTAACTATGTTTGTTTTATGAAGGTTTACGGGTAGAGTGAAGAAAGGACGCAAGGCCGACCGGACTGTGGTGTTTTTTTTTTTTATGAAAGCCATCGACTTGTCTTTGGCAGATGCTTGTTGCAGAATAAACATGATTTGAAATGGATGTACAATAATGCAGTATTTATACATGTAACATGACACGGACGATCACATCAAACGACCACCCAAAACAGGCGAGCGGGTGCCATTGAGGGAGCTTTCGAAGGAGAGCACGCCAACTAATCTAGCACATCGTGCATCTCGTGACAAGCATTAAAGTACTTGAGCTGAACATGTGTGATAGTGTTTTGGCAATGCGTTGCCGTCACGGTACCAACAGCAGCGGTAATGCGACTTGAGATTGTTTCGTTCGGTTCCAGCCGGGAGCGCTTGAACGCAGCCTTCACTTGGTTGAAGACATACTCGATCGGGTTCAAGAACGATGAGTACGGAGGCAGAAAGAGCATCCCATACCCGCGGCGTGCAAAAAGCTCGCGCACTTCGGGTGTCTTGTGAATGCGCGCGTTGTCGAGCACGATCCAGGCTTTGTAGCGATGATGTCCCGGAAAGCTGACACCTGGGTGCTCTTCGCTCGGTACGAAATAGGAAGTATTGTCATTGTGCTCATCAATCTCGTCTTGAATGAGTTCTTCGTGTGGTGGAACGTAGACGCCGCCATCATCGTTGTCATCATCGTCGAGAATCCTGCGACGAGAACGGCGCTTCTTTCTGGTCGTCGAAGCAGAGGTTGAAGCAGAGGTGGAAGCAGAGGTGGAAGCAGAGGTGGAAGCAGGAGCTGACCCGCCAGCTGCAGACGCAGCAGACGACACAACTGCAGCGGGAGGGGCAGGTGGTTGGGACGAGGACGCTGCACCGGACGCCAGCAGTGGCACGTGAACTGCATTACTGGTCGACACACTGTCCTCAACCATGTTTGTAAGGGGGAGGTCGGGCTCAAGCTGTTGCACTGGGAGCTCATCCACAGCGATGCCAGACGCGGCGGTGTCGACGGCTTTTTTTGCCTCGAGCGTGTCAAACAGCTTGGTCATCGCCTCCGCAAAGACATGGCCAGTCACGCCTCCGAGCTGGATCTCATTCAACACAACGCCGCTCATTCCGATCGCTGCAATGAGCGTGAAATTCGCTGCACGAATACTGCCAACTTGAACGATTGCGCGCGCGCCCTTGCGAGATCGACCTCGCGTTCGATGCTGATTCGCATTAAATCCACTCTCGCCCACGTAGAACAAGCGATCCACAGGTGTCTGGAAAGCCTCGAAGAGCTCAGCCCATTTCTTGCGTTGGGCTTTGATTTCAGGCGAATTTTTCACCTTGACCTGCTCGTACACGCGCTTGAACGTGAAGCCCTGTCGTAAAATGGCACGCCCGATGGTTGTTTGATGCACTTGAATGCCAAATGTCGTCAGGAGGAGGTCCTGGAGCTCTTGATTGGTCACATTGACGTTCTTGTCGAGCTCCATCTCGAGAAAATGGAGATGCTCCGCTGTGAGCACACGGCATCCCTTGGGATTGACGTGATGTGACGTCCACTCTCCGCGCTCCTTGAAACGTTGCACTACGTTGGACACAGTGCTGATGGGGTGATGGAGCATGCTGGCGACCGTGACGAGAGGCAAGGCGCGATCAACAGCCAAGTCGATGATCCGCTTCCGTTCGGGGTCTTCTAGATGGACACACTTCCGCGGCGCGCGTGATTCGGTGGCCTGCGCCTCGTTTTGACGTTTGGGCATGGCTACAGAGCAGGTTCGTCTGGGGGTGTTTGCAAATCCCAAACATGAAGTGGCAATTTCCCAACCAAGAGTGCGAATTTTCAGTTTCAAGCTGTTATTCCAAATTGTTCGCGCCAAAAAACCAGACCTTATCTTGGCAAAAACCAACTCGGGCGCAGTTTGGACAGTTTCGTGTTTTTAAAAACCAAATCGATAGCATTTTGTCCAAAATCGCACTACAAATTTGTACCATTTCATATGTTTAAAAACCAAATCGTCCGTTTCTATTTCCAAACTCATTTTGCAGTTTTCACTTCGGACGCACAATACTGTATTGTCAATTATTCGAAACTTGTTCGACCAGTCAAATAAAGCAAGTCGGGGGCGAGAAGTGACGAGATTGCTGTGGGAGTAGCGTGGTGGGCGCTGACGGCCACTCCATTAGAGGGGGGTTGTCTGAATATGAACAAAATAAATGTTGCTGGCTATTCGAGTGCCGCCCGAGTTTTTGACATTAAAGTACTCGACACACTCTTTTAATATATAGGTGCGACGGAGAGGTCGGCGGCGGGCGATGGGTTGGTAGGGTATCGCGTGGCAGTTTCGCTCATTTTGCTGGACGACCATTACGCTTGTTCATATTCAGGCGGACGGCCTCTCTGGTCGCGACCATCCTCATCCAGGCGGACCATCTCTGACCGGTGCCTATGTTGTCGAGTTAGATCTTCCTATTTCTGGCAAGAAGCGGGACAGAATCGCGCAGGGGTGGCCGCAGGGCCCGATGGAGGCTCAACCCAGCCAATCAGCCATACGGCGGCACTTTGGATAGGCGAGTCCGAAGTCCCTTCCGTTATGCAGAAATTGATGTATGCAACATGTATGTTTATTGGATGAACAGGTGTTGGGACGGGAACATCGCGGGGACAAAGCCAAGGTGATTTGGCCAGTGCGACAGATCCACCAGCGCGGGAGGCGCCTGCACAGCCTGATCGGGACTATCGAGGCGCGCTCGTTGCGAAATACGACCGGGTGCATCATCATCATGATCGGGTGCCTGCTCGCGGGCTCGGCGCATTGGACGCAGGCGAACATTTTCCGCCATATTCCGCTTTTCATGTAGCCGTTTGGCGAGACTTCAAATACAGCCTTATTGTCACCCACATCTGCTGTCGCGCTGCGTATCTTGTTGTTTTTCGAGAAGATGATCATAGGCAAGGGCGGGGATGAGCCATCAGCGCAGATGGTGAAAACGCCCGTGATGTGCGCCCCGAGTGAATGCTGGTGCCCCCCTTGAACGACCGCAGAACGCGTGTCTGACGAGGGAGTGCAAATGACACGACCCGCAAAAAAACGGGTCGTGATTTCTGTCTCGTCCATGTTGGAAATCCGACCGGGCTCCTCCACAAGAAGCGGATGCTCATCGAACAGCTGTTTCAAAAGTCCGGGGAGGCAATCGAGTGTTTCAGCTTGTAAAGCGGCAATCCTGGTGAGCTCCAGCGTTCGACCCTTGCGGATGGCTAGGCGCCCGCGAGCATCGCGCAGAAAGGCATTCCACCATTCATGGCTCGGCAGACTGCCGGCGAACTGGCGACGCGGGGCGCCCGACATGCGCGGGAGGCGTGAGAGTTTCACAAGATAAGCGCCCGCCTGCTTCTGGTTGAGACACTGCCCAGCCCGGGCAAACCCCTCCAGCAGCCGGATACAGTACTCCAGTTCATCTTCAGTGAAAATGCTCTGTCCTCCGCACGATGGGCTCTCCTTGACGAGCTGGAGCACCTGATCGAGCGGGCTGGAACGAATCCACTCGGCCGAATCAGCGTGTTTCGTTTTCCAATCATGAACTGTGGTGTGACCGCACTGATAGCCCTGTTCCGCCAGCCGCGCGGCTATGGCCCGTGTTGTCCAGCCTGTAGGGCGATAGATTTCGCCCCCTTGAAGGGTCACAGAGTCTTGGTAGACAAGCTTGAGAGCGACTGCGACGGCAACATTGTGCTTTTCTCCTTCGGGCGCAGCCTTCACTGCCTGCAGCCACGCGAGACACCGAGTTGCCGCCTCGGATGCACCCGCCATCGATAAAAAAGAATGACTTTATTATAAATTCAAACTGGGGAGCAGATCAGAGACCACGAAGTCGACTTGTGACGCAAATACCAGTGTGTTCATATTCAAACGGAAAACCCTAATGTAGTCCAGCGAACACTTTTTGTTCATATTCAGGCGACCCCCCTCTACTATCCATAGCATAGAAATGAGCATTCGGTGTTTCAACCAGAGTTGGCTGCGTAAAGCCTCTAAAAGCTCAAGTTTTGCGATAACTCTACCCCGACGTGGACTGCACACACAACAGCCGTCCCCTCTTCGAGGGTCCAGCAGTTTGTGTGTGCGCGGATCGCCTTTTCACTGATTTTGCACTGTTTTTGGGACCCCCCCCCCCTAGTTAAAAGGATTCGAAAAGATTTTTGGATTTGTTTGAAGCTCGTTGATCAGTCAAACAGTGCAAGTCGGGGTAGAATTTTGAATATTCAGTCTTGTTTTTTGATTGTAAGAGGGCATTGCTGCCATTGGTTTTCTATTGCGTGTTGTTCGTTTCCATTGCTTTTGTCCATTGCTCTCCTTCGTGTCCCCTCTTTTGCCTCCCCATTTGCGTTTGCGTTTGGAGAACCAGCCGTGATCGCCACCCTCTCTCTCTCTCTCTCTCTCTCTCTCTCTCTCTCTCTCTCTCTCTCTCTCTCTCTCTCTCTCTCTCTCTCTCTCTCTCTCTCTCTCTCCCCTTCCCGCACAAGCACATTGTGCGCCTTTGTTGGGAAGCCGTGATCGCGCCATAGTGTTTGATAGGCCGGCGAGTTTTTTCTTTTTTTATAACTTTTCGTCTTTTTCGTTCTGCTTGGAGTGCTGCGTTCTCGTCGCAGTGTGTGTGTGTGTGTGTATCAACTGTGTGAGCATGTGTGGATGTGCTCATCAGTCGATCGATCGACAGCAAAACAAAACGAAACGACAAACCGAAAAAATAAAAAAAAAAAAGGTCGCGCTATTTTTTTTTTTTTTTTTTTTTTTTTTTTTTTTTTTTTTTTTTTTTTTTTTTTTGCCTTTGTTTTCATTCACAGTGATTTTGTGTGATTTTGTGTGATTTTGTGTGATCACGATTCGCTTCACTTCACTTTTCATTGCGTGCATGGTTTTGCGACACTTTTTCAACATTGTTACGCTGATGATTTGATGAGATTGCGAACGAATACGCAAATTTGAGATTCGTGATCAACACTGTGCAAATCTCAGAACGAGAGAGGTGGGGGCCACATCTGAAAACCCCGTCCGTGCATGGGGTCCCAGTGTCAACGATTTTTGACATGTCAAGCAAAGACACACACACGCAAACCGAGGTTTACCAATTTTTTTACTGCTGTTGCTCCGAGTTACTTACTTGTCTTGTCTGCTTTGGCACAGGAAACTTATACCCTTCATCTCCAAAACATAAAGATGGCCGCCTCCGCTCTCGATGCACTCAAGGAACTCACCACCGTCGTCGCAGACACGGGTGTGATTGACTCGATCGCAAAGTTCAAGCCGACCGACGCAACCACCAACCCGTCGCTGCTGCTCGCGGCCGCCAAGATGCCCGAGTATGTGCACCTCGTCGACGACGCCATCGAGTATGGCCGCTCCAACGGCACCGATGCCGACAGCCAGGTCGCCCTTGCTGCCGATCGCATGTTTGTCAACTTTGGCAAGGAGATTCTCAAGCACGTCCCCGGCCGTGTCTCGACCGAGGTGGACGCCCGCCTCTCCTTTGACCGCGAGAAGAGCATCGAGAAGGCCAAGCAGCTGATCGCCATGTACGAGGCGGTTGGCGTGCCGCGTGATCGCATCCTCATCAAGATGGCTTCCACCTGGGAGGGCATCTCGGCCGCCAAGTACCTCGAGGCGCACGAAAACATCCACTGCAACCTCACTCTGCTCTTCAGCTTTGCCCAGGCTGTCGCCTGCGCCGAGGCTGGCGTCACGCTGATCTCGCCGTTCGTCGGCCGCATTCTCGACTGGCACGTCAAGACATACGACAAGAAGTTTGCCAAGGAGGAAGACCCCGGCGTGCTCTCGGTCAAGCGCATCTTCAACTACTACAAGAAGCACGGCTACAAGACGATTGTCATGGGCGCCTCGTTCCGCAACATTGGCGAAATCACCGAGCTTGCCGGCTGCGATTTCCTCACCATCAGCCCCAACCTGCTCGACGAGCTGCGCAACGCCTCCGCTGACATTATCACCCGCAAGCTGGACGTCGACGTGGCCCAGAACCTCGACATTCCCAAGGTGTCGCTCGACGAGAAGAGCTTCCGATGGCTCCACAACGAAGATGCCATGGCCACCGACAAGCTCGCCGAGGGTATCCGAAAGTTTGCCGCCGACGGTCTTGAGCTCGAGAAGCTGATTCGCCACAAGCTTGGTCTTTGAGTGGTAGACGGGCGATGAAAAACAAGAAAAAAAAAACAAGAAAAGTGAAAATCAAACCCCGCATGGAACTGGACTTTGTCGACTGTTTCTTGTTGCTCGTTTGTTTCTCTTTATTAAATACCCGTTGCTTGGATGTTGGCTTGCTGATCGATCGATTGGTTTCGAGTGGAACGACTGTCGAATGAAAAAAAGCCAAAAACCCGTTTGAATCGAATCCAGAAGAACGAGCTTCCCGTCTCGTGTTATTTTTAGGCCATCCATGATAGATCTACATTTCCACCAGTACTAATAGTACTTAGAACGGTGAGTGGAGGAAAGAGAGCCCAGTCTTCTCCTCACTCTCAGACGAAATGGCCGCTGTCGCTGTCGCAGGAGGGAGCCCAGCCGGCCTTCCGCTCATCCGCGCCATCTTCTTTGCCGAGTTTCACTTCATCACTGGACCCAAGATCACCTACCAAGTGCCGGAAGGGTTTATCGGGCAGGACGTCTTTGACGCGATTCACGAGTACATTATCACCAAGCCACAGCTCTGCGACAAGCTGATCTCAATGTGCGCGACTTGCATGTTGTCGATGAGGAGCCCATTTCCTGTTCAATGGATCAAAGTGGATCCAATGGACGAGATGGAAAGGGGAGGACGGGCACCAATGCGAAATCCCACTCACTTACTTTGGCTTGTATTCACCGATCCGACCCTTGCACCTGACGTGCTGGTGACAGAAACGCTGCCGGATTTACATTCGTTGGACATCCCGTCGCCATTGAAAATAAAAAGTACGAGCGAAACGCGCTCCTGTTCAACCTGGGCTTTGTCTTTGATGCCGGCGTCGAGATCAAGGCGTTCGAGCCGACCATTCGCAAGATTGCGCACTATTTGTACTCGATGGAGGTCAGTCTGAGATTGAGATGCAACGAATTGTGGATGTGCATCGCATTTGGGGCGAGTGTGCCATGGTTGTTCACTTGTGCGGTTTGGTTTGCAAAAGATTGAAAGCGAGTTCATCTACAAGCCCGAGAGCAAGAGTCGGATTGCCACCATCATTCAGCAAATGTACATTGAGTTGAATGCCGACAGATATTCTGTCATTCCTGTTGGCAAGTAGTCGCGATGGTATGAGTTCTAACGCTGCAAGACGATGCCGTCTGACTTCCGTTCTGCTGCTATTTGCCTCTCTGCTCGCGCCCCCGCGCTCTTTTTTTGCTCCGTGTAGACGATGCCAACACATTCCATCTGAAAGTCGTTCCACTACTTCCCGACCCAGCAGATGTGCCAGATCATAAAGTACCCATTTTCATCGCAGAACGCCGCCGCTTTGCCTCCGAGGCGTGGGACTTGACCATGCAACAAGTAATTGCTTCAGCATCTATCTCTGAGAATCGTTTCAGGTGATTTTGTTCGGGCGTGGTCGGTAATGTTTGTCGCTCACGTTGCCTCTTTCCATGTGACCTCTCAGATCCTTCCGCACATTGACGGAATCAACCATGTTAAGCGCATCGCCGTGCTCTGTGACGTAGACATTGAGCTTGTCCGGCAGTGTCTTCAGCATTTGTTGTAAGTACCATTTTGTATATGACGGCTTTCGTCGAAGCATTCCGCCGACTCACTTGGAGTTTGCCGGCTTCTTAGATACTACGGAATTATTATCTTGATTGACATTTTTCAGTACGGAAACCGGTACTCTGTCACGTCACTCGTATCCAAGCTGGCCTCGAGTGCGCTGTTGCAGCACCAATGCGCCAGCTTTATCATGCAATGCGGAGCGGTTCCGCCAAACTTTCCAATCATCTTCTCGTTGTACTGCAAGCTATCGGCCGATTTGCAGTACAAGGATTTCTGCATGGACTACAATCTGAATAGCTTCCATATTGACGAAAGGTGAGTGCGTCTGGGTGGTGTTTGAGTTGCGTTTGTCATGTGGGAAAAAGCGTTGCCTCACTGGTGCACTCGCTTCGCCAGGCGTTTCATCCAGTTTGGACTGATTCACCAGTTCATCCATACGCTGCACGAGTACCCAGTGCGCACTGAGCCAACGCGAGAAATGGACGAGAGCATGCCAACCGTTCCTGCATCCATTCTCAAGTGAGTTTTTTTGACTTGAGAATAGCGTTCTGATGGTCGTTTTTTTTTTTTTTTTTTTTTTTTTTCCCGTGTTGCTCACTTGGAGTGCGTCTGCTTTCATCTCGCGCGAGACAGATACCTGGACGGCAAGCGGAATATGGACGAGATTTGCTGTGCGCTTGGGCGGAGTCGTCGTGAAGTGGAAGATGCGATTTCGGACGATCCATTTACGCTGGTCATTCCAAAGTGACCAATGGAACAACGAAATCTTGACACAGCGAGTCCGATCTCTTTTTGTATTGCATACACACAGTTTAATCACAGTTTCAGTCTTGATTTTTGTTTTTCCCCCATTTTCCCGCGTTCTGCTCAGAATCACTACTTGATTCTTCCCAAATCTCCTCTTCTCAACTCAAATGCAGCGCGAGTTAATCTCGCAGCCATCCAGCTACCGCAAGCTGTGCATCGAGTACTCTGATGCCTGCAGCCTCGTCCCGAAGGTACAACAAGACGGATGGACTGAAGGACTGACGGACTGATGGACTGAGACTGTGATTGAGATTGATGACATCACTCCCGGTTGCTGAGCTCACCGTTCGTTCTCCTGTTGCTGCGATTTCCTGACTCTGATTGCAATTGTTTGCTGACCGTGGCTGAATGGACTGCTGGTGTTGAATGTGTGTGTTGAATGTGTGGGTTGAATGTGTGTGTGGGTGGTTGACAGGAGCGGACGGTCGAGCTCGGTGACGTGCTCTTCAGCTCGCCGTGCGAGTACCAGCTCATGACGACAAAGACGCACTCCTCCACTCCCAGCAACACAGGCTCAAGCAATGCAAGCGCAGGCACCACAACAACCACCACAACAACCACCTCGTCGAGCTGGCTCAAGGGCGTCGTCTACGTCGCTGTCGAAGGGCTGCTGCTCGCGCCACCGCCAAACGCAGTCCTCGCCAGCCCTCAGTCGCAGACGAGCTACGACAACCCGATAGCTGATGCCACGCAGTGCGTTCCGTTTGCAAGCGTGCTGAACGTCGAAGTCGCGCGCGCCTCAGTGTTGCCAATGTCAGCGCTTTGCTTGTGCATTGACATGCTGCTCGGCGAGCTGGGCGGCCATCGATCTGTCGTCAGGTTCCGCCTGTGCTACCTGCCGCACTTGGAGTCGCTCAGGCTCATCATCTCGATGCTTTTGCACCGCGACGGCGAGCTCGGCAACAGTGCCGTCGTGCAATTTGGCGACGTTTCCAACGCACTCCGGCAGAGAATCGCCGTCGACCTGATTGAAGCGCGCCGCCGACCTCGGCACTTTGCCAAGCGATCGCACGACGGGCGCATGCCGAAAGAGATTGCTGCGCTTGGCGGAGCCAATTCTGCAGCCAATAACTCGTCCAACGCGAGCGCGCGAAACGAACTGCTCTCTGGTGCCGTCCAGCACAACCGCTACTCGGACATGCACAGTGCGCGTGGCAAGGAGGTCGCCAGGATTCTGGACGAGGCTGACGGCGCTGCCGACGCCTCTTTGGCAGAGTTGCACCGCCAGGGACAGGTCATCAACAATGTCAATCGCAATCTGGACAAGATTGACGGCTCGCTGCACTCGTCGCACGCCATTCTCAACTCGATGAAGTCCTGGACATGGATTCTCAATCCGCTTGCGTGGGTTGGCGCCTCGGCCTCGGCCTCCGTTCCAAAGGACGCGGCCGCTGCTGCCGTTGCCGCTCAGGCTGCCAACGACAAGGTCTTGCGAGAGGCCCTCACTCGGCAGCTGTTTGAAATCTCTGTTCTGACCTTCTCCGACTCCTCGCAGCCATACCTCCCAGTCACTCCCGCCACGCTCCGCGTGAGCCGCGACCACCTCGAGTTTTGGCGCGACAGCATGCCCAAGCTGATTCCCAACAGCTCCATTGCCGAGGTCCGTTTCACCCCGGTGCCTTACTTGATTGCGCTCGACTACCGGCAGACGCCCCAGGCTCTCCCTGTCGCCATTCACATTCTCTCGCGCGATCCGCAGGTGCTTCTCGCCATTCTTGAGCGAGTGGCTGTCATGGCGGGCGGTGCCACTGGCGCCCAGCGTCATGCATACAATGCTGCCCAAGAGGCGCAGTTCACTGCACAGTCCTCCTCCAAGCCCACCATTTTGGCAGGGCGCAGTGGCGCGAGCGCCGTTCAGCAAGAGCTGCACCAGCCCACCTCGTTCCAGCCCCACGTCGCCCATGTACACCGTGCTTCCGCGCTCGGCCAAGACACAAGCCGCGACAGCACCAAGGGCGACTGGCCTCACACGCAATCCCCCGCCAACGGTAGCAGCAAGCAGTCCATTTCAAAGAGCAGCAGCACCGACAGCGCGAGTTCCAACCGCAGCAATGGCGACTGGCACCGCCAGCAGCTCCAGCAGCGACAAGAGCAAATCCAGGCTTTCGAGAACGATCTCGGCGCTGTTTCTTCTCGAGTCGGTGGCCTAAAGCAAAAGGCCGCCATCATGGGCGCCGAGCTTGATATGCAGAACGCCATGCTTGATGAAACGCAGCGCAAGATGGATCGTGTCGAAGGCAAGCTCGGTTCTGCCCAGCACAAGGTGCACAACCTCATGAAGTAGTGGGTGAAGTCGTGGGTGATTGTTTTTTTTTTTTTTTTTTTTCTTTTTTGAATGCATGGGTGGTTTTGTACTTTTACTGAATTTGGGGTGCACCTCCGATGAATGATTTTTGGAGGGATTCTGTATAATACATCGTTTCAAACAGCAAGACTAACGTCAATAGTCAACAAAATCCATTGAAGAAGACTAGACTTGTTACTGCTCTGGATTCTCGCACGAACCGTCCTTCCACCCGTCGCGCCAGCGCTCATCCACACGCGAGCAGTCAAACTCGGGCTTGCCTTGACGCCGATTGACCTCGTTGTGCAGTCGGCAAAACCATTGCGAGAGGCCGAATCGCGAGGTGACGACAGGTTTGTCGGTTACCATTTCCCCGCGCATGTGATCCGCGCAGTAGTCGCACGGGTAGACTCTGCAAGCGCGAATCATCCATTAGAGACAAACCAAAAGTCAGAGATCAGAGGACGGCGGAAACTGTCATTCCACGCAAACAACAAACCAACACAAGAAGTTCATACCGCGAAAAGAAGGTGAGAAAGTTGGACATGTCGGACTGTTGCTTTTCGGATGGCTTGTCTGGATAGTACGCAGCCATCGTGTGCAAGAAAGTCCAAGTGGATCGGCCAAGTTCGACCGAGTCTGCAGGGCAGTCGTCGCGAATCTTTACGTTTATGGGCGGAAGGGAGGCAAGGGGGGGGGGTCAGTTGGTCATTGAGAATTCGCCATGGAGCGACGCATTTTGTTGTTCTTACTGTGGGTGGCTGGGGTTGACTTGCAGGTGCTTCTTGAGCTGCCACAGGGCTCGATGACTGTGCTCCCAATGCAGCTGCAGCCAATACCCCACCAGCAGCAGCAGCAGCAGCAGCAGCATTGTTGGCGGCCTTCCCTGCTCCAGATGCCGCGCCACTCGGCCCAGACCCAGATCCAGACTCACTTGAGCCAGACGAGTGACCTGATCCAGCAGCGGGTGCCGCGTGCTTGCTCTGCTGGGACTGGCCCGTCGTCATCACTGTCTTGGCGCCACCGCCGCTCGTTCCGCCTGCCTTGCCGTCCGATCCGGCGCCGACGCGCGTCCACGACTTGAAGTCTGTGCAGATCTTGCATGTTGCTTCACGCATCCGCATTGCCTCGGCGTTGGTCATATCGACGCCCGTGTAGTCGACGCCCGGCTTTGGCTTTGGCTTTGGCGGTTGGCTCGGCGTTGCACTGGGATCTGCTTGAACCATTGGATGCCCCAAGGAAAGTGACAACAACTAGGACTGAAATGCAATGTAATATAATGCAATTGGATGAATATCGTAGTGTGTGCAACGTGGAGCAATCCAACAGACATTGTCCAAAGCAAGATGCTCAGAACTTTGCCAGATTATGAGCAAACAGCCAGGTTTTGATGCAAGTATTACACTATTGTACAAGCATGTTGCTGATTGACCTGGATCGATGATGCATGGGATGAGGAGGTCTCAGTCTCTATTCCTTTGCAGCCATTCATTCTTCTTCGACATCATGGCCTCGTTGCGCGTCGAGTACGAGCTGGAAGGCCCAGCGGCGGCAGGAGGATCAGCGGCCGCAGCAGTTGTGTCGCTTGAGCAGCAAATCCTCGGCATGTTGCGCACACTCGACGGCAGCAAGGTGAGCAAAGCCAGAAGAGACAAAGACGAGGCTAGACGACGACGGAGACGGGATCAATGACGCTGCAGTGCTCGCCCCAGCTCAACGATGATGCGGACGCTGCGTTATTCAGAAAGCGAGAAAGGCTTGTATTGAGTCGGAGTCGGAGTTGGAGTTGGAGTTGGCGTCGGAGTGGATGAGCAAACACTCGCTTGGCTGGAAGCACCATTGAGCATATGGAGCGACCTTACTGTCCCCACTGTCCCTCTCTCACACACAATGCACCTCAAGTGCACAAACTGCTGCTGTGGCTGACTGACTGACGTGTTGCCATTGCTTTGAATGATGTTGGCAGATTACAATGACCGATCTCAATGCAAATCGATCTCCGGCAGAGAAGCAGACCATTGCTGCAGCCATCAACAAGCTGCTGAGCTCGGTAAAGGGCGACCCTGCTATGCTATGCTATGCTATGCTGTCTGTATTAGCACGACGTTGTGTTTGCAGCAGAACCAAACAAAAAAAATTAACGGATGGTTTGCGGCAGGGTCTGGTGGAGATGATCAACAATGGCAATGCAGTGAGGCTTATTGCGTCAGCCAGCAAGCTCGCAGGCATGGACGCAGACGAACGACTCATCTACCAGACAATCGAGTCAGTCAAGAACAGAGGTACGGCAACGCAAAAAAACAACAAACGATGATGGGCGATTCATGGTCGCTTGGGAACTGACAATCCGGCTCCTTTGATCTTTGATGCAAATCTCTCTTTCTGTACATCGCTGCAGGTATCTGGACTCGTGATTTGCGGCACAAGACAAACATTGGCATTGGTCAACTCAACAAGACACTCAAAAAGTTCGAGACGGCCAAGCTCATCAAGGCAGTCAAATCGGTGGCGGTAAGCAATCCGTGAAACCATGTCTTCACCATTGGTTTGGAAACAAAAAACATGTCACACTGACCCACCAGAGCACATCACATGTCGCCCACAGGCCTCCAAAAAGAAGGTGTACATGCTCTATGATTTGGAACCCGACAAGACCTTGAGCGGAGGCGCCTGGTACAGCGAACAAGAGTTTGACAGCGAGTTTGCGCAGCAAATCCAACACGCTGTGCTGCGATACCTCAAATCCCGAGTAAGTGCTGAAGTCGGCAGTGCATTTGCATTGCACTTTTTCCACCTTGCTCACACCCTGTGCTCTGTGCACTGTCGTTCCCGCAGTACGAATCGTGTAGCGCGGAACGCAAGTACATTGACAGCTTTGTTTCCTGCGAGGAAGTCACCCAACACATTGCCGACATCAAGCTGGCGACCATCGCTCTAAGTTTTCAAGAAATTCACGAGGTGCTCATTTCGCTCGTGTACGGCGGCGCTCTAATTGTCAAGAGCCATCCGCTGCCGTTCACGCGCTATGACAATGCACCAGATCCAGATGCGCACTACCTCTCATACTTTGTCATGCAGCAAGAAGATGTCGATCCCGGGCTCCAGCTCTTTGCGTGGAAGGAGCTTCGCTTGCCCCCAACTCCCATGGCGACAGTGCCTTGCGGTGTTTGCCCAGTAAGTGTTTGGGCGAGACGGAATTGTGCCGCGCGAGTTTTGGTATTTCTTTTCAGAAGCTGAAATTGACCTTCGTTCTCTTCTCGCTCTTCCCCCTTCATGTCTCAGGTGTTTCAATTATGCGAAGACGGCGGTATCATCTCCCCAGAGACGTGTCAGTACATGGATGAATGGTTTGCTACGCGACGCCAAGGGCCCTCGTCCACAATGCAAGCCATGCAGTTCTAGATGCAACGAAATACACTAGCAGCTTGGTAGTTTTTGATTCCATTCTACAAGACGGATTGCTTTCGTCAGTCAAAATTGAAAAGATTTAATCATTGTATGCTTGCAAAGGACAGGGTCGGAAAACACCATTCTAAATGCAAAACACACTTCAAAAACGCATTTTGAATCGGAAAAACTCAAAATCCACCCAATAACATCCACGCCAAACAAAAACAAACACACCAAAAAGAAAAGAAAGGAAAAAAAAGGACAACAAGCTCATTGAAAAACGCCCCAATACAGCCAGAATACTCCCAAGAGCACCGCAAGGACTCCGAACAGCAGCGCCTGACCCAAACTAGAAGAGACGAAGGGCTTTCTTGCGCTCAAGCTGCTTCCACTTGGGCTGCTTGCTGAATTCGGACTTGGTGCACTCGAACAGCTCTTGGAACTCGGCGTCTGAGAGGTAATGCTGAGCGATGGTAATCAAAATGAACATGAATGCAACTGACGCGACTGGTCCCACCACACCACCTCTCCTCGTTACACATAAACTCAAACGCAACCCAACATACCTCCATCATGGCCTCGTTCACGCCAAACGGCTTCTTCACCAGCTCCTGATAAGAGTAGGTCTTGTCAGGCTTGAACACGTCGCTGTCGATCTCGCTCTTGGGTCTGAATCCACCGCTGACGCGAGCAGCACCATTGCTCGCACCGGGCACTGGACGAGGAGTAGCCTTGGCAGTGTCAGTCGTAGCAGCACCAGTGACGATGGCTGGGCTGGTCGCTGTGCGGACAAACTTGTTCGCGTCAAGCGTCGAGCCAGTAGTAGCAGTGGCGCGCGGGAGCTTGCCGGGCTCGGTTGCAGCAGGCGAAGAAGAAGAAGAAGAAGCTGCGCCAGTAGATTCGGTGCGCTTGTCAGATGAAGAAGCAGGTGCACGGGATGAGGCGTCCGACGGAGCTCGAACCAGCCCAGCTCCGGGACGACGCACAGCGCTCGTGCTCGTCGATCCAGAAGGCGACGAAGCCGCACTAATGACCTCAGATCGCGCGTTGGCGATTCGCGAGCCGGTGAAGGTTCGCTTGCTCGATTGCTCCACCTTGGCCTCGAGTTCGGCCACCTGAGCGAGAAGCTTGCCACGCTCCGTGGCAGTCACAGACTCCAAGTGCTTGCGCTGCTCTTCGAGCGACTTGAGCTTGAGCTCGAGATCGGTGATTCGGGCCTTCAGCTGCACATTCTCCACCTCGTGTTGGCGTGCGTCCATCTCGATCTGGTGGGTGCGCTTGGTGGAAGCTGCGTCGCGTGCTTCTCGCGCGACATTTTCCACGGCGGAGCGCTCTGCAAATCCGCGCAAAGACAGCAGCTCCTCACGGAAGGCAAAGGTGGCATCAACATCACGCGCCGGTCGTGCAGCCAGCTGCAGACGCAGCAACTCGTTTTCGTCCTCCAGCGCCTTCACACGGCCATTGGCAAGCTCCAAGGCCTGTCCGAGCTCGGGGTGCTCGTCGTGGCGCGGATGCTTGTTCACCTGGCTGTAGATGGGAGACTTTGAGCGCGATGACGACTCGCCGTCTGCCCCGTTCTGATTCGGGGTGGTAAGGAGCGCGGCATAGTCGGAAGCCGGCATTTCGATGGAAGCCATCGATTCGCGAGGGTCGGCGTAGCCACCGTCGTCAGAGCGCGGGTTGCGCTCGACAACCAGCGTGACGACAGGCAGCTCGGCCGGGCGCCTCGGCACCGCCACCACGGGCGCAGCGTGTGCTTCTGGCTCGGCGACCTTGCTGTCCTTTGCGTCGAGGGGTTTGGCAGCCGGCTTGGAAGCAGCTGCAACAGAGGCGGTGCGGGGTAGAACAGCCGGAGGAGTGGCTTCGACTTCAGGCTGCGGCGGCGCAACAGCCTGTCGAGCAGGTGGTGTCGGGGGCGCTTCTTCTTCTTCCTCTGCTGCTGCTGCTGCTGCTGCCTCCTCTGCCTTTGCAGAGACTGCAGCGGCAACCTCAGTTGCAGCTGGTGCAGGTGTAGATACAGCTGAGGACAGGGGCTTTCCTGAGAGTGTATCCAAAGTCTCGTAAATTCCCTCGTCGTCGTGGTAGCCTGGCGAGCTGACGGCAGGAGGCGTGGTCGGCACGGGAGCAGGCTTTTCGACATCGACACGGTTGAACGGCAGTGGCATGCGTGGGCGAACACTCATCTTGCTCGAGGGAGCAGAGCCTGGCGCTGCAGGAGCTGCCACATCGGTGGTAATATACATGTCTCCGCTTTCGGACGGCAATGGCATGCGCGGGCGGACGGTCGATGCAGGGGCTGGCTCGTCGCTCGTCACGTAAATGTCGCCATCCTCGGCGGCAGCGGCGGGCACTTGAAGCGGCGGCCGTCCACGAGTGCTTGGCAGCGGCGGAGGCTCGTCGCTCGTAACGTACATGTCTTCTTCGTGAGCGGTGGTCGTCGGAAGCGGCATTTTGGGCCGTGCGCTGCTGGGCGGGGCGACGGCTGGGGCGGGCTCGAGTTCGAGGTACTCGTCGTCGTCGCGCGCCGGCTCGTCTGCTACAATGTAAAGATCTTCCGCGGCGGCAGGAGCCGGCGTCGGCTTCTTCTGGGACCGAGCCAGAATGGCTGCGCTGGCTGCGGAGGGAGCAGCTTGTTTCGGAGCCGGCTCGTCTGTCGTGACGTACATGTCCTCATCATCCGCCGCTGCAGTAGCAGGAGGAGCCGCGGAAGCGGGCTTTGGCTTTGAGCGTGCCAAAATGGCTGCACTCGCGGCAGACACCTTCGGAGGAGGAGCGGACGTTTCGTCGGCCGTAATGTACAGGTCGTCTTGAGCTGCAGGAGCGGGCGCTGCGGGCTTGGCGTTCGGCTTTGGCTCTGGCACGTCAGTGGTCACGTACATGTCCTCGTCGGCGGCGGAGGTGGCCGGAGCAGGTGCTGCAGCGGGCGCAGCAGCAGCAGCAGCAGTAGCAGCAGCAGTGGCCGCGAACGGCAATGGCATCTTGGGCCGAGTGGCTTGCGACTGCGTGCGCGCTCGCGGCTCGTCGGTGGTCACGTACATGTCATCCGAGGCGGCGGACGTGGCCACCGTCGGGGTCTCGTAAATGTCATCGTCAGCGTTGTCGGAGGGGGCCTCGTACAGTTCCTCTGCGATCGCCGGACGGGCGGCGGGAGCCTTTGAGACGGGCTTGGCGACGGCGGCGGCGGCGGGCGTTGCGCGACTTGTTTCCATTGTTTCGTAGATTGGTTCGGCGTCCGCTTCGTTCGTGTCTTCAGAATCAGAGTCAGTTTCAATAGCTTGCAAAATGATGCGGCTGGCCCGCTTTTGGAAGTGCTCGCGAGCGACTTCTTGTTCGTCCAGCCCGGCGAGATCGCGCTCTTTCTGGCTCAACTTACCCTTCACTTCGGTGAGTCTCGATTGCAGGGTGGAAATCTTTTTCTGGCGCTCGCTCTCTTCGTCCGCGTTGTCGGTCGCGTTGTCATTCGGGTTTCGCGAGATGGTTCGCGAGGGCGGAGCTGGGGCATCGGTTTCCTCGGCTGCCAGTGCTTCGATTGAAGAGGCTTTGGTGAGCTTGCCAACGTTGTCGAGGTCGCTGCCGATGGAGTCTGCCTTCTTGAGCTTTTGATGGCGCTCGGACTCGACCAATGCCTTCTTGTTCATGATCGAGACCATAACATCTGTGCGAGCCAATCAACAAACAAAAAAATGAAGAAGAAGAGTCGATAGGGAAGAACAGACAGTGTCAACAAAAGTGAGAGACAGTTTCACGCAGCAACCGCACCAATGGCGAAAGACAAATGCCGTACCAGATGCCTCCGAGACAATCTCGTGAAGCCGTTTCACCCAAGCAAGCATGTCATTTTGATCGAAAGCCTGAAGGAGGTAGTGCTCGCCCTGCACCGTGCTGACGCTAAACACGTTCGGTCGCTTGCGGTAGCTGTATGCGATCTCGGCGACGCATTGGCTGACATCCAAGACGCGCAACGGAGCCGCATCCTGAACATGGATGAGCACACAAATTTTGGTCGAGTTGGAGCAGAGGTGAGGTTTCAAGCTGATATGATCATCTTTTGCGATGCTTTGCTGCTGTTACCTTTCGCTTGGTAGGGTCGAGCTTGGGCGCATAGTGGTCCTTGTAGGCCGCGAGTTCGTTGCCCTTCAATGTAAAGTAGAGCTTGTTCCACGACCGGTCCTTGCTCTTCTTGCCGCCTTCCATGACCAGCTTGCGGTGCAGGTAGCCCTCAAGCACATCGGGGTTGGACGACTTGCTGTGTGCATCGCCTCCCGCGTCTGCACCAGAGCCATCCACTGCTCCTGCTGCTGCTCCAGCTGCTGACTGGTCCTTGCTGCTGCTTGAGCGGGACGATACGTCGGAGGCAGTGCGATCGCGGATGCTGCTTCCGTCAGCCCCCGACGCCGACGCCGACGCAGCAGTGGCCGCAGCAGCCGCCGAGTTCACAGAGGCCGCCGATGCGCCACCGACAGGCGAAGCGGTCTGCACGGGCGCCGGCTTGACGACCGCGGCGGACTGTGCGGAGAGCGACGAGCGCGCAATCACGCTGTTGACGAGCTGCATGCCGCTCTGCTTGCGTGTCGGCGGGGTGCTCGTCCCACTGCCAGTTCCATTGCCATTGCCATTGCCATTGGTGGTGGTGGTGGTGGTGGTGGTAGTGTTGCCTGCAGAGGCAGATCCAATGCTGGCTGCATCCGCGTTGGGGCCGTTGATGTTGTCGTCCGTGCTGTCGACGCTGTTGATGCTTGTTTGGCTTGCGAGCAGCGCTGCATTCGGCACGACCATGCGCTTGCCCAGCCGCGGCGACGATGCGGGCGACGACGACACGCTCGATGAGGCGAGCTTGTCGACGGCCGCGGACGCAGAAGAGCCGCTCGCTGGCCGATGCGGAGGAGGAGGAGCAGTCGTCGTGCTGCTGCTGCTGTTGTTGCTGCTGCTGCTGGCCTCCGACGCTGCTGCTGCTGCTGCTGCTGCTGCTGCTGCTGTCGCTTGAGTGGACGCCGACTCGGTTGCTGCTGCTGCTGCTGCTGCTGTTGCAGATGACTCGTGCGTTGAATCACTCATTCTTAAAAAAAAAAAAAAAAAAAAATGAAGAATAATCAAAAAATGAAGAATAATCAAAAAATGAAGAATAATCAAAGTATGGAATTTGAAAAAAAAAAAAAAAAAAAAAGGCAACAACAAACAAAAACTCAAAAAAGGGTTTTGAAATGAAGAACAATGGAAAACAAAACAACAGAATGACACAAAACGCAGAAATGATCATAAGAAGGGAGAGAAGTGGAAAAAGGAGAGAGTGAGAGAGTGAGAGAGAGCGAGGGAAGGAGGGAAGGAGGGAAGGGGATGGGGAAGGGGGAGGGGAAGCGGGGAAGGGGAAAGAAGAAGGAGAGAGGCGCGGTGGTGGGAAAATAACGGATGAATGGAAAACGAGACGACGGAATCACACACGGATGGAGTGTGAGAGGGAAGGGAAGGGGAGAGAGAGGGAAACAACAAGGGTGTATCAACGAGGAGAGTGCGTTAGGGGGGGGGGTCGGTGGTGCATCAGTCGCCGGCCGAACGAAATGCGAGAAGCACGCAACAAAAATACCACCAAACCAAAACACGAAAACAACCCAAGATTCTAAGATTAGCGGTCAAATATCCGAGAGAGCTATACTGTACATGCACAACAAGAAACAAGCAAGAAACAAGAACAAAATCCCGAACATGGAAGACAAAAAACCACAAACAACAACAACAACAACAACAACAACAACAACAACAACAACAACAACAACAACAACAACAACAACAACACAAAAAACACCAAAAACTGCACAAAAGTCTGGGGTCACTGTTCACTCACAACATGGCAACTTTAAGGGCGAGGGGGCTGGAGAGTATCGTAGCCGTTCGTGCCGGAGGGAGGCGCGGGAGAGCCGATCGTCTCGTACTGCGAGGCTGACGCCCCAACGTCGGTCACAGGCGAGCCAATCGTGTCGTACTGCGAAGTTGAAGAGCCAGCCGGGGTGACAGCTGCGTAGTTTGACGTAGAGTGTCCAACAGGAGCCTTGGAGAGGGTGGATGAGGCAACGTCCAGCTGAGCATAGTTTGGAGTGAACTGCAAGTCCGAGTACAGACCGGCGTCCTTGGTGCCAGTAGAGCCCGGTCCCCAGGCACCCACATCATCGTAGTGCGCGTGCTGAGCGGAGATCAGCTCAAACTTGGAAGGCGAGTCGGCAACCCAGGCGTTCGTCTCGGTGGGGTCAAACTTTGACTGCTTGGCACGGATGGGCTTGGCATGACGACGGCGACGAGCGACAATCACCAGTGCAACGAGCAGAAGAAGGCATAAGCCACCAAGAGCGGCTCCGAGAATAATGGGCAGCAAAGAGGAATCGTCCCCATCGCCTTGCGCAGCAGAAGAGGCAGAGACAGACGCGGCCGATTGGGCAGAAATGGCAGAAATGGATGCAACCGACTGTGCAGAAGCGGCCGACGCTGCAGAAACAGCCGACTGGACGGAAGCAACGGACTGGGCAGAAAGCACCGACTGGGCCGATCCGGCAGACTGGGCAGATGCAGCCGACTGGGCCGAAGCAACTGACTGGGCAGATGCAGCAGATTGGGCAGAGACCGACTTGGCACTGGACGCTGATTTGGCAGACACGGACGAAGCAGAGATAGCAGATTGCGCAGAAAGAGCTGAGACGGCAGAGCTGGTTGCCGCCGACGCAATCGACTGAGCAGTCGTCGAGAAGCAAGTGTTATCTGCCGCCATCGTGTAGCCGCTGTAACACTCCTGGCAAGTGGTGCTGTTGCAATAGAGACAGTTGGTTGGGCAGCAGTTGGTGGGCAGGCCACCGTAGCAAGTCGCGCACTCAGTAGGACAAGCTATTTGAGGGGAAAATGCAAAGTGTGTGATCAGCGTGAGTACTGAGAACCCCCGGAAATCAAAGGTGCAAGTCGCAGCATTGACCAACGTACAAAAAACAAGCGCCAGACTGCCGTAGGTGCTGGGAGGTGTTCGCACGGCGCCGCCGAACGAAAAGTTGTGGGGATTCAATTCGGCAAATCCCGACTCCGATGAAAAAACTCCCTGGAACAGCCCAGGAGGAAGGGTAGTGGCGCGGATATTCTTCAAGCTTCTGCAAACAAGTACAAGCACGTCGATGAGAATGCAACTAGCACATGCAAAGCACTCGGCAACGGGTGACCAAAGCTACTGACATGAATGACATCTCAGCCAGACCAGCAAATGCGCCGGGAGCAACGCTAGAGATGAGAGAGGAATGAAGGCCCCTGGGAAAGATGATAACGGAACAATGTCAGTGTTTGTGTGTCGGCAAAGAGGAAAGCTTCAAGTTGTCGCAAGATGGAAAGAAACCGTACAAAACCTGCAAGCTTGTGAGCGAAGCAAAAAGCCCAGCGGGCAGAGTGGTGAGTTTGTTTTGAGTCAAGGACCTGTGGAGGACGGAAAACCCAACCAATGTCAATGTCATGTTTTGTGGTTTGCAGCAGTCTACAAGCGAGTGGATGTTACAGGGAGGTCAGCCGAGAAAGTCCTGCAAAGGCTTGCGGTGAGATGGAGGTGATTGCCGAAGCGTCCAGTTGGCTGAGGATGCAAGCAACAAACAACCGGTCAGAAACAGCCAGGCAAAAAAAAAAAAACCAACAAGACGCAACAAGCATGAAAAGCATGACAAGGCAAAAACAACACCAACGCGCGACCTACAGAATTTTGAGATTTTCCAAGCCATTAAACTGTTCCGCGACAAGCTGAGTCAGGGGGGTCGAGTCGAGACGCCTAAAACAACAACAACAACAACAACAACAACGCCATCACCAGATTTCGTTAGCATTGCATTCCTCTTATAGCGTAGATTTTGTTCCATGAAGACGTACAGATAGGTCAGCTGAGGCAAGCTGACAGACTCTTTAAAGTACTTGGTTGGAATCGAGGTCATTTCCGACGAAGGCATCGATCTGCCAGAGCGCGCTGTGAGATGCGTCGTGTGCAATGAGCAACGAAGAAGGCTAGAAACCTTACAAGAGTTCCAGTCCTGGGAGCGCTGTGAGACCAACATTTTGAAGCGTAGTCACCGCACTGTTCAACATGAAGCTGTCGAGGCAAGCACAGGTTTTGTTGTTAGTCACCTTTCGACTCAAAACGAAAAACAGCGGCGCCATTCACAAAATCTGCCTTACAGGTTTTTCAGGTTTGGAAGCAGCTCGAGGACCTGAGACGCTGGCACGGTGGTGAAATCACCGCTCATTGTTCTGATCCAACGCACAAAAGGACAAGCAAATGAGAACAAGTTTGAAAAACAGCGAGCCCTCCATCAAGCTGAACACTGTACAGTGTATTGAGCGGCGCCAATCCATTCAGTGAGAAGGGTGCAAAACCGCCCACGCTGCTGATTTCCCTGCAGTGCAGATTGGGAAATTCAGCCAAAGTATGAGCCAACAATCGCGACCACCTGATTGCAACATCACAAGCACCACCACTGCTCTATCTTACAGAATGGCCAACTGTTCCAAGTGATTGAAGAAATAGGCCGGAATTGTCGCGTCGTCAAAATCAACCGACCTACAAAGCGCGCGCACGCACGATCGTGGTTGTGAGAGTGTGCATACATTACGGACTGGCAAACTGCTACAATTAAACTCAAACTTACAGCTCGGTCACGCTCGTGTCGACAATCATTGAATTTGAGAATGCAGCAGATCCCATCAGGCTGCCATAGTCACAGCAAAAACGGAAAATGACCAAGAATGAGCTGCACATTCCCACTGTGATCGCGTTCGTCAATACAAACTTACACAAAATTGAGAAGAGGCAGTTGTTGGAAGGCAGAATCCTCGACAGATCCCGGTCCGAGCGAGTAGGGAAGAGTGCTGCTCCCAAAAGATGAGTAAGAATGAGCAATCACACAAAACCATCAGAAACAACGGAGATCATCTCTTTACATGCGAGTAAGGCCGGGAAGGGCCGCTAGGTCGGCAGCGGAAATTGCGGTCACTCCGGAGTTGAGCAAGTTGCTGTTTGATTCAATAGAAACATCACATCGTACAACGTGATACAATGTGAGCGGCCACAGAAGGAAAGCCGGCAAAATTTGGCGTCATCACGACACTCACAGATCGCCCCACGGCGGGTCGACGTCTGGAAAGTCGCCATAGTCCGCAAAGGCGGTAAAGCTCGCGGTGCAGACAATCTGCTGGTATGCGCAGTAGCACGCCGAGTCGCATGGATCCGGTGCGGCGTTGACCACCGCGGCGGCGCCGAGCACAAGAACAAACCCGACCACCAAAAGCCGATTGGACCGTATTTCGAAACGTGTCATTTTCCCGCTTTTGCTTTGGGTGTTGGAAAGTGGATCTTGAAGCAAACAAAGCACAAGGCAGACAAACAACAAATATAGGAGGGCGATGGTGAGCATTGATGGACGAATTTGGCTCGTAGCCAATGTATGCGTCAGCCGAAAAAAGCGAGATATTGTTGAAGGGGAAAACAAAAAATGCCAAAACAAGGAAGAGAAAAAAAAAATAAACAACAACAACAAACCCACCGCAATCCTCCGCGTTGAAGCAATGACGAAGTTTTGCTGTGCTACCTCCCTCCCTCGAGATAGAAGCTTGTTCGTGAATGCAGCATTTTGTCGCGGTTGGTGCAGTCGGTGGTCAAGTGTCATGGGTGCATGTGGGTGTGTGGAATGGGGCACGACGTCGAGGCTGATGCGTGAGATGTGACAATTGGGCGTATTCAATTCGCTGTTTATTTTAATTGAAGAGAACCCCTTTTCTCTGTCTCTCGTTCTCTCTCAATCTGTATCGCTCACACACTCTATATCTCTATGTATCTCTATGCCTGTCTCATTGATTCATTTTTAATGTGAAAATGGCGGGTTGCGTGTGGCTGAGCAACTGCACTTTGAGCAAAAGAGGTGACAACGGTATGTTGTGGTGTCCAAAGCGCCTCTTCCCCCGCGTCGTCGCCTTCCCGAGCGACACATGCAAATCGGGAACACCACTCCACGCACTGTGCGGCTTACCGTAAAAACAAATGAAAAGCAAGATCGAAAGAGTGGAAAAGCAACAAAAAGAGAGACTGGGAAAAAAAAAAAAAAAGCAACAAGAAGAATGAGTCGTCAACCAAAACATAAATACAATTGAAAACATAACGAAAAACAATCACATAAAATCACTTAAAATCACTTAAAATCACACAAAACAACGAAAAAAAATAACAAAAAACCCGGCGTTTTCTCCAGAAATGGAAATTGGGAACGCTCCACCTTCACCACGAAACTGAAACTGGAAAAAAAGAATCCTGCGCACGGGAAAAAGAAAAATGGCGCGCAGTAGATCAAAATGAACAAGCCATGCAGTGAGGCGTGGAACAAAGGAAAACAACAACAACAACAACAAATGGTGCGCTGGAATGCCGACGCGTCGGAGCTTTATCCCAAAGAGGCACAACATGTTGTTGTTGTCGTGACTTTTGATGCGGTGTTTGGGGCGCATTGTGACACTGGCTTTGTGACACTGTGTGTTTGTGTACGCACCTTGCTGCGACTTTCGAAAGAAAAGATAATACAAGGAGAAGAGCAGATCAGTAGAAAACCAAAATTAAATAAACAATCACAGCAGCAACAACAACACACGAACACACGCACGACTGAAAGCATAACACCGAGATAGCATTCACAGTCATCGATCGCACTGCAAAAAGCACCGCGCCTATGTTTGACGAGAGACTTGCTTGAATCCTCGGAAAGGATCCCCGACATCCAGCGAGTCCTCGTCAAGAATCTCGTCGCTGCCGCGCAATTCCGACAAGCGCTCGTTAAAGGCGCGAAAGTTCGAGGTATCGAGCGGGTGGCTCAGCTTGGGCACGATTGGCGGCTGGGCATTGTGCAACAACGGCCAGTTGATGCTCTTAAAGAAGGGGTGCTTTTTAATGTCCGATGCACCATGCACGGCGCCAAGTCGCTTGGTTTCGTCCGTGTCGAGCAATCGCCGAATAATGTTCTTGCACGCTTTCGAGGTCTCGGGCCGATCGGGAAAGGTGAGCTCGCCGCGCATGATGCGATAAAACGTGGAATCGCGATCCGCGCCCTTGAATGGCGTGCATCCAAAGAGCATTTCAAACATGAGAATGCCCAGCGTCCACCAGTCGACAGAACTCGAGTGGCCGTAGCCAGAAATAACCTCGGGCGCAATGTACTCTTCCGTGCCAACAAACGAGTTGGTTTTCAACGAGACGCAGGGTGCAGTGTCGAACGATCCGGGGCCAGAATGGCCTCGAATGTAAGTCATGATCGAGGACTTGATGACGCTAGGCAGTCCGGAGAAGCTCGCCTGCTTCGAGAGGTCAAAGTCGGCCAGTCTGAAAGGTAGGGAGCCGAGGAGGAGGGGAGTGAGACGAGGTAACACCATCATCAAAATCAAAAACGAATAAAGAGTCCAAAAAAAAAAACCGAAAAAAAAAACCGAAAAAAAAAAAGCTCCACCTCTCCCGCGTTTGAAAGCATCCTTCCCCCCCCCCCAACACAAACGACAAAGTCCCAACATACTTGACATGCCCAGACTCGTGCAGCAGGATATTTTCCGGCTTGAGATCGCGATACACGTATCCAATCATGTGCAAATACTCGAGGGCTGAAATGACTTCGGCCAGGTAGAATCGAACGTGGCTCTCCGGAAGGCACTTCTGCGGCATATGTTGCAAAGTGCTGTCATCGAAAGAGAGCAAAAGACAGGGGCACAGGTGAGCGTCAGCGGCTCCCAAATCATCCGTCCTCAACCTCAACCTCAACCAATACGCCAAAATCGCACACCTACCGAAAGAATTCGCCACCAGCACAGTACTCCATGACAAAGTACAGCTTGTCGGTGGTTTGGAACGAATAGAACAGACGAACGATGAACGGATGCTTGGCAGTGGCGAGAATCTCGCGCTCGGTCAGAACGCGCTTGACCTTTTTCCGCCGCACCATCTCTTGCTTTGTGAGTACTTTCATCGCGAAAAGGCGTTGTGTAGCCTTTTCCATCACAAGGAAGACTTTTCCGACATCTCCTGTTCGATCCGTCAGGCAAGCAAAGCAAAGCAGTAAAGACAACCAAAAAAAAAAAAAAAAGCCAATCATGGAAAAGTCAATACAAGGACTCAACAATGCCTTCGCGCAGCAAAAGCGAAAGAGAGACCGGAGCCAAGGTTACCTTTTCCCAGGAGCTTCAGCTTGACAAAGCTGTCTGGCGAAACAGAGGTGGAGAGAGGCTCATCTGGGGCATTGTACGACATGACGGGAAACTGCTGCAATTGGTGGCTCGTGGTCGTCCCTCGCTTGACATTAAACTCAATGCCGCTGAGACCGCCACTGTCGCTGTCATCTGTTCGGTACCCGTTGTCGGTCGAATTGCCGCTGTTACTGGTTGAAAAGTAGTGAAACTCGCTCGAGGCCAGCGATTTGGACGAGTTGTTCCTCGACACGCCATTCCCCGCGTCCGGATCGTCGGCGCCCAGCACTCGGTTGTACGTTGGCTTTGTGCCGACGACTCCAAGCAGAGCAGCCGCGGCCATGGCCGACCGGTGGCCTGCCCCGCCTCCGGGTGCTGCGCCTCCTGTTGCGGCCTGTGCAGCTGAATCCTGCTCGTTCTTGCGCAGAAACCGGCTCCACCCGCGGCTCTTTGCCTTGGACTGCCCACTGGATGTAGTAGTCGCAGTGGCGGTAGCAGCGCCGGCAGCAGTCTTGGCGGTGGTTCGGCTGGGTCGCTCGCCTGACGCCGCCAGAGCAGCGAGCGCGGCCGAGGTGAGCCCGCTGCCCTCCTCGTCGCTGGTCGTCGCGCCTCCGGGTGACGATGTGCCGCCAATGGAGCTTGCATTGGACGCCGCCGAGTGCTCCGATGACAATGGCTGCCCATTCAAGTCCTGGTCGTCGTCGTTGTCGGACGTAGAACCCTTTCTTCTGCCGCTGCCAGCCGAGGACTTGGTATTGCGACGAGCGCTACTTCGACCACTAGGCTTGCTGTTATTACTATGACTATGCTTACTACTGCTGCTGCTGGTTGAGCCGACCAGGCCGTGACTTGCATTGCCTGGCTTGCTTCCCGATGCTGATGTTGATACTGATGATGATGGCGGCCGTCGAGTCCGACCACCACTGTCACCACCAGCAGCACCACTGCCACGGCGGTTGCTGCTGCTTCCAGTCGAACGCGAGGCAGACATGGCGTCGGTCATTGCCAGTGCGCCAATCGTGGTCATCGTCCTGTTCCCAGCGACGACCAGACTGTTCGTGCTCGGCGTCGCCCGCAGGTCGCCCTCGCCGATGGTCTCGTAGAACAGGCCATCTTCCTCATCCCGAGGCCGGCGCCGTGGTCGGACAAGCGCCCCGAGTGGTCGGAGAAGGCCGCCCGCGCAGTTGCCCATTCACTCTCAGAACGCACGCGCCACGAAGATGTTGACAGGGTTTGGTGGAGATTATGAAAAGAAGAAAGAAGAAGAAAAAATGAATGATCGTGACAATTTAGAAAAAATACAGTACTGTACATGGTGAATTAACAAAAGTTGCTAACGAAACGATTGGGGTGGAGTGTTTTCGGTCGTGGGTTCTGAGTCACGAAAGTTCAACAACGGAGGCCTGTTGCTGGAGCAAATGCAGCAAATCGAGCAGCTCGCAGCTCTCATCCGGCTCGTCTGGGAGTGGTGAAAGGGGCCGATGGGTGGTGGTGTTGCTGTCGTTGCTGTCGTTGCTGTTGTCGTCGTCGTCGACTTCCAGCACAACGTCCTCGCAATGGGTCGAGCGTGCTAGAACCGGATAGGGATGAACATGACAAGGCCTGCTCGTCGCGCTTGCCGCAAGCGGTTTGTGGGTGCGAGAGCTGCGCGCTGTCGCAAGACAAGAAGAGTCGGCTTGGGCACGACGAGAAAATACGTTCGTGTTCTGCGATGCCAGACCAGCAAGAATAGAATGCAACTGTGCAGCTTCGGGGTCATCCAAGCGCATCTTTGGCTTCGAGGCGACCTCAGTCACATCCCTGCCATTGTCTCTGTTGCTGTCAGTCGCTCGGTCACGTAAAACGGTGCTTGATACTTCTTCCAAACTCGCATCCACGGCAATCACATCGGCGGAGGAGGCCGGTCTTGGCGCCGGTACCCTTCGTCGTTTCAACGGAGAAACACTGCCACAAAGAGACTGCGACACGACGTCGTCCAACAAACTAATGACTGGTGCTTCGAGCGACCGCAAAGTAGCAGTCTTGCGCGGTGATACTGGCAAGGGTCGATCGGAGAAGAGACGGCCTGGGGCAAATCCTCGACGATGGAGCCGACGCCCAGGAATCCGCGGAATGGCGGGTACAGCACTGGAATTCTCTTCTCCCGATTGTACAGCAGATACACCAGAGCTCAATCCAGCCATCGCCAGTGCTTGCGCAGGTAAATCGAACAGGAGAGACGTGGGGTGTCGATCGCCGGGCAGAATCTCTTGTTGGCGACCGCGATGACCGATGCACACGCTCGACATGAATGCAACAACCGAGGCAGGCACAACAGTCCGCGGTTGCGCGCCGACCGCGGGGTCAATACGCCGAAGCAACCCTCCAAAGTGCTGCCGCAAATCCGCATACAGCTCGGGGACGATGGGCAGAATATCCCGCGGTTTGACAGCCCGGACGAACGCGGCCATTTCAGCAAAGGACGAGTGCAGTGAATAGGCCACGGTGAACAGGTGCGACTGGACAAACTCTTGCCGCTGGTAGTCGCGCAGGCGGCGTTCGCTATCGTGCTCCGCGCCTGCTTCCGCGCCGCTGCCGCCGCCTGTGCTGTCGACAGCAGCGCCCGGCACCCTCCAGTGCATACGCTCTTCAAAGTTGGCATCAGAAGCACGTACCGGCAATTGCGCAGATGGGGTTTGGACAGCGCCACCACTGCCACGATCGAGATTCTGGCCAGCAGCTCCGAGGCGACCCGTGCCGTTGTACAGCGGGTTTTGGCACTGGCCAGAAGGCAGAATGGCAATCGTCGGGTATTCACGGTTCCATGCAAACAACCGCTCCGCGGTAACCTCGCGCTTGCCAACCACCCAGATGCGGCTGTCTGTCGGGTTGCTCGTAAACACGTCGCGCGCACCGATGAGCTGCAGCGCGTTCAGCCGGCTCTGCGAGACGACAATCCAGGTCTGGAGGCGCAGTGCCACCGCCTCGAGCAGCTCCTCCTTGCCAAGTGTGTCAATGCCAATCATGACGCGGTGGTCGGGATGCTGCTCAATGATGTCAACGACGGCGTCGACGCCGGCCTCGCGCGTCGGAAAGGCGAACTTCGGGTCGCAGTACGTGTTGTCCAGATACAAGACATCGACATTGAGGCGGCGTCCGCCGTGCGCACCGCCAGCGAGCCTTGCGCCCAGCAGCGAGTCTTCCGGGTGGATGAGCGCCGGGCAGAAGCGAAAGTCGCCAGTGTACAGGACGTTGCCAAAGTAGCCCTCCAGCAAGAACATGACTGCGCCTGGGCAGTGGTTTGCATCGAACGCAGTCACCGTCATTGTCTCGGCGCCCTCCGGGTCGAGCGGGACCACCGTGGGCTCGTCCAGCTCGAGCGTCTCGACCAGCGACGCGTCGACGCCAAACTTGTGCAGCAGCAGCAGCCTTGTCACTGGCGAGCAGTAGATGGTCCCTTGCCGCCACGACGGCGAGAGGCCCTGCGTGTGGTCTATTTGGAAGAAGTCAAGTCACACAGGGGGAAAGGGGTGAGAAGACAGCAGCAGCAGCAGCAGCAGCAAACAAAGGCTGAGAGACACTGCAAACCATTGCAAGAAAGAAACGAATCAAAAAGTTTTGGCGCCAAAAAGCAAAGAAACGGCAATGCAAACTCCATACAAAACGCCAGTTCATGGGAATCCAAAAATTTTGCTCGTGCTATTTTATGTACCTGCATGGAGATGTGACAGGAAGAAGATCTTGATGGCTGGTGGAGGTCGCCAGCAGTCGAGGGCGATCGGCGTATTGGGAATGACCACCCCGACCATCAGCAAGGAGGATGAACGACTGAGCCAAGCCAAGTTAAGTTATCTCAGACTGAATGGCTTGGTGATTTGTGTTGATGACTTGTCCCAGTCCTTAACTTTTCAGTGTCGAGACTGGGTAAGATTGAGATCTCAGAGTTTTCAACATTTTGTATTGAACTGAATCGGTTGAATGGTGCATGACCTCAACTTACCCCCCCCCGCCTGACCCGATCGCCCCTCACCAGGTAGCAAACTATGGCACAGAGGCGATTCCCAACCACCCTCGCTGACTTTGGCTACGACTTCAACCGCCGAGGCGAGCTGCGCAACGTTGAAACGCGTCGGCCGTAAGTTCGCTCCGCTCTGCTCTCTCGCTCTCTGCCCTCGCTCGCGGCTCCTCGCGTCGCTCTCGCCGGCGCATTCAGTCGTTAAGATTGCTGTGGATCGTGCTTCTCTGTTGCTTGAGTGATGCGTTGGCGGCGATCGCCCGCCTTGTTGCTGGAGTTGCATTATTGCTGGGATTGCTGGGATTGCTTAGATTGCACGAGGAGCGAAACGCTCGTCAAGCTCATCATCAAACCTGACCTGACCCTGACAGATTCGAATTTGTGGATCAAAATCACTACGATGCCCTGGGCGAGGCAATTGCCGAGCGCGTCTACGAGCTCATGGAGACAGACACCCACTTGACGCGAGTCCAAGTCCCTGTGGACGGAGACACGGCCAATGCGAGCAGCCGGATTCCTGCGGCGCTTGGAGGCGATGACGACGACGACGACGAAGCACTGCCGACTACATCTGGGCCAAAGGGATTCTTCTTCATGTCACGCGATGCGCTGGAGGCAGACAAGCTCATGGTGCTGATTCACGGTGCTGGCTATGTGCGTGCGGGCCAGTGGGCTCGCAGGCTCATCATCAACGAGTCGCTCGACTCTGGGTCGATGCTCCCCTTCATTAAGCGGGCGCAGGCCGAGGGCTACGGTGTCATGGTGCTCAACGGCAACCTCAACGCGGCTATCGACCCTGCGACCAACCGACGCGGCTATATTCCAGGCAACAGCTCTCCCGAGGACCACGCCGTGTACGTGTGGGATCGCTTCATTGCAAGCGCCGCCGCCCGGCACATTGCGATCGTTGCCCATTCCTACGGAGGCATTGTCACAAGCAACCTCCTGGCCGTCCGCCCAGACGCCTTGCAGCGCGTCGCTGGCATTGCCCTGACAGACTCGGTGCATCGCCTCAACTCGAGCTTCCCGGCACCCGTGCGCAAGTTCTTTGAAGAGGTAGGCGGTTGTGTGTGTGTGTGCGATTTCGGTAGGGTTTGAATGCTGTTCAGCATGGAAAGGATGGCATCGGCATTCACGTTCGAGGGTGTTTTCTTGTGTTTGACATGTCAGCACTGCATCAACTGGGTTGCTTCTCTAGCACCTCTTGACACTCCCGAACGATCACCTAAAGGCGACTGCGCCCGAGTTTCGTCCGGTAAAGTGTCGTGTTCTCGTTCTTACTCTTGCAATTTGAGACCCCCATCGCTCATCGCTCATCTTTTTTGTTCAATCGTACCGTCCATCACACAACACAGGCGCGGGCAAGCATGAAGAGACATCCTGGGCAGCGTACGAGTCCATCTTCCCGTACTTGGCAGACCAGATTGCGAATCATTACTTTTAAGTCCCCCCATTCGTAGTTCGAATCAAGTATATGTTGTTGTTGTTGCTCGCTTTCAGAATGCCTTTTTTTGCGCAAGTACACATCATCCTCCATTGGGATTGTGATCACTCTTTCATTCTGACCCAGCAAAATGCTTCGGTAACGACCCGGCTTTGTGCTTCCCTTTTGTTTTTTTGTACTCTTCATGACGATTCGCTTTGAGAAGTTGCATCGTTTGATAGTTTGATGGAGTCGAGTGGACGAAGAGCGGAAGGGAGAGGGAAGAGGGGAGTAGCTGCTGGAGAGGTCCATGTGTGTGTGGCAAATGCATTGACCTCATGGGTCCCATCGCAGCCCCATCACTCCGTTTCTCAACCCTTTGGGGGGAGGAGGAACCCTCACTTAAAGTCCCATCTCCAATCACTGAGTCCTCTGGTGATTGTTGCACAAAGGGGCGATGATGTTCGTTGCTCACTCGTGGTCCCCTCTCGGTTCCGTTGTATGTCAACCCCCCAGTCGCAAGCCATCGTCCGCGGCAGGTGCCAATGCAGACAACTCTGCTGCTACTGCTGATGCTGCCAACAAGCGCGTTCGTGTGGATGGCGATGCCGACGTCGCAAGTGCAATCGTGCCCGCTGCCGAGTCCGCACATGTCGTCGCTCAGTTCGTGTAAGGCCACGAATCTGAGAAAACAAAAAACCGAAACAAGAAAGCGTCTGAGAACGCCGAGATAATCGAGAATCAAGCATCGGTGTCGATCTACATTGACAAACTCTGCTTGCTATTGTGCACTGTCGACACAAACAGGGCCGAAGACGGATCCACAACCGGTCCGCCGCTTGACTTGCCACTGAATGTTACGCCGGATCAACTTCGCATTCTGCTCAACTCGTTGCTGAAGGCTGTATGTGCATTTTGTTGGGAGGGGGGATTACAGCTCAATCAACCGCTATGTGAGAACTCGCGCTCACGACTGGTTGCTCGATTCATTTTGGCAAGGAGGAGGACGACACTCCGTACTCGTTCTTTGTTAACGAAGAGGAAGTCACTGAAACGGTGCACAGTGCTTTCGCCAAGCAAGGACTCTCGTCGGAAGTTGCTCTGCAGATTCTCTACGTGCCCCAGGCAGTCTTCCGAGTACGAGCTGTGACGCGCTGCACCAGCTCAATGCCAGGTCAGTTGAATGCTTCTGTGTCAGCAAGTGGTTGGATTGTGCTCTGACGACGATCATCACTTATCGCGTGTTGCTTTGGAACAGGTCATTCGGATTCTGTAACGACGGTTGCTTTCAGTCCCGACGGCACGTAAGTCAAAAGCTGTCAAGCTGTCCCGTTCTGTGTGTATGTGTGTTTTTATTTCCTCGATCAGTCTCGCCAACGTCTGGTGTTTGGATTTTTGGGTGGTTTCAATCATTCAGTCGGCTTGCAAGTGGCTCGGGCGATACGACCGTTCGATTCTGGGATGTGCGCACACAAACACCAGAACATACTTGCACAGGTTTGTCTTGTTGTTTATTGTTCTTGTGTCGGTTTTTGTATTGGATTTGCGACTCATGTGCCTTTGCTCTCGACTCAACCTCGCCAGGACATAAACACTGGGTTTTGGCAATCGCGTGGTCGCCCGACGGCAAGCATGTCGCCACTGCTGATAAGAACAGCCAAGTGAGAAGCATTTTTGCTGCAGATCTTGTCGATGTCAAAAGTTTCAAAATCTCACACCCCTCTGTATTGCTTGATCGAATTATTGCCCCTTCAACTAGATTTATGTGTGGGATGCCGAGAATGGAAAGGCCAAGTGCGGTCCAATGACTGGCCATTCGAGCTGGGTGAATTGGATTTCTTGGGAGCCTGTGCATCTCAACCCCGAATGTCGCCGCTTTGCGACTGCTTCCAAGGACGGCACTGTCAAGATTTGGGATATTTTGCAAAAGCGATGCCTCATGACCTTTGCCCAGCACACAAATTCCGTCACATGTGTCAAGTGGGGAGGCGAAGGCTTGATTTACACTGCATCTCAGGATCGCACCATCAAAGTGTGGCGCGTTGCGGATGTAAGTTTGTTTTTTTTTTCTTTTTTGGTCGAGTTCACCATGTCTGTTCGCTTGGTTTTGTCTTGCTTGCGCCTGGCACTCACAATAACAACAACAACCTTGCAGGGCGTCATGTGTCGCTCGTTGACAGGCCACGCTCACTGGGTGAACGTCATGGCACTGAGTACAGACTACGTCTTGCGTACTGGTGCTTTCGATCACACCGGCCGTGCCCCAGCCACGCCTGAAGAAGGTGCAGACCATTGCTGCTCGTTGGTTTCACTCTGCCGAAATTTCAACTGACTTCTTGCCTGCGCTGTTTTTGTTTCTTTTCGCTCTTCTCCACATTGCCATACCCTTGAACTTGTAGCCAAGACTCGAGCCCTTGAGCGCTATAATGCTGCCTTGGCTGGCGGACGAGAGCGCCTCGTGTCAGGCTCGGACGACTTCACAATGTTCCTGTGGGATCCCTCCGAAAGCAAGCAGCCAATCACCCGCATGACTGGCCACCAGCAAGTTGTCAACCATCTGTCATTCTCGCCCGACGGTCGTTACATTACCAGTGCTTCGTTTGACAAGAGCGTCAAGCTTTGGGACGGTCGCACTGGAAAGTACGTGATGTTTGAAATGTCTTGTTGCTGACCGAGCCAGCAAGCTGGACACCTTTGCTCATCTAGCCCCGCTCGGTCGTCTTTGGCAGATTCATTTGCACCTTCCGAGGGCATGTCGGTCCAGTTTACCAAGTGGCTTGGTCGGCAGACTCTCGCTTGTGTGTGTCTGCCTCGAAGGACAGTACGATGAAGGTCTGGGATATGGCGAGCAAGCACCTCAAGTTTGATCTTCCCGGGCACGCGGATGAGGTTTGAGCGCAACAATCTTTGGCGTTTGAGTTGATTTGGTACCGCCTCCCTCGCAACACTAACACGCATGCGTTTGGTTTTTGTCCTGGTTGTTGTTCACTCGTAGGTATTTGCTGTCGATTGGTCCCCCGACGGTGAAAGCGTGGCAAGTGGCAGTCGAGACACGATGGTCAAGATGTAAGTGATGTTTGTCTACGAGTTCTGAATACTGCGAGTGCGACACCATGTGTCTGACTGCCGGTAAACTTGTGATTGTTTGTCTCTTCAAAGCTGGCGATCATAAGGCGCGCGCTCTGGCCCCTCTGTGCGACAAGCCTCAATCCGCCGACACCATCGTTGCTGATTAACACGATTCGAGTTGTTTCATTCTCTGCTTTGATTTGTTGTTGGAATACACAAACACGCGACAGTCAAAAACCACCACTTTCACTTCCATTAGGATAACACTTGAATCAACGACATGGAATTATGGTTGTGCGGCAGGACTCTTTGTCGTCGTGGGGGCCTTTTTGGGAGCAGCCGACTTGGCAGCAGCAGACGCGGGTGCCTTGGTTGCAGCAGACGGCTTTTTGGCCTTTGTGGTAGCAGCAGCAGCGCCCTTAGTCTTGCTTGCTGCTGGCGACGACTCTGCGGCTGGCTTGGCGGAAGTAGAGCCAGCAAGCTCGTTCAAGTTGATTCCTGAATGTCGGAGGCCCAAAACGCACGCGAGCAGCCTGCCGTGGAGCTTGTGGCCTTGCAGATCGAGCTCGGCGTGTACGACGCCAGCCTCGAGCATGCGCTTGGCGAGCAGACGGCCCGTGTTGTACGCGGCAGACGTGTTGCCTGTCGAGTACAATGCCGTCCGCAGAATGGGCTCGCGTGTCGACGCCGAGATGAGGAGGTGGTTGTTGGCGTGCTGCAGCGAGGCCGTGAAAGCGCGGCTCTGCTTGACCATAAAGACGCGGTGGTAGAAGCCCTTCTCGCGGATGGCGCTACCGAGGAGCTCTTCATTGCGAGGGTTGAGATTGGTGTACGGGAAGAAGGCAGGCGGTGATGCAGCAGCAGCGCCAGCAGGAGCGTGTGCACCCTCCTTGGCTGGCTTGGCGTCTGGCTTGGTCTGCTTGGCGTCTGGCTTGGTCTGCTTGGTCTGCTTGGTCTGCTTGGTCTGCTTGGTCTGCTTGGTTGGATCAGCAGCAGTAGCAGCAGCTGGCTTGCTTGGCTTGGCAGCAGTGGCAGCAGTGGCAGAAGCGGCTTCAGCTTTGGCGGCTGGCGTGCTCGGCTTGCTTGGCTTGGCTGCAGCAGCCGTCGAAGCCAGTCGCAATCCGGATGCAGTGTGTGGATTGGAGATCGCAGAGGTGGGCGCTGTGGCGTGGGCGCGAGCAGCAGCAGCCAGCGCAGTGGTGCACGCACGAGTGAGCGCGTGTATGAAGACCATTGGGAAAAAACGACTGAAAACGGATGTCTGAACTGGAACGAGAATCTCAGACTGAGGAAGATATCAACGATGGAGAGAATGTGCAACAATGTCAAAATCAAAACTCGGAAGTCTGGTGACGGGAGTCAAACTGTCAAATGAAACTGTAGAAACACGCTGAAAGAGCTCGAACAGCAACAGTTCGGATCCAGTGTCTGATCCACAGGTCGACTCGGTTTGAAAAGTGGTGGTGCTCGTGGTGAAGATTGCTGTGAACGCCCAAAGCGCACCGAATTTGACTGCAGAGAATTGAAAAGACTTCTATCAGACAGTGCTTTTGTGCGTCGATTCGTGCGTTGGCGTTGTCTGAACAGTCTCGTCAGTCGGACACCTTTCGCTTTGCCCTGCAATGATTCACGATGAGCAAGTTCCCCGAGTTTAATGACGTTTTGCTGCTTAGCACCTCCTTCGTTGCGATGCATTTCCTGGTCGAACGCGCTTTTCTCTCTCAACGTTTGTCATTCCCTCATTGCCACTCCGTCTCTGCTGTTCACAAAGCGCATCATTGAGCAAAACCAAGCCCCTTTTGTAAACGTCATCACCTTGAAATTTCGATCAACAACAACAACAACCAAATGTAAATAAACAAAAACAAAAAAGAAGCACCGCGACCAGTTTTTTTTATTTCAAAAAGATTCGATACGCTTTGGGATGGCGTTGGACGCTATCGCACTTGCGTTAGAGGCAGCGAGAGCCATTGCATACGTGGTAGAGCTGGTGCAGTGCAACAAGCAGCAATGCATGCGCCTCGCGAATCGCGTCAGGACGATCGTTCCGGCGGTTGAAAGTCTGAAAATGACACACGCAAGCACCCAACCCGAGACGGTCTCGGCGCTCGTTGCACTCACCATGACCCTCAACGACTGCTATGAGCATTTGGAGGCATACACGCGGGCGACCTGGGCAAGACGCGTTCTGTCGTGCGGCAGTGACCACGAGAAATTCGAGGACTTGAATGAACGTTTGAGCCAATGCATTCCGGCATTGCACCTCTCGCTCCACGTCGCGCAGCTGTTCGACCGCGAAGACGACCAGCGGGATGTTGCTGCGGACTTTGCGTACATCGAGGCGCATCAGCGAGAGGTACTCGACGCCGTCGCGCGACTCTGCGAGGGTGTCGACCAGGTCGGCGTTCATGTTGACTTGGTCCGACACAGTGTTGAACGCATTGGCGATCGCAACGATGCCGCGGTCGCCCAGGTCCTGGACAGGCTTAGGTCACTGGACAATCGCGTCAACAAAAGGCTCGATCATGCACTCTTGCCGCCGCAGCCGTCGGGTGGCAGCCCTGGCCCAATGCGGCAGGCGTCCCCCGATCTGCCCGGAAGTTTGGTAATTCCGGCGTCCGAGCTTGTCGATATTCGGCTGTTGGGAGCTGGCGGCTTTGGTCAGGTTTGGCTTGCAAAGTACCATCAAGACACTGTTGCAGTGAAGCGACTGCTGGTCAAGACGCTCGATTCGGCCGCCATGGACGACTTTCGCAAGGAAATGGCCGTCCACGCTGGTCTTCGCCACCAGAACATTGCCATGGTTATGGGCGCCTGTGTGGAGCCAGGACACTTGGCGATTGTGCTCGAGTATGCGACCAATGGCACCCTGTTCCACGTGCTGCAGGATGTGGCTGCCTTCCCGCAGTTGCCACAACACTTGCGGGATCGCATTCTGCTGGAAATTGCCCGCGGCATGGCATTCTTGACGCATAAGAGCATTCTCCACCGAGACTTGAAGTCGCCAAACGTCCTGATTGATGGGGACATGCACGCCAAAGTCACCGACTTTGGGCTGGCTCGCGTCCGATCGGACGTCTCCACCAAGACCGCTTCCCAGCAGAAAAATACGGGCACCCTGCAGTGGGCCGCACCAGAATTGCTTGTACTTGAGCCTGCGACGCCAACAGAGAAGGCCGATGTATACTCCTTCGGTGTGATTGCCTGGGAAGTGTTGACGCGAAAGCTGCCATACGAAGGGGTACCAGACTGTGTTATTCGAGACGCCGTCTCCCGCGGTGATCGTCTTGTCGTCCCCGACCAGGCCAATCCCATATTACGTGCCATCATTACTCAATGCTGGACGCACGATCCCGTTGGGCGGCCAACGTTTGAGCAGTTGGTAGCGATTCTCGCTCCTGTCGCCCGCTCTGAGGCAAGTCTCGTGGCGGAGTCCAGTAAAAGTGTGACTCACACCAAGCCGCCTACAAACCACGAGGAAGCAACGCCACCGGCTACCACTCTTGTCAGACGCCGGGCTGCTCCTAGGCCACCGCCACCAATTCCACCCCGACCTGCCATACTGACTCCACCGCAAACCCCGACGCGCGTCGATTCATCAAACACTGCAAAGCCCATCAACAAGCCCTCCTTGCCTCCCAAAGTACCCCCGCGGCCCTCTCAACTCGGACACTCCATCGACGCGACCTCAAAATCGATGCCCAGCCAGCCACAAATCACAGCGCCAGGCCAGGCTTCCTGCGATATTGCCCAAGGACCGCGATCTGCGCCGCTTTTGGCCACCTCCACGACAGCATTCTTTGCGCGCAACAGCGTGGAGGCATCGCGTCGTCCTTCGGCGCCTGCTTCATTGCTGCTTCCCGCGACGTCAAGTACGAGCTTTGGTGCGCCCAAGTTGGAGGTCGTGTCCGATGTCCCAGCGCTGGACGGCGCGCCAGTGGTGCGTCAGATCGATGCTCTTCGCGAGCGTGCCTTGCAAATGCAGCGACAGGGCGAGCTTGTACCTGCGAAACAGCTGTTTGAGCATTGCATGGGTTTGCAGGAGAGAAACTTTGGCAAGTCCCACCTCCAGGTCGCTTGTGCGGCGACCGACCTCGGTCGCGTGTGCTTTGCCTTGAGTGAGTACGCAATGGCCAGAGCCATGTTTGAGCGAGCACTGGCGATATCCGAGCGCGATTTGGGGCAAAACCATGTGCGAGTGGGGATTATCGCGCATGAGCTTGGCCGGACGTACTTTGAACTTGGCCAGTACTTGGCTGCGAAAAAGCTCCTCTCGCGGGCGCGTGCCATTGCCATACACAAGAATGGGGAGACGAGCATTCAAGTTGCCATCGTCCAGGTCGATATTGCGCGCGCCTACATGGGTCTGCAGGAAGTCGAAAAGGCCAAGACACTGCTGAAACAAGTGCTGCCCGTGTACGAAGGCCATTTCGGCGAACACCATCTCTGCGTGGCCAACGTGCTGCGAGAGCTGGATCGGGCATATACGACGCTGGGCAACACGAAAAAGGCCGAGCAGACGCGATCCCGTCTGAGTCTGCTCCTTGCACAGCGAGTGTCTACAACGGATCGCAATGTCCAGCTCTTGTGCAGCTCGGCGCCAAGCACTGCGCCTCTGTGCACCAAGTACCAGACCCCTACCGTTCATACAGAGACGTCAAACCCCATCGACACGAACTTTGTGTATGCTCTGTGGGATTATGCAGGGCGGGTGCCGCAAGAGCTGAGTTTCAAGTCCGGTGAGACGTTCACCTTGCTTGACTCGCCTCGTCCTGGCGGCAGCTGGTGGCGAGCGCAGTCGAATGTCTCGCACCAGATTGGCTACATTCCGTCCAACTTTGTCGCCCGAATGTCGTGAATGCAGGAAAGCGTTGTTTTGTTTTTGTTTGCTTTTGTTTGTTCTTTGTTTGTTTCTGAGATTTCAATTCTGTTGTTCGTTGTTTGTTCGTTGATTGCTGCTCAGGCGTCCCATTATTTGTTACTATCATCTTCTTGACTATTGTTATTCCAACCGCATTCAGTCTTTAGTTTTGAGTGATTGGAATGGCTGGGTATCGCGGAGGAGGCAACGCGTATTACAGCGATCGCCCAGCGCCGCCGCCATACTACAACAACAACAACAATGGCCGGGACCGAGACCGCGACCGCGACCGAGATCGAGATCGAGATCGAGATGTGCGCGACCATCGAGACCACCGCGACCACCGAGACGGCCGAGACCACCGAGACAACCGAGACCGAGACCGAGAGCGCGACGGCTACTATGAGCGCGACGGACTGCGCGGCGGCGACCGACCGAGCTACCGAGACCGCATGGACTATGGCGGTGGCTATGCTCCACAAGGACCGCCACCAGGAGGACCACCGCCAGGGCCACCGGGACGCGGCGGTCCTCAATCAGGCGGCAGCGAGCCCAGCAATAGCAGAGATCGCGGGTATTACCAGCAAGCAGGGCAGCATCCGCATCCGCCACAGCCACCACTGCCGCCGCATGGATACGCAAGCCCAATGCAGATGAACAGAGGGTACCCGCCGCCGCCGCAGCCGCAGCAGGCGTACGCGGGAATGGGTAGCGACCAGCGGCCAGCTGCTGCCACCCAGGGCGATCTCCCCCCATGGCTCAGGTCGCAGCCAATGCAGTCACACCATATGCAAGGGCATGGATTGCAAGCACAACAGCCGCCGCATCCAATGTACGGAGGCCTGGCAGGGTACAGCGGCTTTGGCTTGTTGCCTGCGCACTATTCACAATCTGGCAAGCCACTGTCAGACCCCACTCATCCACAACAGCAACAGCAACAAGCACAAGCGCCTCCACCGCCGCCGCCGCCAATAGGTGCATCGTCAGGACTTGCTGCGGGCAACGGAAATTCGTCGCAACAGCCGCCACCGCCGCCTCCAGAACCCGCTCAACCTCCGCCTCCTCCTCCACCAGCGGTGTCGTCACAGGCATCGGGCGGTGCTGCAGCAACGTTGGGAGTGGCACCGCCACCTCCGCCGCCTGCCTCGCCTCCTCGAACGGGCGGCAATCCTGCCGCGGATCTGCCGTCGACCAGCGGTGGTGAAGCCTCTTCCTCGCAGCTCGCACCACCGCCGCCCAGCCAGCCAGCCACCGCTGCGCAAATACTCTCAGCCATGGGAATTGTACCTCCTTCGACTGAACAACTGGTCCACTTTCCCCCAGGACTTGTTGGACCTGGGTTGGGGCCAGCATTCCTCGCGCCCTTGGCCTCCATGCCTCCATCCATTCGGTTACCGTCGCGAGATGCCGTTGCTCACTTGACAAACTGGCCGACTGATGCTCAAGACAAGCAGGTGAGCTCACAGCGCTGAAAAACGTGGCCGAAGTTGTGTTGTGGTTGTCGTTTGATTCATTGAAGATGTCATTCTTTGCTTGGTCATCTTTCTTTCCTTTGCTGTAGCAATGGCACAATCTCGCCGATGGCCGCCGTGTCAAGACTGACATTGACACACCTTCGGTAGTAGCTCTCAAGAAGGCGCAACAACGGGTTGAAGCAGCCAAGCTGAATACGCGGTTTTACGACACACAACTCAAAGTCCTCAAAACCCAGTCTTCCTATTTGGAGCAATTTGGCAACTATCCATGAGTGCTTCCAATTGAATTGCAAATCCTCCCCCCCCCCCTTTGTTGTTTGAAAACAGATTGTTAAAGCATTAACCAAACCAATTACAAGTTGTTGTCAAACGCAACATCACTTTTCCAACACTGCCTTCGCTTGAAGAATTTGGCATTGATACTACGCGTGAGTCAAGGGTTGAGCCTTGTGCACGACGGTTGGGCACTCGATGATGGATTTGCTCTGGATGAGACGCATCTCGCGGTGGAACGAGTGCGCTCGGCTCGTCTGGGCCTCGGGGACGGGCAGGTTGTCGGCAGTTTTGAGCTCGGCAGGGAGCAAGGTCAAAAAGTGCTCCAGGGTCTTTCGGAGAACGCCCTGCATGGTGGCGATAACCTTTTCGCAAGCCTGGTCGAGGTGTGCTGGCAGCGCGTGCGTGTGTGCCAGCAGCAGCGCCGTGAACAAGTCGCCCGTTCCAACAAACGTCATTGGCAGCTTGGGCGCGTACAGTTCGAATTGGTCGAGTGTTCCGTCTGGACGTGGCAGGAAACGGGCAGAGCGAGAGAGAGAGAGAGAGAGAGAGAGAGAGAGAGAGAGAGAGAGAGAGAGAGAGAGAGAGAGAGAGAGAGAGAGAGAGAGAGAGAGAGAGAGAGAGAGAGAGAGAGAGAGAGAGAGAGAGAGAGAGAGAGAGAGAGAGAGAGAGAGAGAGAGAGAGAGAGAGAGAAAGCAAAATGAGGAATTGCAGAGTGGCACCACAAGAACAAGCTCAGGTCAAAAACACCAGTCGTTCCATACCTTCTCGCCGTTGGCTGCCAATGACCACAACATCGTTCGCATGTCCAGTAGCAACAAGATCGGTCGAGTGCAGCACGATCGTTTGAATTCCGCGGTTATGCAAGGTTTGCAGTGCAGCCAATGCGTCTTGCTTGGTAGCCGGTGTCGGCGAGCTTGTGACCAAGCTGTCGAGGGAATAAATGTTCAGGTTTGTTTTGCCTCCAGTGAGAACAAGAGGTAACGAAGCGATCAACATTGAAAACAAATCCAAATTTACCCAGCTTCGTATTGATTCAGCGAAAGGACATCGGCGAGCGAAATCACGTCGGATTGGTAGATCGGAATCAGTTCTTCCGGGACATACAGCTTGCCATTGTCACCAAGCACGGGATCGCACACTACAGCCCGTCAAGAACGCAATAGAACGGTAAGTCGTCACAACCAAAAATCTCACCCTCACCCTCCGCAAGTCCCCCAACCCCAACCCCAACCCTGACCCCGACCAAGAATTAACTCACCGTAGATTAGCTTTGGGTTGACTTCCTTGAGTCGCCGGACGACGCGGATGACGGTCGTTAGGAAGGACGCCGAACCAATGTAACCTAAAACCCAAACAAAAACCGCACGTCAGCGTCCCAGGAGGCTCTACCGTCCACATCACACATCCAGTTGCAGAGAATGACTGGTCCAGATGCCTGTGATAGGAGGCTTTGGGAGGGGAGGGGTTAGGGGGGGGCGGTTTACCTGTGACGAGGTGCGTGTACTGGCCGAGCAGCCCACTGCGGTCGAGGCCCTCAAAGACCTCCCAGAGCTGGTCGCCGTTGAGCCGCTGGCCTGCAAACGAGAGGTAGCCCGTGTGGTTGGAGAACTGGACGCTGTTGATGGCGTCGACGTCAAACCCGAGGACCTGCAGCGGGAACGTCGACGACTTGTTGCCGACATAGCCAGAGACGACGTGCGACTGGATGACGAGCACGCGCGGAGAGGACGAAGCAGCAGATGCGGAGGCAGCAGATGCGGCTGACATTTTCTGAGAAAAAACAAATGTGAAACGAGGAATGACGAGTGAGATGTATTGCAGTGGGACTGTCATAACTGAATGGCTGAGAGTCGATACAGTCGAGGCGACTGTTTGAGATGTGTTGCAGTTTCAATCCAACGAAATTCCACAAAAGTCCAACGAAACACACTCACCTCACTCAATGACACGCAATCAAACTTTGATATTATCATACTGTGTTTACCAAGTCTGACATTTTGAGCTTGTTGTTTGTTTGTCAGCCAGCCAGTCTTTCTTCTTTCATTATGTTCAAGCTTGCCATTGCCGCGCTCGCGGTGGTCGCAGTGGTCGCCTCCGCTGTCGCCAACCCCGACGCCGAGTTTGTCTCCCACTTTACCGAAAAGTCCCTCCGCGACGTCGGCACCAACGAGTCCATCTGCGCCTCCAACGTCAACTCGTACGCAGGCGTAAGTTTTTTTGTGAATGGTCTGCTCGCTCCTTTTTTGCTGCAGCCCCCAATTGTGCTGACTCGCTCGCTCAGCAGTCGCGTCCCAAATCTTCCCATTGACCCATTGCCATCCCTCCTTCCCCCTTGTGAGGGGTCGAAGGCGGGGGGGGGGGTTGCATGCGGTCTGGAAGATGCGAGCATGTGTTTTTCTTCTTTTTTTTTTTTCTTCTTTTTTTTCCGTTTGACATGTGCTGCCTGCTGCCTGCTGCTGTTGCCTCGCTCGACCGTGCCCCTCACCTACTGTGCCTCTGATTTTTGCCCACTCGTGTTTGTCAACTTGTCGCTTGTAGTACTATGCGTTGACTGCCACCAAGCACTACTTTTACTGGTTCTTTGAGTCGCAGCAAAACCCGAGCACTGACCCCGTGATCCTCTGGCTGACTGTGAGTTGGTTGGTTTTTTTGATTGCCTTGCCTTGTGGTTGACTGGTTTTTCGTTCTCAACTCACCGTTCGCTGTGGCGTGTTTTTCGTTTGATCTTGTGTGTGTGTCGTGTTGTGTGTTTTGACAGGGCGGGTGAGTTTGACCTGGCTGTGTGTTGAGCTTGCTTGGCTGTGAAGGACAAATGCGGTTTATTTTGATGAGTCCCCCGCCTCGCTTATCACGACGATTGAGTTCGAACCGTGACCTCGACACAATAACACCACGGAGAAAAATGCATGATGATCATGATGATGATGATCATGGTGATGATCAACGCAAAGGAGAAGAAGAAGCAGAAGAAGAAGAGGCAAGAGGAACATCCGTGAAACAAAAGAAACAAAAGAAAGGGTGTCAACTCCGACCACCAGGCGGGTTAAACGGAGAAACGCATGGCTCACCCGAAAAAACATCAAAACCAACTCTGATGAAATGCTGAAAACAAAAACGTTCAAGTTGGGGAATCCGATTGCAAAAAAGGAGAAAAAGATTGCGGATAAACAACAATCGAAAAAGTCTCAATGCTGATTTTTGTGTGTGATCGGTCCAATGTAACAGCCCTGGCTGCGCTTCTGAGCTCGCCCTCTTCTACGTAAGTTCACCTCCGTTGTGGGTAATGGCAAAACTGTGGTGAACATGGAATTGACTCGCTTTGGTTTTTCTGCTTTGTGTTGTTTTGTTTTGTTTTTCCGTTGTTGGTTTTGTAGGAAAACGGCCCTTGCACCATCAACGACGACCTCAGCACCAAGGCCAACCCTTACTCGTGGAACACTTTTGCCAACTTGGTATGTTGAGAAATGCGTACAAACATCAACTTTTTGGCTTGAAAATCACCAACCATCCTCTGCACCATAGCTCTACGTCGACAACCCAGTCGGTGCTGGCTTCTCGTACGGCCTCTTCCCCGTCGACTACGACCGCAACGAGGACCAGATCGCCAACGACCTGTACAAGTTCATCCAGGATTTCATCACTGCCCACCCCGAGTTTGCCAAGAACGAGTTCTTTGTCTTTGGCGAGTCGTACGCCGGTGAGTGCAGATTGTGTGCCCACGTTCGTTGTCATACCTGGCCACGCTCAGTGTCGTCCCAAGATTTCATGCTCATCATCACAACCTTTTGGTTGCTTCTGCTGTAGGACACTACGTTCCCGCTCTCGGCTACAAGATTTACACTGCCAACCAAGGCTCCGAGGGCAAGTACAAGATCAACCTCAAGGGCATTGCCATCGGCAACGGTCTGACTGGTAATGGCTCCTGAACAAGCCCAAAAAAAAAACGCGCAGTGTTGTTCTCTTTGTGTTTATTTTTATACTAACCTGGTCGTCGTCGTCGTCGTCGTCGTCATGCGCAGACCCCGAGGTCCAGTACCGCTACTACCCCGAGTACGCTTTCAACAACCCCGTCAAGCCCCTCATCACCCAGGCTCAGTACAACACTGCTCTCGCCGAGGTCCCCGGATGCATTGCTCTGATTGCCAAGTGCCAGAACGGCACCATCGCCTGCTTTGAGGCTGAGACCCTTTGCAACAGCGAGCTCCTCTCGCCCCCGCTGTCCACTGGCGTCAACCAGTATGACATTAGCAAGAACTGCACCTACCCCCCGCTCTGCTACGATTTCGACAACCTCAACCGCTTCCTCGCCCAGACCACCGTCCGCGACACGCTTGGCGTTGGCAAGCACACTTGGTCGCAGTGCAACAACCTTGCGCACGAGTTCCTCACCTTCGACTGGATGAAGAACTACCAGGACAAGGTTCCCCCGCTTCTTGCCAGCAACATCACCGTCCTCGTCTACAACGGTGAGAACGACTTTGTTTGCAACTACAAGGGCAGCAAGGCCTGGACTCTTGCCCTCGACTGGGCCGGCAACTCTGGCTTCAACGCTGCTGGTGACCACACTTGGAACGGTGCTGGTGGTGTCGCTGCTGGCCTCGCTCGCTCGTACGGCGGCCTCACCTTCCTCCAGGTCTTCAAGGCCGGCCACATGGTCCCCCTCGACCAGCCCGCCAACGCTCTTGCCATGGTTGCCTCCGTGGTTTCGCACACTCCGTTCTAAACCAATCAGGTGTCTCAACAGATGGTTGTTGGTTTTTTTTTTCATCAAAATAAAGTAATCAAACAGTATTTTTTCTTGTCTTTTGACTGCTGTGCAGATTCCGCCATCATCACCATCATCGTCATCAACAACAACAACATCGGCTTGATGACTTGATGAAGCACCGTCGTTGTTTGGAGAGTTGCTCCCGATCACAAACGAAGCACAATGAAAACAAAACAAAAAAAACACACACACTTTCTGCAAATAATAAGTTCAGCATCTCGAGCCGTCCATCCGTTATTTGGAGCCTTGCGGAGGGAAGGATGGTGACGGTGCACGACGCGCAGGGGCCTCAGGCATTGTCAGAATAGAGCCGCGCGGAGCGGAAGGCGCCACTCGCACACTGCTTGCCCCAGATGCAACAAACACTGGCGGAACGCTCGCCGATGCGGCATTTGGATCGGTCTCGGTGTATGCGGGAGGGGCGTCTATGGCCTCTTCTAGAGCGGCTGTAGTTGTTTACAATGAAGAGACGAGGAGTTGTTAGTTTGCTCACAAGCCCAGGATGTGAAACGAAAAGGATTGAAATTCAACCAAGTCGAACGAAAGCAGCTCACCTGCTGGAACGTAATGGGGAACAGACGGACGAGGCACGACAGCTGCGGGGCGGTTGGCGGGCTCAATGTAGCTGGGAATGAGGGAGGGAGTGCACGACACGGCATGCGCTATACGGATGGGCAGAGAGACCGTTAACGGCCGACTCATAAACGAACCACCGTCCAGGGTGAGTTGCACTGAGTACTTGACTTGGAACAATGTCGTTTGTGAGATGCTCGTCAGCAGCGGTGGAATGCTGTCCATGTGGAGAATCAAACTTCGCGACTCGCCTGATTCGACTGTCCGTTGAAGGAGAGGAAGGAATAAAATCGTGAGACTGCAGTTCAACATGTGGCTGTTCACTTGGGGCACTTGCCTTTCACAGTGCGGTCATTGAATGACACGGACTCGACCACTTTCTCGAGATCCGGCGCAGAGCCAATGCTCATCAAGCGGACGAGCTGCATTTTGATGAAAGGCATCTTGAAAAAACGAAACAGAAAGCCCCGTGTCGAAATGTCGATGAGTCTGACGTCGGCGCTTCACAAAACCAGACACGAGTTGCCAATCACAGCAAAGAAAACATACCCTCTTTTTGGTGTGGTTCTCGACTAGAATGCTCACGATAATCGGACTGCCGCTCGAGTAGAGGGATCGACTGAGAGTCGCGGTAGCATTCACGGTGCCACTGCCCGCCAAAAAGAACGACTTGCTGCCACTGGCTGTGACAGATCGGGGAGACACGGTTGCGTTCTGGAACTCGGACGCTGCAACGGAATCATTTTGTAAAGTGTGAGCAACCAAAAAAAAAAAAAAAAAAAAGGCAATGCTCATGCTGTGCTATTGCTTGTCAAGTGAGGAGAACATACCAATGTTTTCATAGATGGTAATTTCTTTGGTCGAAGTGAGACGGGCCGTTGAAAACTTTGCGGCACTGCAACCACACCACCCAACGAAATGAGCCAACCCGCCCAAACAACACCGACAATTTCAACAGCTAAAATTCCAGCACAATAAAGCTCTTACACTTCAATCGAGTAAGTGACGTCACCGTGCGAGGATCGGAACGACGACGGAATGTTGTCTGGCAGAGTGAAGGCAAAGTTAAAAGTCGTCTTCCCGGGAAGAACGGGTGTGAGTCGCGAAAGCACATCGCGGAGGGCAATGATTTGCGTTTCGCGTCGCTCTTTGCCAGACAGCGCTTCGGTGCCAATCAAGGCGATGAGCAGCTCGCGGAGTTCGCAAGTGCTCTCGGCCTTGATTTCAACAAGGCCAGTGACAAATCCACCCGCGACAGCAATCGTCTGGTCGCAGATAATGTCAATCTTTGCGGCCACCGCGCCATCCGACTGTGGCAGTCAAAATAAAAAGCAGCCCAATCGGAGCATTGTGAATGGCAACTTTGAAACAAACTTGGACAAACAAACAAACAAACCAAAAAAATAATAACGTGCAACATACAGAAGACTTTGCAGCAGAGCTCGAGTAAACTGGCTGATGCATTTGCTGCACTGTGTTTTGCCTCGCAGGTGCGCCACGGTGCATGTGGACGGACGCTGTTGCTCGTGCGCCCGGTCCGGAGGCATGAGCCGTCGCCTCGATTGTGGTCGTTGTGACTGCCGTCAGCGGCCCACCAATGTATCCAGCAGGTGCCACCAAGTTGCTTGGAAGGTTCTGAGGGGCTGGGTAAGCCTCCTCAAAGTCCTCGTGCCAATCCTCCTGGTACGACTCGCCCTCCCTGCCAACCAAGCCAGAAATTTGTACGCCGGGTAAGTTCCATGAGCGAGGCAAATTGTTCTGCGTGGTGTATCATCCTTTATGGTTTTGTGTTGTTTTTTTCAAAGTGTCAACCCTGTCCTTTTGCGCATTCATCGTGTTTGTATGTGTGTGGAGGGGTGTGTGTGTGTCTTTGTGATGGAGAACTGGGGTTTTGATTTGGGTTGACGATGACGTCGCTCCCGCTTCCAACCTCACCACACCGCGAGACCGCAGACGCAGTTCCCTCAGACACACACACAGACACACTCACTCACTCGAACACAGACATTGCTTGGAAACACGCATGGTGAGCGAGTACAAGTCACATTGAGCGCTTGTGTGCCGAAGTTGGTCCCAGCGAACACAGTGAATCAGGCAACGGGCGGCGCTTCGTCCTCCCCGCCATCACACACACTTGCTTGGCCAACTGGTGCATCAAGTTCGGTCATGACTGTTGGTATTGGTTGTGGAGAGAGAGAGAGAGCGAGTTGAGGAAGGCAACTCTTGATCTCCTCAATCTCAATCACCTTTCGCTCACTCAAGCTCTCCCAAATCACAACAACGGGGGGACCGAGACCTGGCTGTGCGACCCTCGAGCAGTGTTTATTGCTGCCTTTCGTTCGATTTGGTTTGCAGAAAAGAGCAGCGTTCCTCTTACTCGTAAAAGTCGGTTGGTCGCAGAATCTGCTTGTGGCTCATCATTTTGCTTTGCGTGAGAGTGAGTGTCGCTTTGGCTTGTGCAGATGGTCAAATACAGTACTAGTAGAAGTCGACTGGACTGGACTGAAAACAAACTCAATTTGGGTTTTGGGAGGTTGTCTGTTTCGACCTTGGTGGAGCAACCCAGTTTGAACTGGATCTTTGCGAAATCTCAAATCACGGAGGCGTAATCGAAGTGCATACAGCAAAATCCCAATAACAGCAAACAAGATGGTTGTCGAAGGTGCTTTTTGTTCTTGATTTGTCGTAGTGTCAGTCTCAGTCTCAGTCTCACTCTCAGTCTTAGTCTCAGCTTCAGCGCGCGCTTATTTTCGTTTTGTAACTCGCATTGCAGCAAGCGCGCGCGCTCGAATTGGACGTGACTGTGAACGACAGATGACTCTGCCTGAGACCAGCATGATGCGTGACGAGCCTGGCTTGGTCGAATGCGGCGAGTACAGCGCTTGGAGCAAGCAGCAGCAGGAGCAGCAGCAGGAGCAGCGGGACGAGCTGCCGCCGCCCGCGTTTGAAGAGGCGTCGCCTGTCGTCGTGGGCATCTCCGAGTGGAGTGCGCAGCCGTCCGTGTCCGTGTCGGTCTCCTCGAACGAGACGACGAGCGAGCTCGAGCGAAACCCGTCACCTTGGCCGGCGTCGTCCTCCTCGCCAATCACAGCGGCGGCACTCGTGCTCCCTGGAATACCTGGAATACCTGGATTACCTGGAATGGCGAAGCAAGCAGAGGCCAGTCCAATGTCGATGGTCCTGGCGGACAGTGCGACTGCACCGACGTCTGCTTTCACCCGCGAAGCTTCAACGCGCGCAAGCAACGCAAGCAAGCCAAGCTACTCCTGCCTCCGTCCCGAAGACGACGATGCTACTCATGCAGATGGTGCAGATGGTATTCACAAGGCCGCTGGACCGTCCAGAATGCTCGAAGGCGACGAAGAAGACGAAAACCTGCTCCATTCGTCCAACTTTCGTTCAGCTGCTGTGCCCAAAACTCAGTTCTGGAGTGCAAGTGACTATCGCGCGCAGAGACCTCGACAATTCGACGTCATTGGTGACACTCCAAGAAAGTCGCTCAAGTTGAGGCGACCGAACTCCCCGGCTTCGCAGGGCACACCCAGGCCCAAATCAAAGGCCCGCCCCGGAAGAATCGATGCACGACACGGACAAAGTCGACGCGCTTCATCGCAAACATCATCCCAAGGCTCGACTTCCCGTAAAGTGCTCTCGCCCAAGCAACGGCACTGGCGAGAGATTGCTCACAGACCAAACAACGATAACTCGAACTCCGACAGCGATGGCCACGACTCAATCCGCCTCGATCGGTTTGACCAACGTTTGCTCGCGGACGACTCGGGCGATGATGCCTTGTCCCGTCCGGGATCGGATATCTCTGAGGAAGTGCGTCGCGAGAGACGGCGCGCTGCGTTAGATCGTGGCTTCGACGACAACCGACTGACGTCTTCGCTGCAGCGACTCAAACGCCCTCGGCTCTCGGATGACACGGCCAGCTGGGTTAAGACTATACCCGACACTTTTGGCGAGGACGACGAAGAAGCAGCGCTTCCCAGTTTCTTGAGCAAAATCGAATTCAAGCCTCAGCGGACGCTTGCAAGCTATTTCAAACCAAACCCAATAGACCGCCTCTCCCAGTTCGCTCCACCCTCTCGTGCCACTGCGCCTTTTCCGGGACTGGTAAGTGCGCTTGGTACCTTTGTTGTTGGTTGACCTTGACACGTGAACGTGACTTTGACTGTTCAAATGTTTTAATGCGCGGGTTTGGGGTTTATTTTTGTTTTTGGTTGTTTTTTTTTTCAGTGCAACATTGGCAATACGTGCTATGTCAATTCGGTGCTGCAACCTTTATTCTACACTCGGGGATTCTCGGCGTCGGTGGCCACGAGCTTGCAGCAGTTTCAGTTGCTTGAACGATTCACCCTAAGCCTGTACAAAGACGACGCGCTTGCTTCTGTAATCATTGTTGTTTTGGTTTACCTTGGGTTGCTTGTTTTTCTATGAAGTTTGGTTGCTCACAACGTTGCACCTTGCGCTGCTAGGAGATCAAACAACAGCTCTGCTGTTTGTGGGAGGATACGCTCGCTCCTGGCAGCCCCATTTCGCCCTACCCGGTCGCTAGAGCGCTGTCTGTCCTGTTGATTGAAATGCAAGACTGCCTTGCCAAGCTTAATCCTTCCTTTGCCGCCGAAACGCTCGGTCAAAGTGCATCAGTGTCCGCCACTTCATCAGAGCCCTTTTTCGGAGGCATAGACAAGTGGCTTCGACCGTCCGAGTTTGTCATGTGTCTGCGCGACCACCATGCTCAATTTTCGGGCTACACGCAGCAAGATGCGCAAGAGTTTCTTCGCTACATTCTGACGTGCATGCAGGACTTTCTGGACAAAATGGTTGCCTATGTGACCACCGTCGCCAATCTCATTGCTCCTGAGCTGCTGCTTCACCTGCGTGGTGATGGTGGTGGTGGTGGTGGTGGTGCAACTAGCGACAGTGTGGCATCAGCGGCCTCGCTGAACAACATTCAGTCTTCAGCGGTCCAGACTTCCCCGCTTCTCGCTTCGCTGCTGAAGCAAGCAGTGTCGGTCTTCCTGCCATCAACGGGTGGCAACGTGCCATTACCAGCCATGTCGAGCTTATTTCAAGGCAAGCTCACCACATCGACATGTTGTTTTGAATGCGACACGCGCACTTGTCAGTCGGAAACATTCTGGGACGTGAGCGTGCCGATTCATGATCGCGAAAACGTCCTTCCGCTTTCCGAAACCCTGGATGCGTTCACAACCCCCGAGCGGCTTCAAGGCAGCAACAAGTACCAGTGCGATACCTGCCGGTCGTTCACTGAGGCCGAGCGGCGAATCTTGATTGGTGCGCTCCCCAACGTCATGACTGTGCACTTTAAGCGATTTGCATTTGACGAGTTTAATTCCAAGCTCAGCACGGTTGCCGCGCTTCCTTGGTCGATGACATTTGCCGAGTGGTGTGTTGACGACTGTCAAGGCCGCGATGCGCTCTATGGTAAGGACGACGGACGGAGTAGTTGGGGGGCCAGTTTGCTGTTGGCGGCTCAATCTCAATCTCAATCTCTCACTCACACACACACTCACACACGCACTTGATCGAACGCGGCGTGACAAAAACACCACTCGAACATGACAAACGTTCCACCCCAGATCTTGCCGCAATCGTTTTCCACTCTGGCTCGGGGTCTTCCAGCGGCCACTATACCGCCGTTGTCAATCTCTCGACGTGCAAACGAGCTTCAATAGACCAGTCGTCCTTCCCTGGAAACATCCCCGCTGCCTTGGGCCAACACCTTGCCTCAAGCCAGTCGGCTGTGCCAATGGCGTTGGATTCCGTCAACAGCACAAGTGCTGTCGGCCAGTCCGGCATCACCGAACTCGATTCGGGCTCTTCTTCTGCCGCTCCAGTGGTGCAGGCTGACGACCCCGCCAAGCAGCAATGGGCCCTGTTCGACGATTCCGATGTCACCGCACTCAGTCCCGAGCAAGTCACCGAGCTTGTCAACCCGACGTCCGTTTCCGTCAGCACCTACCGCCCATCTGCCTACATTGTCATGTATGTCCGCCGATGACCCCCCCAAGCACCAAGAACAGTGTTGCACCATGTACATGTACTGCAGCTTTTGTCACCCAGCTTTTCGTTTTCCAATCCAGTTTTCGTTTTCCAATCCAGTTTCGGTTTTGTAGTTACCCTCTGTGTTTTTTGACCACTACTGCTTGCAATGACCTTGCTTTGACCGGTTTTTTTTTTCTTTTTCCAGTGGAGTGATGCATTGCTGTCACTCTTTTTTCTGTTTCTTGGCTTTTTGGTTGTATGACGATGAGTCTGCTCGCGTTGTCCCGGGTCGCTCCGCACTCTGCCGCCGCCGCCGTCACGCCATCCAGGAGCAGCGTGATGCGTGTGCTCTCCACCTGCGCCCGGTCGCCGAGCAGCAGCCGAAGGATGAGCTCGCTCAGTGTCGCGGCTCGGCAGCCACATGGCCGCCAGTCGCACCTGCCGCAACCACACTCCACCCGCGCCGCCATGCCAGCCGCTGGCAAGGGCACCCGTGCAACCAGCGCAGCCGTGTCGTACTCGACGGCTGCGTCGCACGCACCACCAGAGTCCGGCTCACTCACAACGGACGCTCTTCGCGCGTACAATGAGCAGCAGCAGCAGCAGCGTCCCAGCGAGCAAGCCGCACAGTCACGGTCACCACAGCCGTCAGCTGCACGAGCGCTACTGCTGCGTGTTCATCAGCGGAGCAAGGTCGGCGCGATCAAGCTGGTCGTCAAGAACCTCGACCCGCGCATGGACGACCAGCAGCTCCGAGACATCTTTGGCGAGTTTGGCACAATGACGCTGTGCAAAGTGGCAAGCTCGATCGGAGTGGGCCTTGTGACATACGAGTCGTTCGACGACGCCCATGCGGCGATGACGCAGGTGAACGGCATGTACCTCAACGGCCAGCAGGTCCAAGTCCACCGCTTGCCAGAGCGGCCAAGTCTCATTGTGCGCAACCTGCCTGCTGATGCGAGCGAGGAATCGCTGGCTGCACTCTGCCGGCCGTTCGGGAGGGTTGGTGTCGCCACCATCGTGCAAGAAGCGCCGGAAGACGCGCCGATGGGAGTGGTCTGCCTCGATCGCTTTGAAGATGCGCTTACGGCAATACGCGCCCTTCACGGCAGCAAACTGGGGAGCAATCAGCTTTCAGTGACCTTCCCGGCAACCAGGGCAGAGCGTGAGTGTGAATCCGCCGTCGCGCAGCGCCTGGAGCGGCTGCAAGGCAAGCTTGTCATCAAAAACATGGACGTGGACATGGACGACGACCAGTTGGAAGAGCTGTTTGCGCCCTTTGGCACAATCATTTCGCTGCACATTATGCGTGACGAAACTGGCAAGTCGAAAGGCTATGGTTTCGTTGCCTATTCCACCACCGAGGCGGCGAGCAAGGCGATGGCTGCGACACACGGGCAGACCTTCGATCGCTTGACGCGTCCATTGGATGTCACAATCTTCACGTCCTCGGAACATGACGGCATGTTCAAGGCGAATCGTGTGGCCGAGGTCAGACACCACGCGGAGGTCGCACGCATTGCGCAATTTCGAAAAAACCTGTGCATCAGAAACCTTGGCGAGTCGATCGACGAAAAGCAACTTCGCGCCCTGTTTGCGCCCTTTGGCAAGATTCGGACTTGCCACGTTCTGCGCGACGACATGGGCCGATCACGGAAGGTCGGCTTTGTTGATTTTGCGACCATGGAGGAGGCCAGCAAGGCTGTTGCCGAAATGCACGGCAAGCCGTCTCCTGGCACCCAGATGCCAATGACCGTTACCTTGTCTCATCGAGCTCGCGATGCGCAAGACCCTCCTGCTCCCAATGCCTCAGGAAAGGACAGTTCAACAGACGAGGCTGAGCCCGATGCTGAGGGCCAGATTCGCCCGCGCAAACTCATCTATGTGAAAAATATCGACCCTGCCGTGGAGCTTGAGGACCTGCAACGGGTTTTTGGCCAATTCGGAGCCATCGTCAGTTCCAACATTATGCGCGACGACGCGGGCATTTCCAAGGGGATTGGCCATGTGGACTATTTGCATGCGGACGCGGCCCGCGCTGCAGTGGCTGCCATGGATGGCAAACGCTTGACGGCAACCGGCCAGCCGCTGAGAGTCTCGCTGCCAGATCCTAGAGATCGCTTCAGCCCCATACGCTACGCTAGTCTCATAATTAAGAATCTCGAGCAAAGCATCAATCTGAGTGCGTTGCGTGACCTCTTTTCGCCTTTTGGCTGCATCCTGTCGAGCCGCACGATCGAAACCCAGCCGCGGGCTGCGTTGGTCGACTTTCTGTCCGAGGAAGCATGCCAGAACGCCATTGCAAACATCAACGGCGCGATCGTCAACGGCTTGCCGGTGACTGCTTCGCCGTATGTTCGCAAGGATCGCCGCTCGGTGTATGTCGCCAATCTGCCGGCAAATTACAACTACGTCAAGTTGATGGCCTTGTTTGCAGATTGTGGCAAGATCGTTACGACGATCGTGCCCAGGGACTTTTCGACTGTTGGGTTTGTTTGCTTCGACCAGCCGGCCTCGGTAGAATTGGCCGAGCGCTTCCATGGTCATGTCTTGGAGGGCGAGGAGTTGTATGTCTCGCGGTTCCCTCTTCAGACCGACCCTGCTCCCCCACCGCACGCCACGTCTGAAGTAGCACCGTACCACATCTTGTACCTGACTAATGTTGATTTCGAAGCCTCCGAGGATAAGGTGCGGGAGCTCTGTGCGCCGTACGGCACTTTGACGGCCGTGCATGTGCGTCGAAGAGCTGATGGCACGTCTCGAGGCTTTGCTTTTGTTCATTTTACCAACGTCGAAGACGCTTCTAAGGCAAAGGACGCACTCAGTGGCCAGATCCCTGCTGGTTTCCGCCGCCGCATCGTTGTGAGCTACGCTCATCCATTCACTGACGGGCTGCGTCCCGCTGCTGTTTGAATATGTGTGGACAGGCGTCATGCCTCGTTATGTTGAAGCCAAAAAAAAAAACTATTCGTGACGCATCAAAAATAAACATTGAATAACTTAAACGTTTTGACATCAACCCGCGCACAAATATATAGCAGTGATAAAATGGAATGGGTGAAAGATTACAAACCAGTGTCGGGTGCGGCAAATGTTCCAGTTGCAGCACCATCCGCTGAAGGTGGACGGGGCTGTGCTGCAGAGTCTGGCTGGAGGCTTGGAAGATTCTGGAATGACAGCGACTGAGGCAACGACCAATCAGGATCCTCCAACTCGCTAAACGAAAATGAACCCAAAAACATGTTCAAGTCGTTCGCCACAGGGCCCGTGTTTGGCTGCATGGAGCCCGTACGACGCCAAACGTTGGTGCATCCCGCAGGTGTCTGTTCCAGCATGCTCGCTACCCGCGAAAAGAATCGGGATGGGGTGTTCAAGGAAAGGGACACGCCGCCAGCAGCCGAGGTGGAAGTCGGCGCGGGCGGATGGCCGACAAGACTCAAACCAACACGAAGGTGGAGAGCTCGATCAATGTCCACCAGCGTGCCTGCCGTCCGTTGCGGGGGCTGCGGCGGCGTGGCGGAGGAGAGCGATGCTTCGTGTATCAAAGAGCCCGCGAGCTCCTTCACGGGTGACAGTATCGCCGATACGGACGGGGTGGTGAGTGTCAGTGGGAGAGCAACCTCGTTGCGATGATGACCGACCTCCGAGGCGGGTATGCTCCCCGGAATAATGCCCTGCGTTGCAACGGGCATGCTGTCGGGGAGTGAAGCGTTCAGGTTTCTGATGACGGGCGAGCCTCGTGAAATGGTGGACTGGCGCTCCTGAATGCGAGACAAAAGCGGGGATGGTCCGAATTCTGCGCCGTCGGCAAATGTTTCCGGCTTCACGGGCAGTGCGGGCGCGATTGGCAGTGGAGAATAGGTAGTGACTTGCTCGTGCAGTGGCTTTACCGGTGGTGGGCACGACTGTGTTTCGGTGACAGTGTCCTCCCTCAGACCAGCGCAGTTGTGGACGAGCTGATCATTCTCGTGATTGTTCGAGTCAAGATCGTCTTCTTGGGCGTACACTTCGCCGTCATAGTCACCCTCCTGGTAGAGCACTGTATCGTCGGAGTCGGGCTCGTCAGCATCATCATCATCATCATCATCACTCTCATGGTTGCTGTTCTCGATGTGCTTCGACAGCGCCGAGTCGTGGATGAGGCAGTTTCGGTATTGGTCTGCCGCTTCGTTGATGCGCGTTTGCAGAGTCGGGATGAAGGCAGCAGCCGCATGCACATCCATGAAATGCGCCCAGCCGTTGGACATTGTGACTGAATGCACCTTGTCGGACGTCTGAGCGAGCCAGTGCAGCTTTTGCATCAAACTGCACAGCGCTGGGCCGACCACATGCGTGACCTCGACATCCGACGTCGACTCTTGCTCGTCCATCGCAGTGACTCCATCATCACGTCGTTGGCATTGCGCCAATGCGGCACTCCTCGACGTTGACGTCCCTCTTGACGGGTGCTCAAAGTCACTCTGAAACCGTTTTGGCGGGAACTGCTTCTTGTGAATTCGCGCTGCAGTCCAGCTTGGTCTTTGGATGCCGTCGCGGTGGTGCGCGAATCGTCGACTAGCACTATTGCCAGTACTACTCGTGTCGGCAGCCAGCGGCTTGAGGCGGTCTGCGCGGCGAAACGGGCGCGGGCAGCACAGAGGAGGCGCTCGTTCCCGCGGCTCTGTTTCCCGCGCTTCCGTCCTACTCGTCGTCGGCGTCGCGGCTGGCTTGAGCGTGGACGACGACGACGACGGTGCCGTGGCCCAGCGACAGACAGTGCAGCAATCGCTCTGCTGAAGACCAGCCATGTCCGACTGGTGGCCAAGTCCAGCGTGAATCACAAAGTAGAGCTGATTCGCAGTGGCATTGAGCCTGGCTTCTGATGGCAGCCAGTCCGGCATGTCAGATATGGTCGAACTCTCGCTCTCTCGCTCTCTCTCTCGCTCTTTATCAGTGCCTCAGGAATATTGACAGAAAATGTGAATGACTTGACGGGCGAGCTGAAGCTGAAAAAAAAAAAAAAGTCTCTGAGAAAGTGAAAGACGACTGAACATGTCATCGCACAAGCTTGGATGTTCCTGCGGATTTGTGGCTATTGATCATGATCATGATGATTGAGGAAGATGATGAAGATGATGATCTAGTAGCGGCAGCAACAGCTCGGGGTTTTTTTATCATCTGAGAGGCTCAGAGAAGACCCCTAAAAAAATAAGCGCTTCTCAGCAGGTTACTCGGTGTTGACCACCTTCGACACACACACACACACACACACACACACACACACACACACACACACACAAACCGACTTCCACCCACCATTCCCATTCAATCTCAGACAAACTGACCGAATCTGTAAACTCCAATCTGTTCAGCGTCCCAAACAAACAGTTAGAATTCTGCTCAGCTCAGTCCTTGTCATTGTCAATCTCCATTCACTCACTCACTCATTCATTCACTCAGCAAATGGCTCAGCAGCCAGCATCAGCGGCGGTCATTTCGGATGCGCTGCTGCAGCAGACGCTCGCTGAAGACCTGACTGCTGGGCTGCCCGCCGATCTCGTTGCTGCACTCCGCGTTGCCGAGTCAACAACGACTGCAGCAATGATGCCTGGCGACGATGAGCATCATGATCACGATCAGGATCAGGATCAGGATCAGGATCAGCAGCAGCAGCAGCAGCAGCAGCAGAAGGGCGATGCATTGGCAAGCTCACAGCGCACTGGTCTTGGTCTGGCACCACTCCAGTCAGTCGCAGGACATCAGCACCAGCACCACCAGCACCACCAGACCCTTCAGCAGCAGCAGCAGCAGGAGGAGAAGGACAAGCTCAGCAGGCAGCGGCAACTCCAGCTCGAGCTCGCTGCGGCAGCGTCGTCCCACCCAGCAGGCGCCAACCTCAAGCCAACGGCTGCTGCTGCTGCTGCTGCTGCTGGGTCGTCATCAGAGGACAACGATGCGTCCAGCTACGCGGCTGCTGCTGCTGCTGCTGGAGGGTCGTCGTCGTCGTCCGGAGGCGATTCGAGCGCCGTTACTACTTCTACTTCTACTACGACTGGGATCGCCGCCGTGTCCGTGCAAGACTCGGTCGTAAGGAAGGTCCCGCTCAACAAGATCTCGTCCCAGCTCACGACGGACATCACGCGCAAGGAAGCCGGATTGCCGACGTGCATTGCGTCGTCGGCAAGATTTGTCGCCATTGGAGCCTCGCATGGACTGGCAATCGTGTATGACTACCACCAGCGCGTTCGATTTGTGCTTGGCTCGACGTCTGCAGGCATGACGTTTGGACCCATCACTGCAATCTGCCTGTCCTCGGTTGACGATTTGGACGCCTCGCTCCAACAACCACAACAGCCGCAGCAGCAACCGCATCAGCGCGCACCGGCAGCTGGCCCCGCCAACAACAACAACACCTCTGCTCACGGTGGACAGTCGCCCATGATGGCTCACGCAGGTGGAGTTCGAGGCAATGGAGGTGCTTCTTCTGCATCTCCGTCACAGCAACAACGAGCCTCCACAGTGGCCGCCACTGGCGCATCGAACGCTCCGCTGAGCGTGTCTGGGTTTGACTATTTACTGGCCGGCTTTGAAAAGGGCCATATTGCCGTGTGGGAACTGCAGCAGGGCAAGCTGCTCAAAGTCATTGACGGTGTGCACGATCGCGCCATTCTCAACATCACCGCGGCCGTCCCGGATCTGAGCTCCATCGTCTCATCCGATGCCCGGGGAGCCGTATTTTCACACAATGTTCGACGTGTGATGGGCATCTGGGTTGCAGACTCGAAATGCCTCGTGACGGGCGGCGGGAAGGCTGCGGTTTCCTCGCTCGTCTCGCTTCCTCCTGCTTTGGGCCTCTCGCATCCCCTCGACGACCTGTCTCTCGTGGCCATGACAACGAAATCCAAGGTGCACATTGTCGCTTTGCGGCCCCAACTCGATATCATGCACACCTTTGGCAAGGAGGTCATTTGCGCGACTGAAGAGCAAGATGCAGTGCCCCAACGCCCTTTCGTCTATGGGCAAGACACGCCAATCTCTGACAATGCGCAGGATGGTGACAGCAGGACAGACAGCGGGCGCCAGACCCCTACCACCCCTCGCTCTGCTCAGCTGCTCGGGCGCGCCGCTTCCAGTCCAGGCAATGCGACTGAATCCACGTCGGATTTGCACTTGCCGTGTCTGGCATGGCGCAGGTGCATGCTGGCCGGTGAGGCCCGAAAGCGGACAGTGCTACACCCGATGGTCGCTTGCTCGTTTGCCAATCACGTTCGCCTCATCGAAGTCGTGTGCAACGACACTGGTGCGCGGGGCATCGACTTGCCAGGGCCGCCGTCTCTCCCGGGCTCAACAACCCCGCAACAAGCGCAACGCCAGCAAGCGTCCTTGCAGCAGCAGCACGAGCAGTTTCGCCCAGCACCCGGCACGCCTCTTGCTCGCCAGTCGTCTGGCATCACGCAAGAGGAGCAGCAGCTCGTCCAACTTGTGTCGCCGACCTCCTCTTCCTCCTTGTCCTCGAGTCTGAGCTCGGGTTTGAAGGCTGGGTTGGCCTCCATTGGCACTCCGCTCACTCATGTCGGAAGCGCCTTTACCACCTTCATGAGTGCCAGTACCATTTCGTTTGTGCGGCGCGGCCACCTGGTCTTGGACTTTCCCGTAACTGCCCTGCAGTGGCTCGGTGCCTCCATTGTCATTGCGCTCGATGGCCGGGAGCGGCTAAATGTGATTGACGCTCAGACCATGCAACTGCTCCAGACCATTGATGTCAGCGACCTCAACCTGCTCTTCCACACTCGCTTTCAGCCGTTTGCTGCGGGTCCTCCGTCCAACACCTACTTGGCCACCGCTGCCTTCAACTCCATCTTTGGAGGCGCGGGCAGCAGCGGCGGCTCTCTGTCCCGGTCGCACTCGGCGTCTGTCACTTCTGCCAGCTCGGTGGCCGCCGTCACCGCTGCGCTGCGTCGCACAATGACGCACCACCAGACCATGTGTGCTCAGCTTCGTGGGTCAAACATTTTCCTCGTGGGACAGCAGTCCGTGGTCATGTTGACCTTGCTGACTTGGTCGGAGCGCATTGCCATTCTCGTTCGGCAAAGCAAATTCCTCGAGGCACTCGCATTGGCCAAGGAGTTTTACGACGGCACTGCCAAAGCCATCATTGGGCTGCCACTGAATGCGGCGCGGCGTCGCGAAATTGTGAGCGAGCAAATGACGGATTTGCTGCTGGCCTACCTTGACATTTCGATTTCCACCCCTCCAGCTGAAGCCATCGTCCCGCCGCCCACTGTCGTCGCTGCCGCCACCACCGCCACAGAAGCACCCAACAATGCTGTTGCAGGCGTGTGGCTCAACGTCGACCACGTTCGCAACCTAGTCAGCACCAGCATCGAGTATTGTCTGGCCATTGACCGCCACGACTTGCTCATGAGCGAGATCTTTGACCGCTTTTGTGCGGTTCAGTGCGACTACCCGGCCAGTGGTCGCGGGGTCTTCCTGGAACGTCTCGAACCCTACGTTCTGAGTGACCGCATCCGCTCGTTCAGTCCGATTGTGATGCAGGCTTTCGTCGAGCATTACCTCGCGCGGGGATTTTTGCAGCGCATCGAGCGCTGCCTCGTGCACATGGATGTCGCCAACCTTGACTTGCATCAAGTCATCACCATGTGTCGGCAGCACCGCCTGTATACTGCGCTTATTTACGTCTACAACCGCGGTCTGTTTGACTATGTCTCGCCAATGGAAGAGCTGGTTCAGCGCCTGTACCAAGCCGTCAAGGGCAAAGGGCGAGCACAAGCTGCTGCAACGAACGATGCGGCGCCATCCGGAATGTCGAGTAGCGATTTCAGCATTGGATACAAATTGCTCTTGTACATGAGCTTTTGCTTGACTGGCCGAGCCTTCCCGGCAGGCATGCTGCCCGCCGAGCTGTTGCCAACAATCAAGTCAGAGGTGTATCACTTTTTACTGGCGCGTGCCTCAGCGACGAGTGCTCGTAGTCCTGAATCGCCCAGCTCTCCTGGTGAATTTGAAGAAGCCGTCCAGTACCCCAACCTTCGCGCCTTGCTCATGTTTGACATTCGCGAGTTCCTGAAGGTCCTGGATGTCGCCTTCGAAGATGCCGCTCTCAATCCACCCTCCTTTGGCCAGACTGCCGTGGATGAGGAATCCGCCTCCGCCTCGTCCAAATCACGCAAGCGTCGACAGGCCGATGCTCATCAGGCTTCTGCAACGCAAGATATGGTTGTCCCGGTCCAGCCGATGCCCGATCGACAGCTCATTTTGGACATTTTATTCGACACATTCCGTGTGCGAACGATGGCCGCGGTGCAGCAAGAACAGCAACGACAACAAGTGCAACAACACCGACAACAAGCGCAGGGCAAAAGCAGTGCTCGGGCTCTGTCGCGCTCCGTGTCCCACCCCCAGTCCATCTCCCCGTTCTCTGCCGAGCAAATGACCGTTTTGTTTGCCTTCGTTGCTCGACAGTTGCTGCGCTTTCCAAAGTTGCTGACTGTCGAGCCGGCCATCCTCGATCTGATGGTCCGCTATCTGACCAACGCCGACTCCTTGCTGTGTGACGCGAGCGAAAGCGAGTCCAAGTCCGCCGAAGCGTCCGGGCCTCAACAGGGTGGCGTGCCCGAGCTGCGGGTTTCTGTCGATGAGCGAGAGCAGGCCTTGATCAGCCTCTATCACGGAGGACTGCTCAACCACATTGACGAAGACACGCTTCTGATCATGACCGAGTCCGCGCAATTCTTCAAAATTCTCGAGTCGTTGTACGAAGCGCGTCGGCAGTACGCCAAGATTCTTGCCATCTATCTGCGTGCTCCCAACCAGGAACGGAAGGCCATCAGCTACGTCCACCGTGTGCTGTCGGCGCCTCAGAGCTCCGTCCCGTCACGGCCCGCGTACGACGAGCGCGGCATACTGCGTCAGCCATCCAGCTACACTGCGCAAGACAACGCGACTGTGCGGGAGTTTGCTATTCAGCATGCGTTGCAACTTTCGCTGGCCGATCGGCGTGCAATGGCCAAAGTGGTCATGCTGCACTTCCCCGAAGAGCTGGCGCCCTTTGTGGGCCGACTGCAACCCAACTCGCAAGTTCAGTACGAGTTCTTGCGTCACGTGTTTGACCCAACTCTGCTCAGCAGTATTCCCCTCGCTACCGGCCAGCAACGGCCCTCCGTTGCGAGAGAGCCAGGCCAGTCCGAACTCAGTGCCCTTGTGGGATCGGTTCCGCTGGAAGTCAACGAGCGCTACATTGAGCTCCTTTGCGAGTATGCTCCATCCCAAGTGTATGCCTACTTGCGATTGCAAGACAACTACCGCCTTGAGGTTTGTGCATGAAGTTGCTATCGTGAATTTGAGCGTCGAAACTGGAACGAGGATTGGGGATGAGAAAGATATGAGAACAGAGAAACATTGTGCTCACACGCACGTTGTGATTGTGTTTGACCAACCATGTGCAGGAATGTCTGCGCATGTGCAAAAAGTTCAAGATCACCGACGCCACGGCGTGGCTCCTCGAGCGGTCGGGCGACATTGTCGCCGCCTTCGAGTTGGTGCTTGCCTCACTCAAAGATCGCATTGTGTCATTATGTCACACGCTCATCTCGTCGCACTCTTCGACGCCCGAGGCTGGAGCGCAGCAACAGCAGCAGCAACAGCAGCAGCAGCAACAACAACAACAACAACAGCAACTAGCTGCAGCTCTCCATCAAGGTCCTCCGCCCGCTGTGCGACCTGTGCACCCTGAAATTCGGGGAGCAATTGCTCGCGCCCATGCCGTGCTCCTGGTTGCCATTCAGCTCTGCCAGCGCAATGCCAATCGGATCAACGAGAACGAACGCGATCAGTTGTGGTTCCAGATGCTTGACACGGTGATGGAACCGCAGCGTCAGCTGAATCTGTTGGTGGACGAGCAAAAGCCTGCTTCCGCTGCGCGTCGTCGAATCGCCATGCAACTCAGCCCGAGCATGGTGACCAGCCTGATGATTGAACTCAAGTCGCTCACCCAGCGTGTTCTCAGTGCGATGATGGGCTACGTCCCATTGAAAACAGTCCTGTACAAGGTGCTGCAGGACCCCAATTACAGCTCTGGCAACCTCGGTGACATTAAGGATCTTGTCATTGGCATGGTCGACACGTACAATTACGAGGCTGTCCTTCTCGAAACCACCAACCACATGATTGAGGATGATTTGATTACTGCCACCAAGTCTCTCGCTCGCGGTCTGCGCAAAGGTGAGTGTTGACCCTTGCCGTCCATGAAAAATTTCATGGTACTGTGCTGAACACCTGTTGGTCCGTGCGGTTGCGTTGGGTTTTTTTGTCTCGAACTAGGTTTGATGCCACGCCAAGATGTTTGCAGCATTTGTGAACTTCGAGTGGTTCGTATTGCGAAAATGGACGACGCGCTGACCATCTTCCATTGCGGCCATGCGTATCATATGTCTTGTCTGGTTGGAGATGATGCCGGCGCTGATGTGCACTGCGTCATTTGCTCCAAGAAGCAAGCGACTGGACAGGTTTGTGGCAATGCGTTTGTTGGTTGTGCACTGAAAGTTGATACTGATTCGCACTGCTGTGCTTTGCCCCTCTGTGTTTTTGTTTTGTTTTGTTTTGTTTTGTTTTGTTTTGTTTTGTTTTGTTTTGTTTTGTTTTGTTTTTTGTTTTGTTTTGTTTTGGTTTTTTTTTTGTTTTTGTTTTTTTGCTTTTAGCGTGTACCACCAGCGGTGCTGTTGAACAGTCCTGCCAAAGCTCAAGTTCAGCGACATTCCGGAAAGCGACGTGCTGTTCAGCAGGAGGACATGGGCCTCTCGTTGGAAGACAAGTTGAACGACTCCATGTCCTCTTCCTCGTCCACCACGAACGCTGGTCTGAATGTCTCAACATCGAGCGCTGCCAGCATCGACATATCTTCGGGCGCACTTGTCGACCCGAGCGTTGACGCCTTGCGTCAACTGAAACGAGACTTGCTGCTGCCCAGCGAAATGGTACGTTGGGAAAAGTTCGTTGGTTCTTTTGGTTATCACTCTGTGAGTGTTCTGATCTGGCGGTCTGGTTCTTTGTTGTATTTTCGGTGTGTGTATTAGCATTCCATCCTTCGATCTCTTGGCGATGATTCCGTTGGTATCGGTCTGGGAGGAATGCGCCTGCTTGAGCCCAATGCCAAGTTCACACGGCTGCAGATTGCGCCTCCCTCGTCGAGCGTCGAGCGTGAAAAACGTCGAAGGGAGCGTGTGGCTGGCGCCATCGCGGCTCGTGCTCCAGGCTCGCTTCCCAAGCGTGCTCTCAACCAAAACGACGTTCCTGATCTTTTTGTGTTGTAGTGCTCCATTTCTGAACTTTCGGTTGCGTTTGACTTGACTTTCAGACTGGAGTGTGTAAATGAAGAAAAAAATTAACGGGGTGTTATACATTTACTCCATGTTTCTACAGTTATTTCGGCGTTGATTTATGCTTTTTCGCAAAACGTAGCTGCTTTCATTTAAATAGTGCGATATTGATGACAAGCCTTTGCATGCTCGAAGGTAGAGTTAACTTGTATGATGATACTCGACGGGCGGCGCGTTTGTTTCTTGTAGATACGCCAAGGCGAATGCCCTTCCGTTGTCTGTGAGAGGAGTGAAGGCGATGTTTGCCTTCTCTACTGTGCCAACAGTGTAATAGTGCGCCCTGCCAAAGATGCCCATTTCCAAAAATCAATATGTCTTATCGTGAGTATTGGACTGGCAAACTGACATTGGCACCCGAACGTCGAGCCGTCGCACTTGCTGCATGTACCTTGCAAAATCAAGTAAACGTGTGGCAATGTGGAATTTTCGGAATGCCTTGCTCACCCAGATCCGATTCACACCGAGAACCACCTTTGCGGCCGGCTTGGTGCTGGCGGAAGTGGAGGAGGCACTCGCAGCGGGACCAGAAGAATTGGACGGGCTGATGATCGTCATTGTCGTAGGGTTAAACTCTTCCAGCATAACACAGCCCACAGCCCGCTGTGGTGTGTCTCTGGTAATAAATAAAAATTTCTGGCCAAGCGTTCCAACAGACCGGGTGAGCAAACGCAACTTGTGAATGAACGAGGAAATGAACGGCAAAACCTACCCGCAGTTGGCTAGCTTCCTCAACCGACAGCAATCCAAGGTCTGCAGACATTAGTGGTAGTACCACGGTATCCTAAGATCAAAAATTGAGTGACCAAGAACCACAAAAACGACCAAACGAATCGCAGTCGCTTACAAAAAATAAATCCGACTTGCGAACTTCAACTAACATGCCGCTCGTTCGTGCGTCGGTGGCCAAGTCGGTGCTTTCCCAGCGATGCGACCTCTGTGTCAAGGCCGCGCTCCCACAACGTAAATAAAAGGTATTCTGACGAATCGACTCTTTCCCCACTCAATGCTCTCCAAGAGTACTTACAGGGACAAGGCCCTCTTTCCGCATCTGCAGCTCTTCGTGGTGCTTGAGATGCGCTTGCTCGTCATGAGCAGCCATGATCATTCCACAAGTCTTGCACTCGAGCTTTTGGCCAGCATCCAGCATTTGTTGGACGGGCTGCTTGCGAGCGACAAGTTGTCGCGATTTCGCCTTCACCACACGGGCTGATGCACTTGACAGTGGCAACATTCTCCCTCGCCCACTCAATATATCGTTTGAAAGCATAATACGCGGGGAAGCGAACAAATCCCCGAGGCGATAACCGTGACTGCTTGGAACTCCTATCCGTCGCGATTGATCAGGCAGGGCTGTGTCTTGGGATGCCGACTCGATGGCCATCCCACTGTCCTTTACAAGGTCACTTGCGACAAGGGTAGTCCTGTCGGCGGCACGCGCTGGGTCGAGGTCGTCCGACAGGCTGGACGAGGGCTCGGAATCAAGTGGCTGGAACTCGTCCGCGAGAGCCCAGTCGCTGCCGTCGCTCGAGAGCGGATCCGAGCGTACGTCTGAGCAAGCTCCGAACGCAGTTGCATCGGAGGACGGGCTGGGCGGGCACACTCTCGGTGACGATGGCCGCTGTTCGTCTTCTTGGGCAATCATGTTCCATAGGTCTGCCGCGCCTGCGCTCCCGATCCCGATCCGAATCCAGCAAGACGAGAGATAGCAAACCAACCAAGCAAGCCCATACAGCCCAGCGAAGTGAGTGTCGAGGCTTGAACGCTGGAGTGGATTTAACAGTTTTCCCGCCAAAAGTTTCCACTTTTCAACTCGTTTTGAGTTCCCGCCTTTTTTTTTCGTTCTGTTCCCTCTTACGTGAGTGCTGCGCTGAGCTGTCCTTGCTCGCTTCGTCTGTAGTGGTCTTGTTGTGATGGTGGTTGTTGTCGCGGCTGCTGTGGTCGTCGGTGCCATCTGCAGCCAACCGTCGAGCTCGAGAGTAGACATGCATAGGAATGGGAAATGAGCTGGATTTGGATTTTGGATTTGGATTTGGATTTGGATTTGGATTTGGATTTTGGATTGGGATTTTGGATTGTGGATTTTGGATTGGGATTGAAAAAGGTTTCTGAGACCAAAAAAAAAAACAGCAATTCAGTGATCTGGACTTTGCGAAAAGCACAAGAGTATCTCAGGTTTCGGCGCATCAATGTCATTGAACAATGAATCGTGTCGATTGCTCCGCTCGTACATGTACTCGATCTGACGCCTAACCTGGCCGTCATGGAATGATATTGATGAACTGGTACTATGCAAGGATGAGTAAAGTGCGCATAGTCCAAAACGAGGAGTCAGAAAAGTAGAAATTCAGGCCAATAAAAACTAGACTTCTATTCACAATTTGCCAACTCTAACATCGAAATGCTCCCAGAACGATCAGATTCCTCCAACCCTCGTGGAGCACAACGAGCGTGAAATGTTGTTTTAGATGAGGAAACATCGGGTGGATGTGAGACAGCAAGCTGGTCATGGCGTAGCCAGCGGCGGAAGAATACGAAGGATGGCGACGCCGGTGTTGTCTGAGATTGGATGAGTGCGCTCCGATTGAATGTTGAATAATACTAAGGTTATCCGGCTGATGCCGTGTGTCGCTGTAAACCAGGTAGAATTTGGGTTCTTGCGAAATTGTTGCTAAATCAGCGACGAAAGGTCGTCTTCAAAAAAGGTCGAGCGCACGGGCATTTTGGCTGCTGAAATTGCGTTTCACAGTGGAAAAATTTTTTCCGAATTTCGGAAGACAATCCTCCGAATTTTGCTCAAAATTCGGAAAACCGAATTTATTATTTTTCCGGTGCAAAATTCGGTGCCTCAGCACAGCGAGAATATGGCGATAGCTCGACGTCTGATTGGTCAGAATTTGCTTTCTTGGTCTCCTTTTATATGGGGCCGTTTTTTTAAAAAGGTAGAGTGAACCCCCCAAAATATGTCGTTCATATCCACCACCGTGTCCTACGTCGCTTTCCGCCGCTGGTGCTCTGATTGTGTGGTTTACACCATGTCATCAGTGTGCTCGAGGGTCGGGGGCGCAGCGGAAGTGCGTTGGGCGGCGGGGCGGAGCGAGAAAAGGAGCGGTTTGTGTCGCGGTGTGATTTCTCAGCCAAGCTTTTCCCAGCCCTCAATCTGTGCCACTGCTACATTCTGTTGCGGGTTCATCTTGTCCAACAATAATCGGGCCGCAGTAGAGGGCGATTAGCCCCAGCACACTTGGTTACAAAAAAACAAACAAAAAACAAACAAAAAACAAAAAACAACTCTTGCATGTCCAAACCGAGTGCTGAACTGTTTTATGCACTCTCTCAGCTTCCGGCTCCTCCTGTCCCTACCAGCCATTGTCCCGATCTCCGATCTAAAGAATTATTTGATGTGGTGTGGCAGCCCGCTGACACTGATCTGCTACAACGAGGTTGCGTTGACCGTCACACCTTCTCGCGGCCGTACAGGCGCCGGCGAGACAGCGGCGTGTGGTCTGATGCACCGAGTGGCATGGACACATGGTCTACTCTCTCGGGCGGGGGTTGCAGGGCAGGGGAAACCAATTGCAGAGCTCAGCGACGCGATGGGAGTGAAAGACATGGCGATTCTACCTTTTTAAAAAAACAGCCCCATATTATTAAAAATGTTTTTTTTAATTTTTAATAAAATTTATTTTATTATTGGTTTCCATATTTGCACAAATTTACAAAAATCTCAGATCGCCCCCGCCTGCACCTTGCTGGTGCTTTGTACTTGCCTTTGGAGGGCGTGACTGGTAGCACACTGGCCAAGCATCTTGCAGCCCCGAGCTCCGCTTTGCTCCTTTCCGCATCTGTTCAAGTAGGAATCACAAGTTAGTCACTGTTCTGTGTCATATCATGCATGACAGCTGACGGCGGGGACTTACACGTTTGCTTCAACGAGACACGTTGTCTTGCTGGCCGAACATTGCGATTGACTCCGTCTTGATCATCAGTTTCACACGCCTGCGACACATCAGCTCACAGTGAGTATTTCGTCTGTTGCGTTCTCCAATCGAACAGTATGCGTACCGAGCTCAGCACCACTTGGACTGAAAGAAGCCTGTGCGATGTGACGAGTGCGAATCTCAAGTTTTTTTCGCAATGTTCTTGTTCTTTGCAGCGTAGTGCTTGTTTGACTTGATCCAGCTCGACAGCCGCCGCCCGCTGAAGCGCGTCAATGACAATCTTGGACATCAAGTGGATGCTGTGCTACTTGTGATCATATTCCAAGGTGAGGCTGGAGTGCGAGACAATAAAAAATCATGTGATTTTGGGCGCGAAATTTGAAAAATGCATTTTCCCGCCAATTCCCGCCCTAGCTGATTTAAAAAAATGCATTTTCTCCCCTTTCTATCGCGCTTCTGCAGTTCCTTCGCATCTCTCTCGTGTCGTCCTTCTATACCCATGTGAGATGAGTGTTTTCCGCGCATCCGCGCAGTCGGCATCGATCTGCAGGCAGCAGACGACCGCATCTTTCTTTTCTTTTTTTTCTTTTTTATCGCGCCTTTTTATCTTTTTTTTTTATCTTTTTTTTTTATCTTTTTTTTTTTATCTTTACCTCTATCCTCTTGTCCTCCTGACATCAGCATCGCTTGCGTGCGTTGGCTGCTGCACAGTCAGAGAGAGGTAAAGCTCGATGACAGACAAGCACCACAAGCCGCGCGACGGCTGTGTTCGCCTTCTTCTTTGCTTTTGTTTTTTTATCTTTTTCTTTTTGTTGTGGCACACTCACAAATGTCACTGCTGGCCATCTCGATCTGCACTCGATGTAGAAAAAAATAATAAATAAAATAAAAATAAATGGTAGACTGAAGCAGTGACGTTACAAAATAAAATAAAAAAATTAAAATAAATTAAAAATAAATTAAAATTAAATAAAATTAAATTAAAATAAAATAAAGTAGCATTAAAAAAATAAAAAAGAAATCAAAAAAGAAAGCGCAACCAAACAGGTTCGAACCCAGTAGCAAAAAGAAAGCAAAAAGCATCAAGACGCTTGGTCTAGACAGCTCGAAGTGAACGCTGGGCGAAATGGGATTCGATCGCAGGCATGGAACTACACTTTCTCATCCTCCTCCAATCGCGCGTATCTCGATTGGACAATATGTCATAACATCTCAGAATACTACAAGTCGAGAAAAGAAGCACGAAACACCGCGAAAAGACACGCAAACGGTGAGCACAAACTCACTCGTTTCGTGTTATTGCCTGTCCTGTCGCTGCATTGGCCCCTTTTGCCCCGCTCGCTGCTTTGAATAATACTGGATTAAGTGGTCGTCCTAACGCCATGTTGTACTCTGGTGTGCGGGGCGCGGTTTCTGCCATTTTGAAGCGAACATTCGCGAAAAATGAAGCCGGCCGCAGGCGTTCTTTGAACACTCTGTTTCCATGCTGTTACTGCCGCTGGACTGGAACTGCTGCGACATTATTTGAGCATAACTACCTGACAATGAATGCGCTAATCACCACCCTTCACAATTTTTATCGCAGGCCGGTATCAAGCTCGCGGAAGTGATACCCATCGCGACAAACAACGCTACAACCGATCAACGCTCGTTTTTCAGCGCACACCGCACGCTTGACGTCAGCGTTCACTTGCATTACATTTGAATGATTTTTGACACGCACTGGTGTACAGTGAGGACCGAGTGCCGCAAGACTGCCAGCAGTACAAGTAAGGGACGTGACCGATTTGAGCTCACTTCTGTTTTCACGTCTCAAGATTGGCGTGGCTGTATCTGCACCCAGTGCGCAGCCGCCGTTGAAGCGGATCCATGACTGGTTACAAGTATGGCTGACGCTACAGACAGACGTCGACATCGCAAGCGCGGTCTGCCCGCTGACCAGAGGCTGGAACTGCACCAAGTTGGCCATGCCCAGAGCTGCTTCCAACTCCAAAGCACTTCATCATGATTCCATGGCATTTGAATACGTGTGAATAGTGTATCAATTGTATTTGTAGCTAGAATGAGAGATATCCTGAAGAATTGGTGCACTGGTGCAGTCATTGAGTGGTGGCTGCGAAGTTGTGTCAACAGCGCTTTCCTGCGTCTGTGCGACCGTCCCCGACCGCTCCCGCATCAGAAACAAAGTGCCACAACTGTATCACGTCACTGGACATGCAAAGGCGCGTGTTGATATGGCCTGGGGAGCAGCAGCAAGGAGGAGCGCCGATCGCAATGGACCGCCAGCCAATTCCCCTCCTCATCGTTTCGCGTTCCAGGACAGTCCCCGCCGTCCAATTTCCACAAATATGCACTGCAAACAACATACATTGCATACTACGATTGAAAGAAACAAGCCAAACTCAAGCATTCGCAAGTTGAAAAAAACCGAATTTTTGAAAAAATTCGGTCGTTCCGAAATTCGGAAAAAATTTTCCACTGTGTTTTCGTTCGTTTCGATTTCTCGCTTCCCGAGCACTAAATACTGTCTCCCAATATGAAGAACTGAATTTTTAACGAGGGCCCATAGGATTGCCTCAACATTCAAGATCGGGAGGAGCGACAATATTGACCATTTTGTATTTGAAAAAGAAACGTTGACGCTCAAAGCGCCTCTCAACTACTAACACCTCACACAAAACAGTACGGACAACCAGCAAATGAATCCAAAGAACCCAATGAATCCAAATGCTTCACTTTGCTGAACCAACACTCTTCGGATCGGACTCTGGCTTTCGGCTGCGTTGCGCAAGCAATCGTCGGGCAACCAGAGAGCCGGCCATGGCAACCGCAGCCGCCACAGAGATGCCAATGCCAATCTGAGAGACAGAGGGCGCGGATGCAAGCGTGGAAATCAGCGAGGACGCCGACGACACGCTGGTGCCCAAGTCAAAGCTCGAGGTAGTCGGCAGTGCACGGGCAGAGCCCTCACTTGCCTGTCTCGTGACACGGGTAAGGAGCGAGCCAGCAGAGCGGGCAGACATGGAAAGGACGCCAGCATACCCGCCACCTGAGGCACCGGCAGTAAATCCAGTGGCGAGGCGGTCGAACGCAAAGACCGACGATGACGATGCCGCCGCTGCCGTGTTGGCAGCCATAGCGCCAGCAGCAATACCCGCGGCGACGCTGCCCACCATGACGCCTGCTTGGGCACCGAGGGAAAGTCGCGGCACGGCTGGGGCAATTTGCGGCAGGTTTGAGCTCAAGGCTGTGGCCGACATGACTCCTCCCTGCTTCTGCTGTTGTGGACTCAACGAAGCTGGTCCTGATGCTGGGAGGAGCAACCCAAGACCAGTTGCGTCATCAGTCTCCAACATCGGTTCAGGGGTCATGAGGCCCGCGAAATCAGAGCCCAAGGTGCTGGCCTCGGCCAAATCCGAGTCGGAGAGGAAATCCATCATGTCCTGCGCGAACTTGCTGCCGTGTTGCAAAGCATTCTGGTCGACCGCAAACAACGAAGGCTCTTGTGTCCGATAGCGCTGGAACTGGTGCTCAAACTCTTGCTGCGCGGAAGCACAATCGGGCTCGCTCATCGAGCTAAACACATTTTGAATGTAGCTGCAGCACGACTCCCAAAATTCATCGATGCGATTGTACGCCGGTGATCCACGAGCGGAATGGTGGCTCGGGAGGGCAGGCGGGGTGTCGCCGCTGCTGCCAATGCTTGGCGACGAGGCGGCGGAGGAGGACGAGTGGGGTTCCAGCGCCGCGGCGTGCCGATCCGCCAACGTTGAGGCAATCCACCCAGAGTTCAAAGCGGAATGAACAGCATCCTGGAACACGGTCGAGCCGAAATCGTGCTGATCAGAAAGCAAAAGATTCGAAATGGCGTCAGCAGAGCGCAGCGTATCGTCAATCGACTTTTGCCCTGGCTCCAATCGCGGCAGCTTGCTGGCGTGATCGTCTTCAAGCTCGTCGTCATTGTCGTCGAAAATGAAAATGCCACTGTTGCGAGCGCTATTGGTCGCGCTGGAACTATGCGTCGGAGACGCTGCCCGAGACTGGTGCGCTTCTTCGTCCGACATGAAGGAGCTGAGTGACGAGTCGCTGTCATAGCCTTGCGACGTCTGGCCGCGGTCTCGCTGCCGCCGTTTGCGCGATGCTCGCGTCGGAGACACGGCACGATCCAGTGCCGTTGTTTGAAGCGTTGCTGGCAGGGACCCTGCTGCCATGCCCAAGCGGACGTGGCCACCATCCAGCTCCGTCTCACTCTCAGACGAGTAGTTGGAGGCGGTTTCGTCAGTGTCATGGCCGTCGCCCCGTCGAATACTACTGGTTGCAAGGCCCATCATGCCACCGTTCTGAAGGGCCTCCAGACCCTGGAGGAAGGCGGCGTGATCGAGCGTCGAGGCGTTTGTTGGCAGTTGATCCGTGATCTCGCTGGCGGCGATGTCGAAAATAGATGCCTTTGGCGGGAGCGGCGCTTGCTGCCAAGCTGCTGCGCGGTGAGAGCGGGGGCTCTTGGAGCGGCTGGCCAAGGAAAACGGCGGTACACCAGCGTTAGTTGCGGCTGCGAGAACAGGCGACAACGGAGGCGACTCCCATTCGTCCGACAGGTAGACGTTTGTGTCTTCCTCGACTGCAGGCGTCATCTGCCCATCCACGTCGCTCTGAGTCGTGGGAGCAACTGTCGCTGCCGCCAGGTCGCGCAGCACAAAGTCCAACTGCTGCTGACCGGATAGATCCGAAAAGTCGCCAAAGCCGCTCGTGGAGGAATGGAGACCAGAATCATCGTCGCCGTCGTGCTCGTCATCGCCATCCTCGCCAGCCTGGCGGTGAGTCGTTGCAAGATGATTGTCCGACAGACTCAGATGCTGCAAGCGGAGAAGTTGCTGCTGCTGTTGCCGCTGAGATTGTTCACCAGATGTGGACTGGGGATACACGTGCAGCTGCTCCAGGAACTGAAGAGGAGACGGAGGCACTGGCTGGCCCGTTGACGAGACTTGCTCCATTGAAGCAGGAAAGAACCCGGCAGACAGCTGCTGCTGCTGCTGCTGCTGCTGCGGCTGCAAAAGGATTTGTTGCGGAAAAGGGTGTTGTTGGTCTTGCATCGGCGGTAGGAACTGGAATCGCGAGTAAATGTCTTGCATCGTACCGTCATACTGAGGGAGCCGTGGATCGAGTCCAGCGGCGATGGGGGAGGTGGCCTGTGGCGGTGATCGCGACTTGCTGCGCCGCCCACCAGAAGAACCGCGCCTTGCGCTCGATGCAGACGGCTTGCGTGATGTGGAGGCATAGGTGGAGTGGTCTTCGTCTTCATCGTCGTGGTTGTTGGTCTGGTCGGGGTGACCAGCAACGGCTACGGCAGCTGCGCTCCCGGACCGAGTCCTTCGTGATCCAGCAGCGGCGGGAACAATTCCGGCAGGCGGAGGCGATGAAGTGGTCAGCCCGGCGAAGGCCTCCTCGAATAAATCAGAGTCTCCTGAAGCGGAGGACATGCCTCGTGCAGCTCGGGCTCTGGCGGCCTTGGTCTGGGTGGCGGCGCCAGCAGAACTCCCGCTACTTCCCGAGCCGCCAGCCGACATTTTCGCTGGCTTTGGCGCGGGGAGATGCGGCGCGGCGTCCAGCACAAGCTGACTCTCGTTCGCATTAAAGCCGTGCGCGAGAAGCGTCTCGAGCGTCAGGTCGGCAAGTTCGAGGCCGTTATTTGCGATCGACATGACACGCTTCACTAGTTCTTCCTTCAGCTCACACGAGCGCAAGTGGCGTCGACACAACTCGGCGCTCCACGGCGCGCGGGATCCAATATGCGGCGTGATGGGTGCTGGCGTGGTGCCGGGTCGTGCCGTGGCACACGCGTAAACGTGCTTCTGGTGGTCGTATGGCCGCTTGGATCGAACGCCGCAAATGCACCCAAACGGGCGATAGTCAATGTGCACAAGCATGTGCGATGTCAAATCGGACGGCTTGTGAAACGCCGGTCGATTGGCGTGCAGCTGGCAGCCATCCCAGTGGCACAATCCCACGAATCCAGTCTTGCGGTGGCGAATATGCACTGTCTGGACGTGCTCATACAGGGTTTCGTTCGTTGGGAAGGTTTCCGGGCATATTGCCGGCTGGCCAGGCCTGTTGGGAGCAACAATTACAAATTGTCAGCAACAGGTCTCTGAATTTTTTTTGGATCAAGATCATAGAGCACTGATTCTTCTATTGGAGCCATTCTGCTGATCTCGTTGGTGCCTGAGAAGTTGAATGGAGCGAAACGAGACAAGAAAAAGCAAAAACAACAACAAGAGCAAAATTCTATCATTTTGACCCTTTTTTGTCGGTCTTCCAGCTTGTCACTTTGGTTGATGTTTTTTTTTTTGTTCTTCTTGCCCCCCATTGACCAATTCAATGAAAACAACCAAAAATGTCGGGCGACAAAGCCAACCATCAAAAAAAAAAAAAAAAAAAAAAAGCGGTCATCGAAATCGCCAAGACATTTGCACCTTTGGCTGAACGCTCAAGTGCACTCACCTCAGCTCTTTCCCCCTAAAGGCGCATAGGCAGCAAAAGCCGGGATTCTCACATTTGGAGCAGCAAAAACAAAACTAACAAACAAAAAAAAACCCACCCCCGGGGTCAAGTGGAGATGGAAAAGGCGAGAAAAGCGACGCCACGCCAATTCAATCGCCAAGAAACGCTGTCTTGGTTTTTCGTTACGCTCGACACGCAGAGACACACGAGCGCGGTGGTGTCTGTCCATGCGAATGCTCATCATCATCAAGTGCCGACGGACCAGCCGGCATCGATGTAGCAACGTCGAACGAGAGAGAGTTGAGGTGTGTGAGCTCGTGTGTGACGACGCGCATCGCAGAGCAACGGGATTGACAAGTTCGACGTCCCACGCGGTCAAACGGACAACTGCAAACGAGCCACGATAGGGAGCAGGCGAGTAGGTGGGCGGGAGGGGGGGGGAAGAGTCTGGGACGAAAGAGAGTGGGATGCACTCGAAATTGAGCAAACCAACGAACGTACTCGCGCCATAGACAGACTCCCATCAGATTGTTCATGATGATGCAGGAGGAGTGATTGAATCAAATGCACAGCCAAAATAAGACGGGAAAACGAAAGTGAAGAACAGTCAAAGAGACAATCAAACAGCTCCTCCAAGTTGACTGGTGGTGGATAATGATGTGGCTGTCCATTGTGATTTCAAGTACTGCTTTGGTTTCAGCGTCTTCTGCACTACCCCACCTGTTGCAGCTCATTCTCAATCGATAGCATATTTATCCAGTCAAGAGTGACCAGTTCCACATCGCTTCTTCGTGATCCGTTCAGACTCCAGCAAAAGTTGTCTTGGGTGAAATTTTGATCAGTCTTTCTTCCGACTGCCAAGATGCAATGCGAGTGGGAAGGGTAATCGTCGCCTCCGTGCATTTTGTGACTTTTATCAAACACATACAATAGCTTCCGCCTCTATGTTGACACTGAGAAGGCGGGAAGCAAGTCGAAAGGGAGGCAGGGGGAAAGCCTGGTGAGTTTGTGACGGCACGATCGCCCATCGGCTTTGTAGCATCCTGACAGCCGTCGCAAAAAAGTGATCCGTGTGTACATTCAGTATGTAAACCGTCAGCGTTTTTTGTCCGCGTGCCGACTTCAGCTCCAATGTGGGCGGCCGTTGTCCAAAACGCGCAAGCTGTCTGGCCGGAAACCCAGCCCCTGTCCCTTGATTCGATTTCCAGACACCCGTAGCCGATATAGCTAGGCACTCGAGCACCGTTCAGTTGTCCCTCACTCATACCCGTTGATATCTGACCAGCTGAACCGTCTCTCTGCTCGGGGGTGAATTGGCGTTGATTATTGACGAGCGCGCGAAACCGGAACTGACCCTCCAACCCCCCCCCTCCTCCCGCTCCTCCTGCTCCTCCGCTGTTCTTCTCTCTACTGCCCCCTCAGGTGCGAACAACGATTCGGATCTGCGGGACTGCTGTTTGAGCACTTGCGCGAGGTGCACGTTGGTCTTCGCTTGGACAAGACGTTTCAAGGTCAATGCCAGTGGGCGAACTGCTCGCGAGCTGACCAGCAGTTTGGCAAGCCTTACGACTTGGTGTCCCACATTCAAGTGCACGTTAATGTTCGACCGTTCGAGTGCATTTGTGGCGCACGTTCGAAGCGGCAGTCTGATCTTCGGAAGCACCTTGAGGGTTGCTGTCAAGGAACGGATTTCAAGTGGACTAAGGCGACATCGGGCTTGTTCCTGGCCAGAAAGGGCTTCTCGGACGATGCCATTACACGCATCCTTCAGCTGGTGCAAGATCCTGAAGATATTCTTCGAGTGACGGACGCTCAGCTGCTCGAGGTCCAGATGGATGCACAAACTTGCCGTCTCGTTCTCGACGGCACCCCAGTCGAATTTCGAAACAACACGGCGAAATAAACCTCTCGCCCATTGCCTCTTTGTCGAGCCCTGTGACTTGTCTCGCTCCGAATGGCGACGTTCAGCAAAGAATGAACTTGTATGACTTTGCTTGGTTGCGCAATTTGATGCTTGGGCATGTGTGTGTGTGTGTGTGTGTGTGTGTGTGTGTGTGTGTGTGTGTGTGTGTGTGTGTGTGTGTGTTGACATATCCTGTCCAATCCTCCAAGCAAATTGTTCGTCATGACCAACCCTCGTCGCTTTAGTATCAATCAACCTTTGCGGGGCGAGTTCATTGCCTCCAACGGGTCTTGTTTGTGGCGTCGCCTCAGACCGCTCCAGAACACTCAAAGGTGCAATTCTTCACGAACTGAATTCGCAACCACGACGCAGCAACCCGATCAAACGATTCTAGTTCTTGCTTGCAGTTGCCCTTGCCTCGCAAAGCAATCATGTCGTTACCAAGGCGAACGAAGCCAAACGAGCAAAGAAGGCTCTCGTTCGGACTGCCGGTACATCGATATGCAACAATTGAGAGTTCAACGCCAGTGGCCGTTTCGACGAGTGCCAGACCGCTCAAGGGAAGCACTTTGGGGTTGCAAAAGAAGAATACTGCTGGCGACATGGTTTTTCTGCGTGCTTGGATGCCAGGTTCATGTCGAAGAATCGTTGGCGTTCGCTCGCGTGTGTTGGATCTGTCGCCGTTTGGTTGTGATCCAGCCAACAGCCCGTGTCCAACAAACCACCAATTCCAATAGGCTCGGCTGTTTCTTACGAGCCAGTCTCGACTTAACTTGGATGCACACACTCACTGCTCTCAGTCATTTTCTGAATAGTTGTGCAGGATCTCTCATTTCTGCTGGTTTGTTTTCAGCCAGTCTCGCTTCGTTTTTCTCTGTTTGCTCCTTTCTCTTCCCGTCTCTCCCGTTCACAGCTTCACTCCCTCAATCGAAGCGCACTCTCATGCTCCTCGCTCAGAACGCAGGGCGGCAGAGCCCCAGACGGCTCCAGACGCACAGGGGAAGCGCACCGCCACAGCCACACGAACAAAGCGACAGTTTCGCTTCCTCTCTCTCCCTCTTCCTTGCTCTGGCTCGCTCTCTCTCTCTCTCTGTCTACCTCGCCCTCGCCAGCACCACACTGACACCCAAGTGTCAGTCTGCACGCCGTGGTAGCACACACCAACCCAACACCACAACGCACGCAACTCAACCCAACACAAACAATCGGCGCTTTTTGTTTTTTTCCTCTTTTTCTTTGTTGTCTGTTTACCTTGCACACAGTCACAGTCGTGGCTTGTCCTTTTGGATTTCACTTCCATTGTGTGATTTTCGGGCGATGAGGAGGCGATGAGGGAGGAAGGACGACGAAAGGAGGTGAAAGTGGCAACTCCCTTCCCCCCTTGACGCCTGACTTCTGAGCTGCTCAAAACACAAACAACAACAAAAGGATGACAACGAAGGAGGGTGACAACGAAGCATGGCTTTAATCTGATCTGAGGGTCTTCTGAAAAAACAAACAAGTCTCACCATTCACTGAGTATCTCAAAACATGCACTGAGTAACGCCATGCCTAGTTGGTGACCACGTCTGGAGCATGCATTGCTTGCCTCAAACCTGGAAGGTAGCGTGCAATGGTCGTGTCGAGACGCTCATTGTTGTCGGCCTCCAGGAAGAGCTGCCAGCCAAAATCGTTATTGTTGCCGCTGACGGTGCCGCGCTTCAAACGCTCGCCCCAGTCCTGGTAGCTCTTGGTGTAGTAGTGGTTGATTCGGAGAATGTCGACCTCACGTGTGGCCCCAATTTCGTGATCGTAGAAGGTCGTAAACTCGAGCTCACGGAACTTTTCATCGCACAGGGGTTTGCCGTCGTAAAAGTACAGGCTGTGTGTGTTGTGCAGGCCGGCCATCTGCCTCGGGTTGAACAAGACCTTCTTGCCAATGATGACTTCGTTGCTGCGACGCGTGTACTCTTCCAAGACCAGTCCGGGCGGTGTGGTCGTGTGGTTGTTGGAGCCAAAGTTGAGTCGCCAGGCCGCAACGCCCCCGCATCTGCCGCTACCCACAAACGTTTTCAGTATTGCGAGCAACGACTGATCGGGCGACGTTGGGAAGAAGAACTCGTCAATGTCAAAGATGCCCATGTAGCGCGTCAGGCAACGGAAGCGCTGGACGCCGTCAACGATGCCGACTCTTTGCGTGTTCTGGATGCGATAGCCCGCGATATCGTGCGTCATGATCGTCGGGAAATCTAGCAGTGTGACAAGGCCTGCTCGCATGTACGGAACGAGCACTTCGCGGTACTTGTCCGTCGAGTTGTTGTTGTACATTAGGAAGTGGTCAAAGCCAACCAGTCTGTGGAACTCTATCCACTCCTTGAGGTACTTGTCTGCGTCTCGGAAGATGGCGAACGCTGTGAGCTGGTACTGGAAGCGGCTCGACTCGGAGCACTTGAACTCGCGCGTCGGCATCGGCATCCCGTAGACGGCGTGGAAGAGGGCCTCGCTCTGGTCAATCGGGTGCAAGCGGTCGCTCGACGCCATCTGGAGCAGCCACCAGAGCACGCCACACACGACCAGCAAGACAATGGCCATTCGGATGCGTCGCGCGATGGGCGCGTTGGTGCTCGGTGCGCCCCACCGCCGCAGCACTTGTCGCAGGTCGGTAAGCATGAATGGATGACGTTGAAGCCGCTTCGATGAAGTGTACCGGTGGCACCGAATCGATGTATTTATTTTTTGAATTCGTTGGTCAGACGACAGAGCGCTTGTTTTGCGTGTGAGTGTGTCCCGTCCTATGAGCCTCAATCGGTAGGGGCAAACGGTGAAAAGAAGAGGTTTGGCAGAGGGTGAGTTGGGTGGAGGTGACAACGAATGGAGACTGGAAATTTTAATTTTAGGCGAATACCAAATGGACGTGCAAGTACGACAAATAATAAAGAACAAAAGGTTGTTATGGCACAACATCCAACTCGACTCGTGCTTGTTGTTTTTAAGAAACAAGGCAAACGCAAGCGTGCGCACTTGAAATTCGCATGGAAACCCAGCGTAGCTGGCGCGGCTGAGCACTAGAAACAACTCATGAATTTACGTCGTTGGTTGGTCGAGGAGTGAGGGGTACTGCGGAAAAAAATTTAGCATGCGGAAGAGGACGAGCGTGACGGAAATTGCCGTGACAAGTTCCTAAAATAGCGACAACGCGGATTTTTCTCGCGTGTCCCAGTCGCGTGCCTGGGAACCTCCAACATGACTCTCCGGATTGTTTTCATGGGGATCTTAGATAGCTATTGGTCAGGTATCGTCGATTGCTCGATTGAATGGTATCCCTGCTTTTGCAATCGAGTTCTGAATCATTCATTTGGAATACACAATTTTAACCGAAAAGAACAAATCAAAAACCAATCCATAAGCATCCGAATACTAACTCCTCATCACGGGCCACTGTTGCCTGCTCTGCGTCCTCAACTCAGGGTCCTGACATACTCCCAACATGTCTTTAGTCTCACTAGTTGATTTGCCTACGTAAACGGTGCGAAGGGGGGGGGGGAAGTGCATCGCCAGGTCAAAAGCCAAGTTCGCCGCTTCGCTCCTACCCAAACCGAACCAAGCTCCCGTGTGGACAATACACAGTGATACCGTAAAACGAGCATCGCTCTTGCTCTGACTCTATGCACCTGATTCTGCGCCTCCTGTCGTTGAGCTCATGTACCTCTCGCCAATAAAAATAAAAAAAGCACGCACCACCCAAGCGACAAAGTTTTGATTTAGCTTGCTTGCTTTTCACGTTCCTCAGGCCACAGCCAGTCACTACCTGCCTGCGCTTGATGGCTGTTGTATCAAAGTACTGTTCATCGCATTAGTGCCAAAGCGGGCGCCAGGCTCAGCAATCAGCGCGACGATGACGCTGAAATGCGAAATTCGCACTTTAGCAAAGACAACATTCACTTTTTGCACTGTTGTTTTGTGTTTTCGGCGATTCATTCGCCAGGCTCCATGACCCGACCTCGCCGCCAACCGTCCCAGCCTGTATCTTTGCAGTAGCAAATGAGTGTATCAAATGCAGCAAAGCCAAAGTTGCCTATCCGATCCCAGTGTTGGTGAGAGAGTCTCGAGAGGCCGAGCGATCAAAACGCCTCCGTGCGCGATAGCGGCCTCGCCTACCAGCAGATCGCCATCCAGCTCGCCACTACCTACTTGGACGTACGTGGTAGGGTTGAGCGCTGCTCGTGAAAGGCCACGACGCGCAATCGTTCTGGCTTTCGCCGCTCTAGCAAGCTTCAGCCACCCAACCAGCTTGAGCATGCCCAATTCTCCTCCGACGAGCGCATCGCCGCATCCAAGGTCACCCTCGCGCATGGTGGAGACTATGCAATGCGTCTGTGATGAAAGTTATGAACTGACTGCCGCTAAACGGCCCTTTGCTTTGCGGCAAAGGTCGAAAATGCGATGCTGAAGCGCGACCAAAATATACCCATCAACGTTCAACCGCAGACAACTGGCTGAACGTCATCTTCTTCAACGAGACCGCGCTCTATCTGTACAGGACCAACGGAGATAGCCGTGGGTGGCGGCAACGGGGCGATCCGCTTGATGCAAGCAGTGTACAGAGCATCGGAGCATTGTCGGGTAAAGGTGAAGGCAAAAAAAAAAAAATCAACTCGGTTCGCCATTCGGCTGGTAGTGATCTGCCAGCATCTCTTAGGATGATTTGAAGGCCACGATGCATTCCTAGAAATCAAAGGTCAGGGTTTGTGGAGTTGTAATGAAGTAATACGTTCTTTGTTTGAGGCTTGTTCAACGGAGTCGCTTGCGCATCCACAGGTCGACTACGAGATTTGATCGCCACGCGAGGTCGTCAACGAATCCAATTGTTTGGCGCCCGACAAAGCATTCACAGTGCCTGTGAATCCTGTTGAAATTTCTAGAAGGGAAGTGCAATCGAAAAGGAAGTTAATGTCAGTCAGCCAGTCAAGCTTTTTGTTTCCGTCGTCAACGTTGCCAAAAATGCAGTGCCACTGGGAAGGGTAATCCGTCGCCGCATTTTGTGACTCATATTTGAAGCATCTACAATACTTTCCGCCTCTTTGGGGACACTGAGAAGGAGGGGAGTAGAAAGGGAAGGAGGCTGTAGAGTTTGCAAGGGCTTTTCGGGGGCTCCCGCAGTGCAAGTTGTCATGCGGGACGATGACACACTGAGGACGGAAAGTATCATACAACCATGCCATGTGAGATGAGCGAGGGCTGTTTTTACGTGATGAATCGAAGAGTCGCGTTGACATGGTTTGAGCGCGGGCGTCCGCCGAGACTTTTCCCAACCGCACTGTAGCCTCTGAAAGTCTCTTGCAGTCGTCGCACAAAGTGCTCGGCATGCATATTCAGTATGTATACGATTAGCTTTTCTTATTTACGAGCCGACTTCAGCTCCTATTGCAGAATAAGTGAGCGGCCGTTCTCATCGATGTCCACAACTGTTTTGCTTTCACAAAAGCCCTGTCATTCGATTTTCATACTCATGTCGCCTGTGGCTCTGTACCCGAGCATCATGCAGTTGATAGCATTCAAAATCGTTGATATGTATATTTTGCAAACTAAACTGTCCGCTGCTCGGGTCTGAATTGGCGTTGAAGAACTGAACTGACCAGTCGTATTGTCTTCCCTCAGGTGCGAACGACTATTCGGGTCTGAGGAGCAGCTGTTTGAGCACTTGCGCAAGGTGCACGTTGGTCTTCGCTCGGACAAGACGTTTCAAGGTCAATGCCTGTGGGCAAACTGCTCGCGAGTTGACCAGCATTTTGTCAAGCCTTACGACTTGATGTCCCACATTCAAGTGCACGTTAATGTTCGGCCGTTCGAGTGCATTTGTGGCTCACGTTCGAAACGGCAGTCTGATCTTCGGAAGCACCTTGGGTGTTGCTGCCGGGGAAAGGCTTTCAAGTGGACGACGGCGACATGGGCCTTGTTCATGGCCAGAAAGGGCTTCTCGGACGACGCCATTACACGCATCCTTCAGCTGGTGCAAACTCCTGCGGATATTCTTCGAGTGACGGAAGCTCAGCTGCGCGAGGCCCAGATTGATGCACCAACTTGTCGTCTCTTTCTTGAAAGCATTCCTTTCGAGACTCGCGAGAAACGACCGGACGAGATCAGCCTCTCGCCCACTCCCTCGCGCCTGAAACGGGCGGCAAGGAAACCACCAAAAGAATTAACGTTTGTGTCCTGGACTGGTTCAAACGAAACGGTAGATTTGAGCCAGTAGCTGAGTTTGATGCTTGGGTATGTGTGTGAACCTCTGTTGCATGTCGTTTTTGTACAACAACGGTCTTCATGTTTTCGGCAAGTGTTTCAGAATGTACATTGAAATTACAGGAAGAATGAAATAGCGACGTCGGGCATGCACACACAACACTATAATTTGTAATCCATCAAAATTATGCGTGTATTCAAAAACGCAGAATGCGCCAGCCGACGAATCTTCCAGCGGAACTCTCAAGTTCGCAATAACAGCCGGAAAGCAGGCGGATGTTGTTCACAGCATTGCACCAATTTCGCGGACGGTCGTCCCATCCTGAAGCGATGCCAGCCCCTTGACGAGCTGAGCAAATGTCGGGCGCTTCTCTGGCGATATATCCCAGCAACCCACCATGATGGTGTAGAGCTCGGGCTTGCAGGTCTGTGGCATGGGCAGTCGGCCGCCAGCCTCCACATGAGCCAAAGTGTCTCGCCCATCCATCTTGCCGTACGGTGTTGCGCCGTAACTGCAGCATTCCCCTACCAACCAAGCATTGTCGTAAGTGAGAAAAGGGTTTAGCCCGACATCGCTGCGATAGAGCCACTCGATTTACAGGCTGTTACGCCAAATGACCACACGTCCGACATGAAAGTGAACTTGCGGAAGGTCATTGTTTCCGGTGCCATCCACTACGTGTGTAACATCAACAAATTCAGCATCGAGCACCGCAAACAGCAGCCCCGTTCACACCTAAGACCCACCTTCACTGGAAGCTTGCCGCGCGTTTGCATGCGATAGTAATCGTTATCAGAGGCCAACTCGCGAGAAAGCCCGAAATCGGCAATCTTGACCACCATTCCTTGCCCCACGAGGCAGTTGCGCGCCGCAAGGTCACGATGCACAAAGTGGAGCGTGCCCAGATACTCCATGCCAAGTGCAATCTGGCGAATGGCGTGGATCTGCTCGTTCTGCGTCCACCAAAGCGAGTGGAGCTTGGACTTTTGAAGCATCGTACGCAAATCGCCATACTGCACAAACTCGAGCAGAACGAGATGAGGCTCTGACTCGACCAAAGCCGCTAGCAGGCGCACAACATTCGGATGCACGAACGGCGCCATCAGTTTCGCCTCGCTTTCAAAGTCTTTGCGGGACTTTTCATCCGCGTTCGACTTGAGAGACTTGACTGCAACTTGCACCGTTTCGGACGCCGTCGGTCCGAGCAAAGCTTGAGCTCGTGGAGGCAGCTTGCTGAACGGCACTTGACCCAGGGCTACATCGCCAAAGTTCCCACTGGCAAGGTGCTTCACAATGCTCAAGCCTTCGCGAACGCGGCGCGAGTTGCTGCCTGCTACATACGCGCTTGCATAGTCGTAGACCACCTCTGCAGAGGTACTAGTCGTCGAGATGGCTTGGTACAACGGCTCTGGCTGCTTTTGACCGACCACGGCGTAAGCTGCGATGTCCTCTTCTTTTTGAGATCCGGTCGCACGGGTTAGAGGAGAGATTGTCATCTCAACAGCCTCTTGGTAGATGGGACCGGCAGAGTTTTTCGATCGCGCAGCTGAGCGTCGCGGCGAGCGCCGGCGTCGCCACACGATGAATACCACTGCAATAATCGCAATAACCGCAACAGAAGCTACAGCAGCTGCGATGGCAGCTGTTGCAGATGAAGATGACTCTTGAGAGTCGCCACCGCCACGTTGTGCAATGGAAGATGCAACTGATGCAGCGGACGCCGATGCGGTTGACGCAGCAGATGCAGTCCGAGCAGAAGCGATGGAGGCGAACGAAACGCAGAACCCACTCATCATAACATGACCATCATAACACTGAGTGCAGGGATTGTCTGAAGTGCAGGTCAGGCAATTGATTCCGCAACAAGAACTAGACCCTGCGGCATAGCAGGTAGCACAGGCTGTATCGCACTCTGCAGAACCAATGTCAGTGACATGATCACATCGGCATGACAGTCACCTCGCGAACTTACTGTATGGTTCAGATGCACTGCCGTATGTGCTGGGCGGAGCGACAGTATTCCCGTCAAAGGTAAAGTTGTTGGGCCTCAGAGAATAGGACACACTCAGCGCCAAATACATACCATTTTGCAAGCCCGTAAACAGACCGGGCGGCAGAGTGGTGAGGGGATTGTCATTCAAAGCTCTGCAAGCAACGCAAAGTAAGAAGCACATCAAGCACGAGCGACGACAAAAAGCTCTGGCTTACAAGGCAGTCATCGCAGTAAGACCTGAGAATGCGTTTGCAGAAATGCTGGTGATCTGGTTGTTGTATAGATGTCTACAGAAGGAATCGCAAACGAATGAGTCGTATGCATGTGATGCTTTACGTCTCTGCTTGCTTACAAGAGAGTCAGCGCGCTCAGGCCTGCGAATGCGTTCGCAGAAATGCTAGTAATCTGGTTGTTGGGCAGAACCCTGCAGAAAACCGCAAACATGTGAGCTGTCTCTCTGTGGTCCTTCATGTCTTTGCCTGCTTACAATTGTATCAGCGCAGTCAGGCCTGTGAATGCAGAGGTTGGGATACTGCGGAGCTGGTTGCCGGCCAGATTCCTGCAAACAGGACGAGTGAGATATTGTGATTTTTCACGACTTTTGCTTGCTTACACTCCTATCAGCGCAGTTAGGCCTGCGAACGCAGTGGCGGGAATGCTGGTGATTTGGTTGTTGGACAGTGATCTGCAGATCGAGTCGCAAACGAGTGAGTCGGATCTGAATGGTCCTGCATGTCTCTGCTTGCTTACACGGATTTCAGCATAGGCAGGCCTGCGAGTGCAGAGGTGGGCATACTGGTGAACTGGTTGCCAGATAGCACCCTACAGAAAGTGACGCAACGAGTGAGCCATTGTGATTCTTCGCGACTTTGCTTGCTTACACTCCTGTCAGCGCAGATAGGCCTGCAAAAACGTTTGCTGAAATGCTGGCAATCTGGTTGGAGGATAGATCCCTGCAAATAGAGTCGCAAACGAGTGAGCCGTTTGTGTGTGATTTTTCACGTCGATGCTTGCTCACAATCTATTCAGCGCGGCCAAGCCTGTAAATGCGTTTGCAGAAATACTGGTAATCTGGTTGCTTTGCAGATATCTACAGATAGACACAAAGAGTGAGTCGCAGATGCGGATCCTCACGACTTTGTGCGTTGCTTACAGCCAAGTCAGCGCAGTGAGGCCTGTCAATGCGTTTGCGGAAATGCTGGTGATCTGGTTCAGGTTCAGATACCTATCGACCGTATGCTAGTAAGAAGGGCAATCATTCAATTCAAATGCAGCTCACGCAATACGTACAGGATTGTCGTGTTGATTGGAATTCCGCTTGGGATGGCGGAGAGAGATCGGCCATTGCAATCGACAGTTGTATCCGAGCAAATGCACAAACCACCGATGCCACAAGCATTAACTGCTGAAGTGGCAGATGCGGACGCTGAAGCAGAAGCAACGGAAGCGACTGAAGCGACTGAAGCGACGGAAACAACCGATGCAACGGATGCCATAAATGCACTTGTCGCAGCAGATGCGAGGCAGAAGCCACTCATCATAACATGACCATCATAACACTGAGTGCAGGGATCGTTTGAAGTGCAGGTCAGGCAATTAATCGCGCAACACGACCCGGATCCTGCGGCATAACAGGTGGCACACGCTGTATCGCACTCTGCAGAATATATGTCAGAGACATGATCACGTGGGCATGGCGGTCACTTGCAAACTTACGGTATGGTTCAGATGCACTGCCGTATGTGCTTGGCGGAGCGACAGTGTTCCCACTAAAGGTAAAGTTGTTGGGGCTCAACACTAGGGATGAAGGCGTCAAGTACATGCCATTTTGCAAGCCCGAAAATAGACCGGGCGGCAGAGTAGTGAAGGGATTTCCATCCAAAGTTCTGCAAGTACTGCAAAGTCAGAGGCATATCAAACATGCGCCGAACGAGTGCTTGCTTACAATCGGGTCAATGCAGTCAGGCCTGTGAATGCGTTTGCAGAAATGCTAGTGATCTGGTTGTTGTGTAGATGTCTACAGAAAGAGTCGCAAATGAGTGTGCCATGTTTGCGTGACTAGTCGTGCCTTTGCCTGCTTACAACTGTGTCAGCGCAGTCAAGCTTGTAAATTCGCTTGCAGAAATGCTAGTAATCTGGTTATTGTGCAGACCCCTACATACAGAGGTGCATATGAGTGAGCCGTTGTAATTCTTCACTACTTTGCCTGCTTACAATCCCATCAGCGTAGTCAGGCCTGTGAATGCAGAGGAAGGAACACTGCGGAGCTGGTTGTCGCCCAGATTCCTGCGGACAGAGTTGCGAACGAGTGAGCGGCTGTGTGCTGTTCATCCAGTCTTTTGCTTACAAGACGGTCAGCGCAGTCAGGCTGGTGAATGCAGAGGAAGGAATACTGCGGAGCTGGTTGTTAGCCATATTCCTGCGGACAGAGTTGCGATCGAGTGAGCGGCTGTGTGCTGTTCACTGTCTTTGCTTGCTTACAAGAAAGTCAGCGCATTCAGGCCTGCTAGTGCGTTTGCTGAAATATTGGTGATCTGGTTATAATCAATTCGTCTACAGATAAAGTCGCAACAAATGAGCCGTGTGTGAGTGTGTGTTTCTTCATATCGTTGGTTGCTTACAAGAAAGTCAGCGCGGTGAGGCCTGTAAGTGCAGAGGTGGGAATACTGGTGAACTGGTTGATATTTAGCCCCCTGCAAATAGTGTCACAACGAGTGAGGTGTTTGGGTTCGATTCGGCATGTCTTTGCTTGCTTACAAGCCTGTCAGCGCAGTCAGGCCGGCGAATGCAGTTGCAGAAATGCTGGCAATCTGGTTGTTGGATAGATCCCTGCAAATAGAGTCGCCAACGAGTGAGTCAATTGCCTGTTACTCTTCATGGCATTGCTTGCTTACAGTACTGTCAGCGCAGTCAAGCTTGCGAATGCGTTTTCAGAAATGCTGGTGATCTGGTTGGCCGACAGATCTCTACATATAGAGGCGCAACAAGCGTGAGTCGATTGTGTTTCTTCATGTCTTTGCTTTGCTTACAGCGAAGTCAGTGCAGTGAGGCCTGTCAATGCGTTTTCGGAAATGCTGGTGATCTGGTTGCTCTGCAGGTACCTATCGACCGTATGCCAATCAGGATGATAATTCAAGGCCAGCTCACGCAATACATACAGGATTGTCGTGTTGATTGGAATTCCGCTTGGGATGGCGGAGAGAGATCTGCCATTGCAAACGACAGTTGTATCCGAGCAAATGCACAAACCACCGATGCCACAAGCATTAACTACTGAAGTGGCAGATGCGGACACTTGTGAGGCAATTGACGCAGAAGACGCTGAAACAGAAGCAACAGAAGCGACTGAAGCAACGGAGGTAATCGATGCGTTGGTCGCAGCTGATGCAAGGCAGTAGCTGCCCATCGAAAAATAACCCTCGTAGCACAGAGTGCACACAGCCGAGGAACTGCAGGTCAGGCAATTGGTGCCGCAACATGATCCGGACCCCAAAGCGTAGCAGGTGGCGCAGGCTGGATCACAAGCTGTAATACAAACGTCAACGAAACGTTCACCTTCTCAGGAATTGCAAGCAGCTCGGAACATACGGTATGGATGGGATGCACTCCCGTATGTGCTGGGCGGAGCAACAGTGTTCCCGTCAAAGGTAAAGTTATTGGGGCTCAGATATTGGTACGAAGCGGACAAATACAAGCCATACGCCAAGCCCTTAAACAGACCGGGCGGCAAAGTCGTGAAGGGATTGCCATCCAAAGCCCTGCGAGTACGACAAAGTCAGAGGCATAGCAAACATGCGCCGAACGAGTGCTTGCTTACAATCGGGTCAATGCAGTCAGGCCTGTGAATGCGTTTGCAGAGATGTTGGCGATCTGGTTGTTGTCCAGAGCCCTACAGATAGAGTCGCCAACGAGTGAGCCGTTTGTGTGTGATTCGTCACTCACAACTTTGCTTGCTTACAGGTAGGTCAGCGCGGTCAGGCCTGGAAATGCTTGGGTGGGAATGCTGGTGATCTGGTTGTTAAGCAGATATCTACATGCAGAGATGCCAGCGAGTGAGGCGTTTGCTTGCGATTCGTCATGTCGTTGCTTGCCTACTTACAACTGTGTCAGTGCGCTCAGGCCTGTGAGTGCGGCTGCAGAAATACTCGTGAGCAGGTTACTGGAAAGATACCTGGATAGAGTAGCAAACGAGTGAGTCTTCTGTGTGTTATTATTCCTGTCGGTGCTTGCGTACAGGTATTTCAGCGCAGTCAGGTTTGCGAATGCGTTGACAGGAATGCTGGTCATCAAGTTGTTGTTTAAATATCTACAAGAGTGTCGCTATTTAGTGAGCCCTGTGTGTTTGTCGTCGTGTCGTTGCTTACTTACAAGACGGTCAGCGCGGACAGGGTTGTGAATGTGCTTGCCGAAATGCTGGTGATCTGGTTGGTTTGCAAATACCTATGGCAGGTCGCAAAACGAGTGAGCCCTCTTGCTACGATTCTTCAAACCGTCCATTGCTTGCTTACAGGTAACTCAGAGCAGTGAGGCCAGTGAATGCGTCTGCAGAAATGCTGGTGAGTTGGTTGCCCTGCAGAGACCTATCATCCGCACATCAACGTACGCAGAATGAGGAAGTTTGTGCTTGAACTCAAGTCAGCTCGATGGCAACACTTACAGCTGCGTTGTGGTGACTGGGATTCCGCTTGGAATGGCTGAGAGAGTTCTATAACTGCAATCGACAGCAGTTCCCGAGCAACCGCACGCGGTACAAGCATCGTCTGCCTGTGCCAACTGGATGTGATGGCTGACACACAGCAGCAGCAGAAGCAGGCCAAAGGCAAACCCTTTTGGTGTCATCTCTGCGGATGGAAATATTGCCAATTCAGTGACATTTACAACGTGAGCTCGATAGCTTCAATAAACACTCGCCCCCCCCCCCACAATATCAGAGTGCTGAAAGCCAGTTGTTGCGTGGATAGCTGGAGACGGGTTGTCTCAAATTGTCACAACGACTAGCATTTGTAGCCTGTCTGCTCCCAGCGCTCCCTTCTCTATCACTTCCACTTGCTTTCATTGATCAAATGTGCCCTTGCTTTCATTGATCAAATGTGCCTTCGATAGAGCGGCGGAAAGAGAGCGGCGCATCAGCTTTCGATCGCACTCGAATTAAGTTATGGTTTGTTTTTGGTCCATTGCGAATGTTTCCAGGCCAGTCGCAAAGCCGCCCCCCCGCTGTGTCGCTCCTTCCGCACCGTCACTGCTTCTGATTGATTCGATTAGCATGATGCTTCAACAGGAGCGCGCTGAAGGATCAGAGAGGACGAGAGACAGAGAAGGGGTGCTCAAAGCCAAGCCGTCATGTTCGACAGCAGCTCCGACCCGCGCCCGCTGAGCATGCGAACGGCCTGCTTTGCGATGCGACTGCAGAGGCGAAGCCAGATCATCAGAAGCGAGCAGCGGGTTTGCTTCTTGGGTTTGACGATGCGTCTGTGGCTGACCTTTGTTGTGACCAAGGAAACGGACGACAAATCAAAGAAACCAATAAAAGAAAACGAACAACAACAATAGGAGTGAAACCAAATTTGGTCGAGCTTTTTACGCCTTGAGAATCATCTCGTCTTCCGTGGCGGGGAGTTGGACGGGTGTACGAAACTGGAGGGTGTTTTTGATAACCGGCTACGTCATAGGACTCAACACTGCTCGTGAGGCATTGTGTGGGTTGCCATCGATCCAAATTGAAATTGCGCAACCAAGCAAAGTCATACAAGTTCATTCTTTGCTGAACGTCGCCATTCGGAGCGAGACAAGTCACAGGGCTCGACAGAGAGGCAATGGGCGAGAGGTTTATTTCGTCGTGTTGTTTCGAAATTCGACTGGAGTGCCGTCGAGAACGAGACGGCAAGTTTGTGCATCCGTCTGGACCTCGAGCAGCTGAGCGTCCGTCACTCGAAGAATATCTTCAGGATCTTGCACCAGCTGAAGGATGCGTGTAATGGCATCGTCCGAGAAGCCCTTTCTGGCCAGGAACAAGCCCGATGTCGCCTTAGTCCACTTGAAATCCGTTCCTTGACAGCAACCCTCAAGGTGCTTCCGAAGATCAGACTGCCGCTTCGAACGTGCGCCACAAATGCACTCGAACGGTCGAACGTCAACGTGCACTTTAATATGGGACGTCAACTGGTCAGGCTTGACAAACTGCTGGTCAGCTCGCGAGCAGTTCGCCCACTGGCATTGACCTTGAAACGTCTTGTCCGTGCGAAGACCAACGTGCACCTCGCGCAAGTGCTCAAACAGCAGCCCCGCAGATCCGAATAGTTGTTCGCACCTGAGGGGGCAGTAGAGAGAAGAACAGCGGAGGAGCAGGAGGAGCAGGAGGAGGGGGGGGGGTTGGAGGGTCAGTTCCGGTTTCGCGCGCTCGTCAATAATCAACGCCAATTCACCCCCGAGCAGAGAGACGGTTCAGCTGGTCAGATATCAACGGGTATGAGTGAGGGACAACTGAACGGTGCTCGAGTGCCTAGCTATATCGGCTACGGGTGTCTGGAAATCGAATCAAGGGACAGGGGCTGGGTTTCCGGCCAGACAGCTTGCGCGTTTTGGACAACGGCCGCCCACATTGGAGCTGAAGTCGGCACGCGGACAAAAAACGCTGACGGTTTACATACTGAATGTACACACGGATCACTTTTTTGCGACGGCTGTCAGGATGCTACAAAGCCGATGGGCGATCGTGCCGTCACAAACTCACCAGGCTTTCCCCCTGCCTCCCTTTCGACTTGCTTCCCGCCTTCTCAGTGTCAACATAGAGGCGGAAGCTATTGTATGTGTTTGATAAAAGTCACAAAATGCACGGAGGCGACGATTACCCTTCCCACTCGCATTGCATCTTGGCAGTTGGAAGAAAGACTGATCAATCGTACCATTGAAACAGAAGACGCTATTGCAATTCCATTCTAGAGTTCTCAACAGGATTCGCAGGCACTACTATTGCACCGTCGGGCGCCAAATCACTGGACTCGTCGTCGACCTCGAGTGGTGGCAAGACAATGTCGATCAAGTCTCGTAGTTGAACTGTGGGGGGGGGGGAAATGCGCAACAGCAGACGAAAGGCGAGTTGGTTGAGCAAGCAAAGAAACGATGGAGGACTGCATTTTCAACGACACAAACCCTCACCTTCGGTTTCTAGGAACGCATCTTGGCCTTCAAACCGTCCCAACAATTGCTGGCAGATCATTAGAAAGGCAAACCGCGAGTACCGCACATGAACCATCAACTCTTGATCGCTGACAACCAGCACATGCAGCAGAGAAACTGCTTGTACAATCGATGTTAACCTGCAGGACATAGCATGCCACAGAGTGAGCTTTGTTACAACAACAGAGCAACGCTTCGCGAATCATCGCAAGTCCAAAAGATGACACACTGAGATTGTGAAAAGTGATCCAGAGGAGGCAAATGATCCATTCCAAGCTCGTATAGCACAGATTGTAGATATCTGATCAGGTGCGACATGATCTGAGGTCAAAATAAGGTGAGTTGCAGCCTTTGGCACTCCCCCCCCCTTTGCAAAGACACAATAGCCGCGGCATACCTTTTCACAACAGGGACAAGGTTGATGCAGCATAACATCCAAGCCTCCACGTCCTTGGCCAGCGAGAACGGCAAGCAAATCAAGAATGGCAGAGCGGATGCTCCGTGCCGTGTCAACCTCCTTAACGCTCAGAACCTCAACATCGTGCGACGCGGCCAATGGCGGCTCAATCAAACAAACGCCTATCAAATCGAGCACGCAAGGAATATAATGCTCAACGGTACACGTCCCAGAGTGGAGGAACCAGCATGGAACAATGTGGATTCGGTGGTGCGCAAGCTCGGCCAGCATATCTCGACTTCGAACAAGCGCGACAAGAAGTTTCTGGCAACGCAGTAGAATGTCGAGCAGGCACGGTTGCGAAGCGTCCTTCTCCAACAAAATAGTTGCAGAAGATGCGTAGGATTGAACCATCCACTGCAAATGCAGCAAGTGCAACAAACGCGACACGGCTCCGGAAGTGACGAGAGGCACGAACGCTGGCAACGAGAGCGCAGGCGCATCAAACGCCAAGGCTTGGAACATTGCCAACAAGAGCGAAATGGCTCTCAAATGAATGATGCGGCACTGTTGCCAACGCCTACGCTGTTCAACCTCTGCGGTGGTTGGCGGGGCAACCGACGCCGTCGAGTTGAGCGCCGTTTCTGCAGGGCTGCTAGCTTGCAAGTAGCCAATGGTATTTGTGCACATTGAGAAAAGCACGACGAGGCGAATCAGGAGATGCTTGGGAAACTGCACGGGCCGGAAGCTCTCGTGGAGTTGCAGTACTGGTTCTCGCGTATCAGCTTCGAGGTGCTCTGCTGACTGGTGAGTTCGCTTGCGAATGCGTGTTGTACACACGAACGATTTGAGGCTCTCAAACGCCGGATGAGCGGCGAGGCTGGCAGCAGCAGCAGAAGCAGCCGCCGAAGAAGTGGATGTGGTGGTGGGCATCACGGCGTGACTGTGACCTGTTGCATGGCTCAAGACAGCCATCCGCACAACCAAACTTGACTCGAAGAGCGGTCCAAGCACTTGCAGTACGGAAAGCAAATCCTCGTCGCTCTGGATGGAATGCTCTGCTTGCGCCACAACAAGCGCAGTCTGAGCATCACGTTCGGTTTTGAGGGCGGTTTGGGCAGAAGTCGCAACTTCGTTCAGATTGGCCATGGTTGCAACAGGACTCGATTGGTCTTGAGCAAAGCTTTCAAGCATGGCTGCATTGCAGTAGCGATGAGCGGCCAATCGCTCGTCTAAAAGGGCGAGCAAATTGCACACGCCCGCCTCGGCTCGATTTGGATGCGGGGAAGCGGTCTCTTGCAGAGCGGTTGCCAGCTTGGAAGCCAACAAGAGCGAGAAATTGTCGGCTGTACTGGGCGTGGACGACGTCGCACTCGCAAGCAATGCGGGCTTGAAGCTTACGGCATCAACCGAGTGTGTGGAGAGCGGCAGCAGTCCGCTCGTGGAATAGGCGTACGGATTCAGAGTATCGAGCGACGAAGGCTGAAGCAAAGATGATACGATCGACGAGGAGGAAGAGGCAAAGAATGCAGCCAGTGTTCGTCGTTCCTGATTCTCTTGTCGTTGCGCTTCTCGCAATTTTGCGAGTGCAGCAGAAAGAATGGGGTCGACTGTCTTTGCAGAAGTTGTTGCAGCTGCAACAGCCGCAGATGGCGCAGTGGCTGGGGAGGGAGCAGCGGACGCCGCGGCCGTTGGTGGGACAGAGTCAGCACCAGCAACAGCGGCTGGCGACACAAGTCGGACCAAAGCACTGGGTTTCGAATCGGCGCGTGACTGGGAGGTGGCGGTCGTAGAAGGCCAGGCACCAGCAGAAGAGCCTGCAGCAGCTGTCGTTTTCATGGCAGCAAGCTTGGAGGTGGACGACCCAGCAGCTGCAGATGCCGGCGGCACCACGGAAGAAGCAGTACCTGAAGCACTCAGACGGGACTTTTTGTGCTGAAAGGCAGCAGCCGCCGCAGCCGCAGCAGCAGTTGAGCGATTCGAAGTTGGCAAGAAGCCGTCGCCAGGGTAGTGCAAGCCCGTCCCACTGGCCAGCTGAGGCGCCAGTCCAGTTGGAGACGGAGTCACGAGGGTGATTGGGCGAACGTTGGCGGCAATCACCATACCAATCGGTGCAGAACTTGCCGCCGCTATGCTTCGTGCCATCTGTAGCGGGACGGCGGAGTTGGATGCAACCTGCTGGGCGTGGTCTGCGGATAACCCACCGTGTGCTGGCACTGCTGAAGACGAGTTGAATGCAGTGCTGCCTGTCGGTGCTTTCCTGGGCGGTGCTGGTGCTGGTGCTGGTGCTGGTGCTGGTGCGGTCATGTCACCCCCAGCCTTCATCGATGAGCGATGTGCAGGCATCGGTTCAACGACTTCAGACTTCACAATGACAACCTGACCGGGCGTTGAGTTTGGCTGCGAGTCAAGCAGGATGACGGGCAGCGACATTGCCAGCTGCTCAAAGTCGTCGTCATCGTCCAGCGTGAAATCTGCACACACACACACAAAAGAACAAGAATTCAAAAAATCAAGTACGGCGGTGACCGCGAGTGAGTTCCTCAAAGCATACTCAAAAGCAAGTGCACGCAATATGAAACAAGACCGAAACACTAGGGTTTTGGCGGGCTTTTTTTTCGGTGGGTGAAACGCACCAAAGCTGTCCGTGGGCTTGCTTGTGGACACGGATGAGGATGGAGGGACGGTCGGTTGTTGGAGTTGGACTGGTCGAGACGAAGGCAGATGCCGGGCAAAGGCAGACGACTGGGCAGGACGAGCAGGAGCAGGAGCAGGAGCAGGAGCAGGAGGCACGGATGATGAGGCGAACGTGAGTGTGCTCTTGCGCGATCCAAAGCCAGTGTGCTGCTGCTGGTTGACTGGCATGGACACACCAGCACCACTGGGCAGAGGAGCAGCAGCAGCAGCGGCGGCGCCGGCGCCAGAAGAGGTGGACGTGCCGCTGCGTACGAGCGCCGGTTTGCTTGCCAAGGATGCTGGGGCGTCATCCACCGTGGCTAGGCGCATACGCTTGGCCGTGCGCTCGCCATCATCCATGTGTATGGGCGTGTGCTGCAATCAAACAATCCACGAGAATCGCTCTGGCTGCCCAGCTTGTCGGTCTCTCACGCAGTTCGAGTGGTTGTCTCAGACGTTGCGACCACGAAAAATCAACGAACAAAACACAGAGTGTAGACTGCGTCCGCTCTCTTCATGAACATGTCCAATCTGGATTCACGTGGCATGTGGTCAACCCAACGGTACTTTACACAAGTTGATCAAGTATCAAAGAAAGCATAAACACCACGCAAGCTATGTCACTGCGCATGAACAACCCTCGTCCATCCATTTCCTTGTGGCGTTAGGTACAAGTATATCCGACGTAAAGCCTTTCGAATATCACCTCTCGGGCAAAACTGCTGGGTCCAACTTGAACTTGCCAGCCCTCGCGCATTTGTAGGTGGATGGGATGACCCGCTGGCCAAATTGTCGCAAGGGCGAGGTTCGAATCGACGAAAGTCGGCTGCACAGCACATTCGTACTGAACATCACTGTTTTGACTCGGCACTTTGCAAAATCGTGCTCGGCACTCATGCTCATAGTCTGTGAACAAACGGAGCGGGAGACACGACAGATCCTGCACAAAAAAAAAACCAAAAAAAAAACCCCGATCACATTGATCAAGCTTTGGACAAATGGTGGAAACGAAACTACATGATATCAAATTGGGAGAAATACGAAAAGGACGACAAATCAAAAACAAAGCGGACTTCAGACAACAACTTAAAATGCTTGCAGCAAAACGCCCGAATTGATCAAAACTGCCACCCTTCTCTTTGATTGATCAAGATACAAAATGGGGGCGGGGGGAACCGGCAGGGGGGAACGACAACGCTTTAGTCGACCTCCTCCATCTTGCTCTCACCAGCGTCCGAGGCGAGCGGGGGAACGTCGTCGACGGGGGCGGCAGCCGACGAGTCGTCCTCGTCAATGTTCAGGCCAAGCTTGATCATGCGGTGGATGCGGGTCGAGAACGAGGCGGGGTCGTCGAGGGAGAAGCCAGAGGCGAGGAGGGAGGTCTCGTAGAGGAGGACGACAAGGTCCTTGAGGGTCTTGTCGTTCTTGTCCTCGTTAGCCTTGATCTTGAGGTTCTTGATGATCGAGTTGTCGGGGTTGATCTCCATGGTCTTCTTGGAAGCCATGTACGAGGCCATGGACGAGTCACGGAGGGCCTGAGCCTTCATGATGCGCTCCATGTTGGCAGTCCAGCCAAACTGGCCGGTAACGAGCACGCAGGGCGAGGCAACAATGCGGTTGGACACGGTGACCTTCTCGACGCGGTCGCCAAGAATGTCCTTGATGGCCTTGCAGAGCGACTCAAACTCGACCTTCTGGTCCTCGATGCGCTTCTTCTCGTCGTCGTCCTCGTCGAGCTCAAGGCCCTCCTTGGTGACAGAGACGAGCTTCTTGCCCTCGTACTCCTTGAGTTGTTGGACGGCGTACTCGTCAATGGGGTCAATCATGTAGAGGACCTCGTAGCCCTTGGCCTTGACGCGCTCGACGAAGGGCGAGTTGGCGACAACGCTCTTGGACTCGCCGGTAATGTAGTAGATGACCTTCTGCTTCTCGGGCATGCGCTCAGTGTACTCCTTGAGGGAGGTGAAGTCGTCGCCAGACTTGGACGAGAAGTAGCGGAGGAGCTCGGCGAGCTTGGCGCGGTTTTGGGAATCTTCGTGGATGCCAAGCTTGAGGTTCTTGCCAAAGTTCTCGTAGAACTTCTTGTAGTCCTCCTTGTCCTCGGCAATCTCGGTGAAGAGCTCGAGGCACTTCTTGATAATGTTCTTCTTGATAACCTTGAGGATCTTGGACTGCTGGAGGGTCTCGCGAGAAATGTTCAGGGGCAAGTCCTCAGAGTCGACAACACCCTTGACAAAGTTGAGGTACTCGGGAATGAGGTCCTCGCAGTTGTCCATGATGAAGACGCGGCGGACGTAGAGCTTGATGTTGTTGGGCTTCTTCTTGTTCTCAAACATGTCGAAGGGCGCGCGCTTGGGAACAAAGAGCAGTGCCTTGAACTCGAGCTGACCCTCAACCGAGAAGTGCTTGACAGCGAGGTGCTCCTCCCAGTCGTTGGTGAGCTGCTTGTAGAAGGCAGCGTACTCGTCCTTGGTGATGTCGTCGGGGTTGCGAGTCCAGATCGGCTTGGTCTTGTTGAGCTCCTCGAGCTCGAGGACAGACTCCTTGACCTTCTTCTTCTCGGCCTTCTTGCCGTCCTTCTCCTCGTCCTCGACCTCCTCAACGGCGGCCTCGTCGTCCTTCTTCTCGGCAGACTCGTCGTCCTCAATCTCCTTCTCAACCTCCTTCTGGACGTGCAGGTAGATGGGGTAGCCAATGAACTGCGAGTGCTTCTTGACAATGTCCTTGATGCGCTTCTCCTCGAGGTTCTCGAGCTGGTCCTCCTTGAGGTGGAGAATCATGGCAGAGCCGCGGCCAAGACGGGGGCCGTCAGTGTCGACGGCAATGGTGAACGAGCCACCAGCAGTGGACTCCCAGATGTACTGCTCGTCGTCGTTGTGCTTGGTAATAACGGTCACCTTGTCGGCAACAAGGTAGGCAGAGTAGAAACCGACACCAAACTGGCCAATCATGCTAATGTCAGCGCCAGCCTCAAGCGCCTCCATGAACTGCTTGGTGCCCGAGCGAGCGATCGTGCCGAGGTTGTTGACGAGGTCGGCCTTGGTCATGCCGATACCAGTGTCGCGGATGGTGAGCGTCTTCTTCTCCTTGTCGGGGATGAGCTCAATCTTGAGCTCCTTCTGGCTCTCAAGCTTGGACGCGTCAGTGAGCGACTGGTAGCGGATCTTGTCGAGGGCCTGTGTTTCAATGGATGGTGAAGGGTGAGTGTTGGTTGACATCCAAACGAAATCGAAATCGAAATCGAAGGAGCAAGAAGAAGAAGAAGAACAAGAAAAAAAAAAAAAAAAAAAAGAACGAAAACTGTGCAAGTGAAACTGAGCAAATCGAGCTGGCACGTGCGGCATTGGTCACGTCGTCTGCCACTCGAACACCAACCACTTGAATAGAAAAGCGAGCGCAAGAATGCAAACGAAAGCACACCCAGGGGAAAAAAAAAAAAAAGGCAGCAGGAGCAGAAACTCGAAAAAAAAGAAAAACAAAAAAGAGTCACAGAAGGCGATGGAAGGCCGTGGAAGGAATTGGAAACAACACGAAAACTGTGTTTCTTGGCGATGAGAGCGCGCGTTTGCAGAGCGTCAAAGACCAACCCCCAGGCACTCCCCGTTGCCGCGTCATGAAGAAGGAAGCGCGAGTGCGAAATGAAGCGCATTCAGCGCAGGAAAACGCCACCCGAAAGCCAGCAAAAAAAGCAAAAAAAAAAAGCAAAAAAAAGCACATGGACGATTTCGAGATCTTTCAACCAAACGAGTCGTTCAACAAGCGCACTTACATCCGAGGCGTTCGAGATGAGCTCACGAAGGTAGATCTCCTTGTTCGAGTAGAACGCGTTGACAATAAGGGACATAAGCTGAGCAATCTGTGTGCAGCAACATCAAGAAAAAAAAATCACAGAATAAAAAAAAAAAAAAAAAAAAACGTCAGTGTTCAATTTCATCTCGTTTTGCTGCACGGCGCACTTTGCGCGAAGCGTTCAAAGCCGAGCAGTCCATCACTCCAAAAAACCCCCAGTGTGAAACCAAAACAATGCCAAGCAAGCAAACAACCACATCTCGAAAAGCGAAAGCGCACCTCAGCCTGGAAGTGGTAGGTTTCCGCCATTGTTGTTAGCTGTTTGGAAAAAAAAACGAAACAAAAATTGGAGTGAGGATGAATGGAGAAAATGCTTGTTTTGGATGGCTTTTCTTTAAAAACCGCTCTCAGCATGGAAGCGTCTAGAAGCCCCGCGCTTTTGTTTTGTTTGATTTTGTGTGCGGAAGAATCGAGACCAACACAGCCAAAAGCCGTCCACCTTCAAGAATAGCAATGGTCGAGTTTGGAGAAAGAGGTGGAACAAAATGGAACAAAATGTCCAAAAGCAAGAACAACATCGGATTGTCAATTGCACAGTGCACAAACTCGCACGCCCACGAATGGACGGCAGAAAAAAAACCTCACAACAACGACACCACAACGACGCACAACCAGCAGGAAATACGGACGCAAAGCCATGCAAGAGGGAGACCAGAAACGAACAAAATATCAAATCAGTCGTCTGCTGTCATCTGCCGTTTACTTGCTTGCAGCGGGCACTGGCGCCCAGAAAGGCTCCTTGTCTGCTTGTGCCACGAGCTGCTTGACGGACTCGTAGGTGGCGGAAAAGTCTGCGTTGACCACCGTCGCGTCAAAGAAGAAGCCAACGTTGCGGTCGATGCGGTCGCTGGCCTTGACGACTTCTTGGAGCTTCTCCTTGGCAATCTCGGGGTTCTTTTTTGCCAAGACATCTGTGTTGGATGTTTGGGTTGGCACCACAATGAGAAAAAGTCAATACCAACAACAACCACACAGACACAAAAAAAAAAAATCAAACATCCCAACGAAAAGCGCAAAACGTACCAACAGATGGGGGCTGCACAAACAGCACAAACGGGTAAGGCTTGATGAGCTGGAGCTGTCCAAGGGCATGGGGATGCACCTCGAGCAGGACAGTCTTGCCGGCATCGATAAGCTTTTGGACCGATGAGACGTGCGTGCCATACAAGTTGTCCTTGTACTCGCCATGCTCAATGAACTTCTTCTCAGCAATGTCCTTGGTCATGACATCCTTGCTCGAGAAGTAGTATTCGCGGCCTTCCTGTTCGTTCTCTCGAGGTGCGCGGGAAGTGTCTGTTCAAAGCGAAATCAAATGCAAGTTGAGTGAAGAGTGCAAAGCAGAGCACGCAACCAAACAAAAAAAGGGGGGGGGGGCGAGACTCACGAGGAACAACAGTGGACAGCTGGCCAGAGAATTCGCCCAACAGCTTGCGACGGATTTCGCTCTTGCCAACACCATCCGTGCCAACAATGACGAATGGTCGCTTGCGGCCAGCGGCCGGCTGTTGCAGCTCCACAGTCTCGTAGAAGCCGAGGTTGCCAGTTTCGTCGACTAAGCGGGAGAGCAACCAAAAGTGTGCGTGAGAATCATCGACAGCCATTGGAAAAAAAAAAAAAACCACCCAACAACAAAAAAGTGCTCCTTCCCCACCACCCCGAAAAAACACTCACCGTCCTTCGACTTGGAGGTGGCAATATACATGGACTGGTTGCGCATGGCAAGGGCTTTGCTGTCCTTCTTGCGGAAGCTGGCGTTCGAGTCAGAGCCATCGTCGTCGCCGCCGGCGCCGTTGGCAGCCGCAGAGTCGCGCGATTGGGCGTTGCGCAGGGCAATGACCTTGGCCCGTCGGACCTCCTGCAGGGGGAGCGAAGGAATGAGGCCAATCTTGGTGGTGCCATATCGGCGCGCTTGCCACCAGTTCTCGTCGTCCATATTGAGGATTTCGAGCACCTCGCGACGCTTGAAGGCGAGCATCGCGTCCACGCAGGGGGTGAGCTCGTCCTTGGCGGGGACGTACTCAAACTGCGCGCGCACAGTGCGCTTGATCTCAAGCGGAGGCGGCGTTGGGCCGTTGTCTGTCTGCGCCGAACGCAGTCGGAACGACACAATGCCCGTCGCGCCCTTGATGAGCGAAACAACCTGTTCCACCGACTTTTTAGAAATGTCCTGGTCGTTGACGGCCAGAATCTCGTCACCGGGCGTCAGCAGACCACTGTTAGCAGCAGCGCCGCCAAGCATGAGACGCGCAACATAGATGCGGCCGTTCACCTCGGCGACCGTGGCGCCGAACGACTGACCGACATTCTTTTCGATGCGGACTGTCTTGATCGGAACCTCGGCGGG